AACACGAGCAAAGATGATTCAGTCAACTTCTGACGCAGAATCAAAGAGACTTGCTAATAATCAAATTAAAGGTAATGCTTGAAGTCAAGTATCTTTGATTTTGTGACACTCAGTTGATTTTTATCAGTACAACACTATTTCTCACTGAAAAGATTTCACTTAACAGAGAGGCGCCTTCGGCTAAAAGTACAATCCTGATTCCTGCTGCACACTACATACACACTTCCTTTGGCTTTCTCAACAGCAGTTGCTGCTGAGTAAAACGGTTAGAAATTACACTTCACATTAATACCAGATTATGTACACGAAGACTGACGAAGATTGAAATGAAAATGGGAAACTTTTCACACTAAACTCTTCAAAACTGCAGGGCGACCACGAGGATACGAGGATCTAGAAACTTCTATGAGCACTACTGAGTGATAAGCCTAAATAGGTGGTGCATGGAAATATAAACAGGAAGACCCAATCATCGGTTTAGTTCACTACACCCTCTGCCAGGGAGCGCTGATGTCAGCGCTAACCGGAGTTGGGGGTCCTTATTTATTCTCTTGGTCCATGGTCCTTATTTATTCTCTTGGTCCATGGCATAACCTACAAACAACAACAACAACGAGATAACCTTACTTTTTTTCTGTTATCAAGTTATCAAATTTTTCATTCATTCAAGCTCCGAAATTATCAAATTACGCAATAATTTCATCGAGTGCTGCGGCTATTTGACTCGTGTCAGTCAGATACGCCTTTTGTTTCGAGGATCGCATCAAATTAACGCAGTTACCTTCAAATATTTTTTAGATTCATCAAGATGAAGAAAAAGGTGAGCTCGTTTGTTTACACTGTTCATATGTCACATTGAAGGTATCAACTCTGAAAATTAAGCCTTTTCTCCATGATTCATCATTTTATTAAAATTGCAGTCATTTTTCAAATTGCCTCATGATCTTTAAGTTTGCCTACCTTTTGTAACTCTTAACTGAATATGTTACTTCACAAAAATTTCCGGCCGAAGGCTTAATTGTTCAGGATATTATCTCAACGAAGATGGAATTTTTATTCACAAGCCCTCATTCGGGATTTTTCAAATTAATTTGTTAGCTTTCCCGTTCCTCAGAACGCCTCTTTGATCTTTTGCACAATGGCCAAAGTAGTCTTGCAAGTTTTCTCGCAAATGCGCAGTACAATACGGCTTGAGTTTGATGTGATTTGACTTGTCCTTGATGATTTGATTTAAAAATTGTTAACTTCTAACGTCCCAAAACTCGAAAAGATCAAGATAGTCCCATGACCTGCGAAGACATTTATGGATCACAATGTCAAAATGACACATCGAGCCATCTCTAACTGACGTTAAACTACGCTCCTTGTGCTTTTGAATTTCTTGCAAGTTTTCTGTTCAGAGGCCCTGCGAGTTAGTACTTAATAACCATGAAATTTTATTTTTCAGGTCTTACTAATGGGAAAAAGTGGGTCAGGAAAAACAAGTATGCGATCTATTATTTTTGCTAACTACATAGCCAGGGATACCAGGAGATTAGGCGCAACAAGTAAGCATACTAGAGGTTAAGTACTATGCTGGAAGCGTTTGCATTATTTTCAATCAAAATTAATTCAATTTGTTGAAAATTTCTGATGACCTCTGCAGTTGGTTTCTATTTAATCCCAAAAACCTTTGGAAGACCTCCAGCCATAATCGACAGGGAATCCTCGCTACAACTCAGTGAGGCAGAATATTTACTGTAAGATCCAAAGGTCTGAAAATTTACCTTCTTATGTTTGGTCTACAGGCGCGAGAACTCGTAAGCAATTGTGGTCCCCAAAACCTGCATGGTCATGTATTCGAAATTTTTATCTGCCAACTCTTCATTTTTTCAGGCTCTGCTCAGAGTAGCAATACCTTGATCAAGGATAAAACTAAAAACAATTCCTAGCTGAACGCAAAAAAGATCTTAAACTGAGAGAGATTCAATTTGCTAATTCAATATAGTGAAAGGTACATTATACTTTTTAGTGACAGAAACGACGTACAGATGATATCAAGTGAGTGCTAAAGATACACATATTCAGGCTCTCTTGCATGAGCCAATCTTATTTGGAGGATGTACGTCTCAAGAACTAGATGACCCGGAACTCAATCGTTTGATCATCAAGGGTCTAATTAAATGAATTTTACTAGAAACAACTTAATCTCAGATAGAACTGTAAGAAAACATACAAAATTCCAAGGCATCTAGAAATTAGGTTATAATTCTTGAAGGGCAATAAAAGAAACAAAAAAAATAGAAGATAAATTGATAAATGCCGTTGCCAAAGCTATGAAGCCAAGCAATGGTAGTACTAGTCAATGTCCAATGGAATTCAGTTCTGATTGAGCACATGTAGTGAGTCCATGCCAAATAAGTTAATGCACTTCTAGATTGCAACAGAAGATTGTCTGACGTCACTTTTACATGTAAAGTAAACGCAAGAAGCAAGATGGCAGATCCTCTGTCCCAGTCTAAAAGATCATGAACTTATTCGGCCTGGACTCTAATATCGCTCATTGCTGAAGTCTTTGAGATCTAAATCTATCATTTACTAAACTCAAATTTACCTCTTTTTCAGTCGATGTGGAACATTCTCATGTTAGATTTCTTGGAAACCTAGTCTTAAATCTATGGGACTGTGGAGGGTAAGCAGTAAATTTTAGCAATTACCTTTTTTCTATCTTGTTGAAATAATTTGCCTTCAATATGGGCTGAGTCTCAATTGGACGTATTTCTATCAAACGGAACTAACAAGGGGAACTTACGGACCTGCCGCCTCCGATTGGGCTGAATTTTTTTTTACAGACTCTATGGACCAATTCTAGAGGTCAATTTGAGCCGTTTCCCCGATTGCGCAATAGGAAGGGCGTAAAAAATTCCCAAAAGTTGCGTTTTCGGCGTGTGATTTGGTCGTGCGGCGCGTGGCAACACTGAAGCAGCCTCTAGTACCGCTTTATCGGCCATAAGGTTTCAGTGGCGTCCGGAGCCCTACTGCACACGTACTGGTTCCATTATAGTGATGTCCCGACGTCGTCCCGATGTCGATCCTCGACTTTTTATTTTCCGCATGATCACGTAACATTTTATTTTTAATTCTTCATCCGCATTTATAAATCAAGCAGTTCCGATCACTATCCCCCCCCCCCTCATTTTACGTACATTTTCCCCCGATATTTATTCACATTGGCCACATATAATCGTATGAAACTTCATTGATATAAATTAATGAATTAAAAAGCAAAAGAAAACCTTATTTGTTACTACATTATCTTCCAATGTTTTCCTGGAAAAATATGTAATGTGTAAATAAATTGAAGAGCAACCCCAAACCCATGTGCATGTAAGGATTGTAAGGGTCACCAAGAAACACATTATTTTAGCCCTTTGCTTTTTAATTCATTAATTTATATCAATGAAGTTTCATACGATTATATGTGGCCAATGTGAATAAATATCGGGGAAAAATGTACGTAAAATGAGGGAGGGGGGGATAGTGATCGGAACTGCTTGATTTATAAATGCGGATGAAGAATTAAAAATAAAATGTTACGTGATCATGCGGAAAATAAAAAGTCGAGGATCGAACCCGGGACATCACTATCATGGAACCAGTACGTGTGCAGTAGGGCTCCGGACGCCACTGAAACCTTATGGCCGATAAAGCGGTACTAGAGGCTGCTTCAGTGTTGCCACGCGCCGCACGACCAAATCGCACGCCGAAAACGCAACTTTTGGGAATTTTTTACGCCCTTCCTATTGCGCAATCGGGGAAACGGCTCAAATTGACCTCTAGAATTGGTCCATAGAGTCTGTAAAAAAAAATTCAGCCCAATCGGAGGCGGCAGGTCCGTAAGTTCCCCTTGTAAGCACCATGGGGGGGAGGAAGGGAGAGGGGGGCTTGGATTGGTTGGTGTTGTGGAACGCGATGCTCGTTCCTTCCTATACTCGCAATGCTTTTCCATGGCGCTTAGTTCCGTTTGACAGAACGCACTATCCAGAATTCTAAAATCCTCAAAAGGAACTCAATTTGGCGCTTAGTTCCGTTTAACAGAAGTACATCCAATTCTACAGAAAATATCATTTTTACGATTGATTTTACTTTATAAAGAAAAGTATATAGGTACCAGAATTCAGCTTTAGCAAATGAAAGTATCGGATGACACAGTTTGAATGAAGAATTTGTAATATTTTTTCTCAGGATTATTCAATTACTCTTATCAAAATTATAACCAGAGGAGCGTTTATCATACCTTTTCATTTGACTCCCAAGTTTTTTTAAAATTCTGTTTGAAATTGCCCCGATTTTATTCTCTTTCTTGAGGAAATAGAGATGGTTGCTTCTCTGTTCTGGGGACAGAGCTATTAGAAAATGAATGAACTAGAACTCCAATGCGATTGAAAGCCCTGTTGGACCAGCCCAACAGAATGAATTAGATATTTTTTTGTGCAAAAATTCTTAGGTATAATACATTCTAATATTCATAATTTCCTACTTGTTTTCCAGGCAAGAAGCTTTCATGGAAAACTACTTTGCTAGTCAAAGGGATAACATTTTCCGCAATGTTGAGGTATTGATCTATGTTTTTGATGTTGAGAGTCGAGAGCTTGATAAGGATATGCACTATTACCAAAACTGTCTAGAAGCTATTCTACAGAATTCTCCCGATGCCAAGATTTTCTGTCTAATTCACAAGATGGATCTAGTCCAAGAAGACCAAAGAGATGTTGTAAGTCCACCAATGAAATTTTTACAAAATCATAAATGAAGGAACACGAGAAAACCTCTGATGGTACTTCTGTACCAAAATATTTTAGTTTTAATGATAAAGTAGCAAATTCAATATTTATCGCTGTGTAGGTATCATTTATTTTAAAAAAAATTTGGCTTCTTGAAAATGTGTACTCTCGTAAAATCTACACCTTGACATACTCTAGTAGAGGTCAGGTGTTGCAGAATGTGCTAATGCATTAAAAAAGCGACTACCACCTACATTATTCTTGAAGAGAACCTTATTTCATCTTTATTTCAAGTATTAAAACAAATGTGCAAAAATTATGAAACACACTTATTCCTGACATTGCTTTGGCCAGACTTATGCCCTCCAAATTAGTATTTCCAGGAGTGTTTTAACCTGGGGATGAACAAAATCGTAGTGAAGCGATAGTGGATCTTGGTTTCAAATGTTTCTTATTTACTTGGATTTAGATCAATGGAGCTCCAGACAAGATATGAATTAAAACACTAAAAACATGTTTCCTCCTCAAAATTTAACAAGTATAAACAACTACATTTACATATAACAGAAATGTTTAAACTTAACTCCGGTACATGTACATGTACCATGCCCTTTCAGCTGTGCATTTCCTAGTCTTTCCTCTTTTTTATGCATTTTTTCTGTCTTTTAGATATTTACAGAAAGGGAGTCAAATTTGAAACACCTATCTGAGCCTCTCAAATGCACTTGCTTTAGGACTTCGATATGGGATGAAACGTTGTACAAGGTTTGTGTAATTTTTGCCTGTTATTTCATTTACATTGTCAGTTCTTTGTCCTATTTTTTTCTGTACGATTGTGATGAAAAGATCTCCCTAACTTCTGCTGCAAATCAGCTCTGCAGTTTCTGTTTATTGAAATTATGAGCCAGAAAATGTTTTGATTAACTGATTTAGTGACCACATAATTTGATATCGGATACATTCCATGGTTTCACCCTGAATTAATGGAACAGTTTGATATCGATTGCTTTGCCTCGCTTTTAAGGGTGACACAATCCGACAGCAATATGATGTAGCAACTAAATCAGTTTATTAGGAGGAATAACTCCGGAGAATAATTTTCCTCCATCTGCATTAGGGTGGCCCTTATTTTCGACTTTTCGGAAATTTAAAGTGCGGAACCCTGCAAATGGTTCCTTTTGGTGAGGAAATAACGGGGAAAAAATGAAAATGAAGAAAAAAAAATTTTAAATGGCGCCTCAAAGAGCCTAAAGTTGCGAGCGTGGCGTGCGAAGTCGCGTTTTTCCGTCATTTCGCGAATTTTTTTCTCCCCTTTTAAATGTTGCTACGGCTTTGAAATTTTCTAAAATGGCACATTATTTAGTGTACTTTACGAGAAAAATCACAAAATTTACCGCGCCACTTTTAAAATGCCCCCTTTCCCCCTCCAAAGTTGCCACATCGTGCGATTTCGTCGACTGTTCGTAACATTCTCCCAGCACGGTTTGCCGGAACGAGTTTAATTTTTTTGAAGAGTCAATAGCAAAAATTCTTCAGATTCTAGAAGTAGAGTGTCTACAGAGTCATCTAAGCCAAAAAGAAAACGATTCTGTTCAGCTGCTGGAAAACAAAGTCGATTTAAAGGTATATCGGGGCTGACATAGGAAAAGAAAAATTAACGGTGTAAAGTTCCGTTCTATTATTGAAAAGAAACGTCCTTCATACTTAAAATGCCTGAAGGTTTCTCAGATATTGTTGTTTAAAGTACTCGAACACTAATACCACCAACTTCAGGCACATCGTAAATGTTGGTGGCCTAAAACTACCCCCCAGAGCTGAAGATTGCTTAAATTTTAATTCCATGAAGCTCTCCAAAAAATGACCGGTTTTTGGGGCAGTCAATTAGGCCGCCGAACGGAGTTTGAAATGGAAGCTTAAAATGACCTTAAGCTCACAGAAAAATTTTAAGATAAGGTAAGGACGGAGACAAGGAACAGTTTTCGAGTTATCGGGTTACTTGGGGGGGGCAGGGGGGCCAATGGGACAAAAATCCAATCTAATATTTGCTGTTATCTTGTTAAAATGATGCTGCCATGGGCTTCTCATCGTTTTGCAAATGTGTTCAACATATCGATACTTCATTATTTTAACACGTATAATTGAAATTCTATGTCAAGGAGTCGATGTTTTGATTCGTTATATCGATTTTACACTAAAAATCGGTGGTTTTCCGGGATTCAAATTCGCTATCATCGATTTACGTAAGAGATAGTAATCCGTATGAGATCAGAAAAATCGTAACCCGGTAACTCGGAAACCGTTCCTACGCTCATCTTGAAATTTTTCTGTGAGCTTAAGGTCATTTTAAGCTTCCATTTCAAACTCCGTTCGGCGGCCTAATTGACTGCCCAAAAAACCGGTCATTTTTTGGAGAGCTTCATGGAATTAAAATTTAAGCACTCTTCAGCTCTGAGGGGTAGTTTTAGGCCACCAAAATTTACGATATGCCTGAAGTTGGTGGTATTACTATTCGAGTACTTTAAACAACAATATCTGAGAAACCTTCAGGCATTTTAAGTATGAAGGACGTTTCTTTTCAATAATAGAACGGAACTTTACACCGGTAATTTTCCTATGTCAGCCCCGATATACCTTTAAATCGACTTTAACTGGTGAAAAAAAAACCTCTTGAACCAATGCCGCATTGCATTGACTTAAGAGTGCAGTTTCTTGTCGCCGGATTTAAGAGTCCTGAATTCTTGTTTCAAGCGGATATTGCATTGATTCATGCGGATTTTGCATTGAAACAAGAGTCCAGACTCTTAAATCCGGCGACAAGAAACGGTGCGGTTTCTTGTTGCCGGATTGTCTTGAACCAAGAGGTATTTTTTTTACCAGTTTTGTTTTCCAGCAGCTAAACAGAATCGTTTTATTTTTGGCTTAGATGACTCGGTAGACACTCTACTTCTAGAATCTGAAGAATTTTTGCTATTGACTCTTCAAAAAATTTAAACTCGTTCCGGCAAACCGTGCTGGGAGAATGTTACGAACAATCGACGAAATCGCACGATGAGGCAACTTTGGAGGGAGAAAGGGGGCATTTTAAAAGTGGCGCGGTAAATTTGGTTATTTTTCTCGTAAAGAACTCTAAAGAATGTGCTACTTCAGAAAATTTCAAAGCCGTGGGAACAATTCAAAGGTAGAAAAAAGACACACCGTGCGGGAAGATTGTTAGGGAAAATCGCACGACGGGGCCACTTTGGAGGGAGAGAGGGGGCATTTTAAAAGTGGCGTGGTAAATTTTGTGATTTTTCTCGTAAAGTACACTAAATAATGTGCCATTTTAGAAAATTTCAAAGCCGTAGCAACATTTAAAAGGGGAGAAAAAAATTCGCGAAATGACGGAAAAACGCGACTTCGCACGCCACGCTCGCAACTTTAGGCTCTTTGAGGCGCCATTTAAAATTTTTTTTTCTTCATTTTCATTTTTTCCCCGTTATTTCCTCACCAAAAGGAACCATTTGCAGGGTTCCGCACTTTAAATTTCCGAAAAGTCGAAAATAAGGGCCACCCTAATCTGCATGTCGTGAAAAATGTCAAATTGAATGTTATCCTGTAATAAATGGGGGCAAATTCTCAATCCTACAAGTCTTCAAAAATAATTATCAGGATTACTTTACATCCTATTTTTATTTTGTTTCAACTTCAATTTTCATTGCAATTTTTTTTCTAGGCATGGTCGTCCATTGTCTACATGCTTATCCCGAATGTGAAAGAGTTAGAGCAGAGTCTAAATTTGTTCGCAAATGTGATGGATGGAGATGAAGTCCTGCTGTTTGAGCGTGCCACGTTTCTTGTAATTTCGCATTGTGAATGTAAACCTCATCGAGATCCCCAGCGATTTGAGAAAGTGTCAAATATCATCAAGCAGTTCAAACTTAGCTGCAGGTATGTTAATTTTACCCTTACTTCCAAAAAGACTCTGTGATGTATTTTTGTCAAATATGCCTTAATTTATTTAACATTCTCTTTGATTGATTAAAAATCTCTAAAGGAGGTGCATATTAAAGGAGACATATCTTCAAATCTCAACTTCCTAAATATTCTTTTGGTTCTGTGCAATCTGGAGCTTGACTAATCTCTGGAAGAATGCCAGTTGCTAAGTCTTAACTTACTCCAAGAGTAAAATATGTTCTGCTTCCTATGAAATTTAATTTACCTCAGTTGAAAAGACCAACTTATGTCAACTAATGTGACAGTCCCCTAGAAAAGAGACCCAAGACTACAAAATTGAGCCACTTATATTTGAGTACTTACAATTAGAAGTGTTTTAAAAACATTTCGGTACAAGAAAAGCCCAATTTCAAATGTAACTGAAATTTTTGACAGCTTAAAAAAAGTTATTTTGAAACAAAGCTACTTCCAAATCTAATCAGAAACGTTCTAAAGCACAAAATCCTCAAATTATGATAGTCACATCAGCCATTGCCAAATTTCATCAACATTTTATTTCCTCTCCAGAGAACGGTTGCATGGATTCTTTTGAAAATTTCAGGGGTTTTGCTTCTTACATAGAAAAAATTCCTTGAAATTTAAAAAAAAAAAATCTACATTACCGTTCTCCCATAAGAAAACAAATCATCATTTTGGCAATGGCTGATGTTATTTGGTTCCTTTTTGCTAAAAACAGTCCAAATTGTACTCATTTAAGTATACATGATTTATATGCTAATTCCTAGAATTTTGTTTATCAGATATGAAGTATGCTTATCATAAAACTGACTGCTTGGTTCCTTCAAAACTATGAATAAAAACAACACAACTCTAAAAGAAATTTTTTAGCCATTTATATTTGTATCCATTTATTTTTTCAGTAAATTAGCAGCCCAGTTTCAAAGTATGGAAGTTAGGAATTCAAATTTTGCTGCTTTCATCGATGTATTCACTTCAAACACATATGTAATGGTCATAGTCTCAGATCCCAACATTCGTAAGTAGAAATTTAAATTGTTTACTTCTTTTAAATTACTCAATATTTAATATTTTGAAATGTTTGTGAACAGATCTCCAAATTTTATGTACATTTGGAAGATATCAAAGTGGTGTATTATGCAGCCTTGAAAAATGAAACTAAATTTCTCGTGCCGAAAAAGATGAAATTAATACCTAGTCAACATTAGTTATTGCAAATTATTGTTGAATATGGCGAGTATAATGTAGCCACTAAATCAGTCTATTTCATTTTAAGTACTTCTCTGAATTCTCGTATCTTTTACGCACAATTTTTTTCCACTGAATTTCACAGAATACTGTTTGTTTTATTTATTTCAGCATCCGCAGCCACCCTAATAAACATCCGCAATGCGAGGAAACACTTTGAAAAACTTGAGCGCGAAAGTCAGCAGAACCAAAGTATACTCACAAGATGAAACTAATTTTAGTTCAACACTTCTTTCATCATTGTAGAAATATGTACCTATTATCAAAATATCATTGTACATTTTGTATAATTCATTAATTAATGTTCGATACCATTGTGTTGTTAGCAATGTAAATATTATTGTTAATACGGGTTAAGAAGTAAGGAAAGTCTCAACAAGCTGAACTGCAGGGATAATTGACAAATTGAAGAATTTTACCTGAAATGCAATTTTCAATGCCTTTCAATGACTGGTAAAAAAATGAATAGCCTTAAAAGACTCCCCCCCCTCTCTCCCTCTCTCTCCTTCTTTCCCCATTTTTAATTAATTCATTGTGCAGTCCATTTAGAACATGGTAGCCACTAAAGTGGAAAAAGTCAGGTGGCGCCTGTGGATGGAAAATTGAGGAGCCCAGCCTAGTTGCTCTCATCCTAAAATTCCTGCACTCTCTTTGCTTTAATTTTTGTAATCAAGTTGGCAATTCCCTTTCAACTATATTTTTTTGCACCAAAACTACATTATGTCGTAATATGTCCTCTCTTATGAGGCTTGATGTGTTGATCTTCACATATCAAGGGTTCTTTTTACTAAGAAGAAAAATCAGGGTAGTTTTTGAGGAGTGATGTTGGGTATTTTTCCATTTAAAATATAGAGTAAGGCAGGAAATCTGCAGCGTTGCAGTTGCAAACAGACTTATCCGTTTCTGCAGTTTCACTGTCAATATTTCATTTTTTTGTTAATATAATGGTAACACTATTTCAAGTTCAATGTATCTTATGGATTCTTCAATAGGCAAGCAGGTATTCCTGTAATAGAGAATTTGCAGGTGCCTGAAATTTGATGAATTCCACGTTTAAGTGGAAACTACTGGGTGAACTGAAAACAAGGATATCCTTCCCAAAAACAGTTATTGAAGGAAATATGACCAAACTATCTGATCTGCTGAAATACATGTGTTTAAATGGGAAATGTTGCTAGATGACGTCATTAAGCGTTGTATTTTCTCAATTTTAAATCTATTTTTATACTATTTCCCATATCAGGAAAAAATTATTTAAAATACTGCGAAATCAGCTATTTATGCACTTTCAGATGAAGCAATAAAAATTTATACGATTTCCCATGTCAGGAAAAAATTTAAAAAATACTGCAAAATCAGCTTTTTCAGCACTTTCTGATGAAATAATAAAAAATGTTCGTGTAAATTCTCCATTGCCTCATTGTCCTTGACAATTTTATCACTGTTGCAGATCATAGGTGCTGAAATTTTACTATTTTACAATCGGAGCTGCAAATTGAACTTCATCTTTCAAAGACATTATAGCTTTAAAGCTGTTTAACCTCTAAGTTCTCATAATTTTCTCATCTGGCTTTTTTTGTGTGTGCTAGTTCACGAGAGACAAATTTTTGCGAATAGATTCGATTGAAGTTTTTAACTTACTGCCAACTTCTGTTACGATAAAACGAAATTTCCTCCCGGCAAAGGTGCGCCTACAACATTTGCTTTTAATGCTGGCAGCAATGGCGACCACATCCAAAATTCTCGATCCACCACCCGAGGCAGTTTAAAAAGTGGATGGATGCGAACATTGGCTAAAATTCATGAAGCAACTGAGTTTAGTTCGCAACTTCAGTAGGATTCTCCGTTGGTTTGTAACCCTGTCGATCCGGTCAACACTTCAACCAAATCCACACGCCAAATTTCGCCTCTAGTCGATAATCTATATTAAAAGTGCATGAAATGTATTGCTCAGTACACTCAATAAGCCGGGTACAAAAGGATTTTAATTTAGATTCATGTAATTACATTTATGTATAAGACTTCTTTATCTCAGAAGTCTAATCTTAAACTTTATAATACATTTCAGTTCAGCTCACCATACCACATTGATAAACTGCACAAAAATTATTTTCCATCTTTTCTGGATATTTTGTAACTTAAGAGCAAAAAAAGGGGGAATGAACCTCGGAGACTGAAAAATGAAAAAAAAAAAAAATCCTATGCACTCAGTTTAATCAATCCCTGTATGAATAAAAAAATTTTGTACTTCACAGATTTTTTCAGTTATTTACCTATCCTGCTATCCTGAACTTCGACAGCTCCTCAAAGGTAAAATTTAGGCATAGCGTGGTTTAGTGGCTATATCACTCTTGCAAGATTTGACAAATCGATGTGCCATGTACAACATAATTGTTATGCAATGATTCAAACCAAAATAATAGAACATTACCTCTTGTCTAAATTCTGTGTGTGTTAATCAATCACGGTTTTGTCATTTAAGTGTCATGAGTCGTTTAATGACTTATTAAATGGGAGGATTTTGACTGCAAGAAAAGCAAATGCGTATTTCATCACCATCATGATGCAATGACAAAGTTATGTGTCTGCTTACAACTGAACCGTCGAAACTGCGATATAAAACCATGGTAAAGCCACGAAATCAGTCTACCCAAGGGCATTACATATTACACCTAAAAGATTCCAATCCATCATCCTATTATAGAAAATTGAACCAAAACCAATCAATCAAAATTATTGTCTGATATAATTCATGAGATACCAAGATTTATCATGAAAATTCTAACATTATTAAGTAATGACATTAAAGTTAATTTGATATAAACAAAGAAAGTTGATGGAAAGAGTTTTTGCGCTTTTATTCATTGTAAGAATTTTACAATCGTTTACATTATTAATTACAATATAAAACAAGTGACAGTGAGGCGAAGACTCCAAAATTGATCAATGAGAAATTTACACTGAGAAAATGAGGTTGACAAATTTTTATAGCTCATATCGCATTAATTACAATACTTTATTAGACAATACTTTCCTTGTGAGATGACTTTAGAGCATGCTTGTATATCACACAGGAATGAATTCTGTAAGTACTACAATACTTAAAATGGTCCTTATAAATACAAACCGCTTACAACAACTTCAACAATTAAATAATAACAGATAACAATTACTTTTACTTAGGCTTTAAAGTTGGGTATTGCGAATGACGGTTAACGGGTGCGACAAATTTTGAGATGCATAGTGCAGATTTAGACGTGCAAATATTATTTGGTAAAATAGCATTAGAAATTCAAGGCGCCAGTTATGACTGAAGCATTGAAAGACAATCATGTTTCTAAGAATGACGTGTGGTTTCTAAAGCTATTACAAGCCAGCTAGAATTATTCGCGGGTCTTCAACTGCAGCCTTGATTTTCCTCAGGAACAACACCGCCTCGCGACCATCAATCAATCGGTGATCATACGTCAGCGCGATGTACATCATTGGTTTCACAACAACCTGCAACCATAATGTAAGTAAAATTTTGAAAATTTAACTGTTCATCGATTAAACATTTCAGACGTTCTTAAGTTATAATACAGAGACTTTAATGACATTGGAAAATACATCTATATTGAGTCATAGCATCTATGTAGTGGAAAAACAATGGATTCCATCTGGTCTTGGATTAGAACAATGAAAAATGAAAAGAATGAGTCACACAAAAATTAAATTAGGCAACTATGCACAAGATGGTTGGTAATTTCACACATCAAAAAATTCTGATCACTCGGTTTCTCTACCACACTTTTAATTCGACATGATCTTCCTGTGATAAATTTTGGTGGATGGTAAAAAAATATGCAGTTTTTCCACACTTTTCGGATGTTTATATCAAGAGCAGATTAACACTGAATAAATAACCAGGAGCATCTGTCCGTCAGAAATTGGTCCAGCCGCTTTTAATTGTTCTTTTTTTCTTCTTATTTTTGCCATTTGAAGGAGGCAAACAGGTCCAACATCATTCTAAGTATCGGCCAGCCAACCAGGATTTTCCCCTTATGTTCCCATCTGACTATACACCCCAGATTTTTTGTGATCAACCGAAAAAATTTCTAGTAATTTCAAATTTTTGCAGTTTCTTCTAATGCTTGCCACTCTGCTTAAGGCTTAGCCTATTCAGATCCTGACATTAGTCTATCAAATCTATCTCCAGCATCATATTATTTGTTGAATGGATAGCTGCTAAAAATACTGATGGTAAATCTTGGTACGCAATGAAACAAGAAACTTTCAACACTAATTCATCGTAAAAGCCCTTAGAATCAAAGAGGTTTGGCGACAAAAATTTCGAAAACTAAATACTGTACCTGTCCTTTAATGGCTACAGGGCGCTCGAATGTACCATGCATTCCTAGAATCGCAGATTGGGGTGGGTTGATAATAGGGGTTCCGAACAGAGACCCGAACACGCCTCCGTTGCTGATGGTGAAAGTACCACCGTCCATGTCTTCAATGGCTAGAGCGCCTTTCCTTGCCTTCTCGCCGAGGGCATTGATTGTCAGCTCAATGTCTGCATAATTCATACTCTCTACATTACGAATAACAGGAACGACCAAACCCTGAGACCAGAAATAATGATACAGATTATCTTGGTTCAACTTGGGGAATATTAAAGGGATGCTAAGAGAGTATGGATGATCTGAGAAGGAAGCATCGAGGCAATTCATCCTATGATCTAGGAGTTATCCCATTAACTATTTATGACAACTATCAAGCAAACTTTAAGTTTCATGGACATTAAAAACACTTGCCCCTACACATGCCACAGAGAATTTACTTGCAATGAGATAAGTTACAAAATGAGAACTAACAGAGGCTGTATTTGTCTGCAAAAAAGTAACGCATTTGATACAATGATATGCATCAAAAGAGCTATTCTTACATTGAAGTGACTATTCTTACATCAAATGCACCACTCTTTTCCGTAGATGAATCCTAATTTCATTTCTTTAGAATGTTTAATTTAATTTTGTTGACATTGATTGCAGGAGATTTGTTTTAAAACGCTAATTCGGAGCTAACTTGTCTTAAAATTCTCAACTCGAGATAAAAGACAGTAACTGGACCCTCGGAAGAATATTTTTCAGCTTGAAATTTGAGAACTAATGACAATTAAAATTGCACACAAAAGAGACCATATTTTAATCAGTCTTAGGAGACCTTCCAAGTATTAGGTATTACAAAAAGTATTTTGATCGTCTTTTTGACCCTTCTCTTTCCTTGCGAGGTGTAAGGAACCCTTAAAACAACCTTTCCTCTCCCTTTTGAATGACACAATTGTTTTTATTAAGAAATATCAATTTATTATTATTAAACAAAAAAGCAGCTTTTGTGAGACTGGACTTAACCCTCTCTCGCGTAAGACCGAGTGAGTAATTGAGTTAGCAATTACGGTAATAATGGCTTAACTCTTAAAGAAACAGCATCTGGTATTCTTCTTCTGCAACACTAAATTGCTCATTTCCCTATTTTGATGATGACTTTTGAGGAATTTTCTTATAGGGTGATATACATTCAACAACTTACTTTGGGTGTAGCTACAGCAACTGAGATATCAACATAATCTCTATAAACGATTTCATTTTCGTCGATTACGGCATTGACAACTGGTTGATCCTGGAGGGCATAAGCAGCAGCTTTGACAAATGCAGACATGAATCCAAGTTTAATTCCGTACTTCTTGGTGAAAGCTTCTAGGTGGGTTTTTCGGAAGTCCATGATTGCGCTACAAAAAAGAGCAAATTATAGAAACAGCCGAGGTTACACATTTTATAATTTTTGTCATATTAGCAGCTGAGTCATGAGACAGGATTAGTTATGACTGTTTAAATGAGAAAAAAAGAAAACCTCTTGCCTGGCATTCTTTAGCTAGTTTTCGACCCTGATTATATCATCAGATCAAATCATCACTAGGCATATAAAATGAAACAAAACAATAAAACGTAAACAAAAATAAAACAATCACAAAATTGCCACCATGGGCCGCAGCCCATATGCTTTCCCTTCCAGTTCTGCTTCGTATTAAAGACAAAGATTGAGGATCAATTCAAGACAAACTCACCTCATATCTAATTCATTGAATGTTGTCAACATGGCGTTGGTGTTCTGCGCATCCTTCAGCCGTTGAGCAATCCGCAGTCGCATTCTGTTCATTTTCACCCTCTGTTCAGAGCGGGTTCCCGAAATTTCTTTGCTGTAATCTACCGGTGGAACCTTCACTGTAGCTGCTTCGATTGCCTAGAAAAATCAAGAGATACATAAATATAATTTAGGAACTTACCATGTTCACCCTTTTTTCTGACTCAGAAGTAGGGAGCCCAAAGAAATTTACAAAGTATAAAATTTAGGAGACCAATTTAAGATAGGAGGATTCCTGATGATTTAATACATCATTTTTTGGAAAATATTTTTCGGTGAAATACTGATACATTTTGAACCAATACTGTCTCTCCTAAGAAAAGAGGTCATTAATTAAATAAGTGAATGGAGAGAACTAAAAAAATCTTACCTTCTGACACTGCCACAGGGAAAATGAGCATCTCATCTTAGTGAGGAAAAGGTGATCTTAAATGGTAAATAATACCTTCTCACTGCCCTATTTAGGGATTGAAACATAGCTAAGATATGGAGGTTTAGCGGTCTGAATCTCAAAATAGGAGAGAAATCAAACATTTTACACCCCTGATTAAAAAAAAAGAAAAGGGCAAAGTTTAAGTCATTCTTGCTATAAGGGATGCCATCTTAGGATGGCTCATGGGCGGCAATCGATAAAAGAAGGGACAGTTATTCCCACAATCAATTTTATTTTAACCAATAAATAATCCTCAACAAATTAATACAAAGTCTAGGTTCAAGAATATTATTTGTAGAAATCTTAGAGACCGTAACTTAGGATCAGAGAACTGAAGCTCATGGGAAATGAGGAACAACAAACACTAGGGTGGTAAGCAATTTTAGTCTAAGTTTTTCCAAAATATTTTTCTCTCTTTAAGTATACATATAAAATTGAAACAAAGAACTAAATATTAAAAATAGTATCACAGATCATAGGAGTACGGACAGCAAGCCTGTAATGAGAAAGAAAAAAAAAATATTAAAAGCGAGGATAAACAGATAAAATTGGGGAGGGGGGGAAGTAACTTTGACGATGAGGTTTAAACGTAATGTCAAACTTCAGACCTGCAGAAAACTTTTGGTGCACCAAAAGTTTGTGGAGGTGGTCCTCCAGAATCCAATTAAGGACATAATAATAAGAAAGACACCTCAGAAGGAAATTCACTAAAAAACTAAGTAATTGCATGGTGATGCAATGCAGAATCAATTAAAAATAACAAATCTTCATTGAAAGGACAGGCAACAAAGCAAATGCCTTTAAAACATTGTTAAAATATAGTTTTCAGGCCTCAGCAATTAGATCTGTAAGTACAAAACGTTTTTAATGAATGATTAACATTTTCCATAATCAATTCTTTACAACACAAAACTGGTGTTCTTTAAAATTTCAGAGGCCACCCTGGCAGGAGAGCCTGAATTTGAGGAACCACCTACAATTTTTGGGATCCAAATTGGATTGCATTTTGCAAAAAGGAACCAAGATCATTCCAATGTCACTAAGATTGTGTGACTTGTTTTATCTTGCAAATATAAACTGATTATCTGAACAAGTTTTATCTTTACTCCCAATAAACTATGAATTCAAAACGAAAATTGTTCAGTGATTTCATTGCAATGAATGCAAGTTCCACAATCCTAGGAACATTGGAAAACTCTTGGTTCCTTTAAGCAAAATGCAATCCAGTTTAGTTTCAGCATATTCTATGCTGTTGTGCACCGTGTCTCTGTCCCGTTTTTGGATCTTCTCGTTCGTCAGCTACCACTACTTTGCGATTGCACGTTTAAAAATCGATATGGTGCGTCAAATTTTCTACGCACCACAATGGCTCAGGCCCCTCAATTTTTAGGCGCAAAAGCTAATTTTTTAAGCGCAATTGGCGCATGGAACCTGGAGAGGGCTGAACACCGCGCAAGAATTAAATCAGAAATTTGGAGGAAGATCTTGGGGAGGAAAAACAATTTAACAATGATGTTAAGTAGGTAATGGTGGTCAAAAATGCTCACCCTGAGGAAAGTTTCATTTTTTTTCAAAGAGGCTGTGAAGCATATTGATGTCTTTGGTGCTGCTGCCATGTGCTTGAATGACGCAGGTCAATCGAAAAGGCATTGAATCAGCTACGTCTCTAAAAGTTTGATGTTTGGTGTTCAAGTAGCGCCACATTTTACGCACAAAAGCTTGGAAATCTTTAATATCGCTCAGATCATCGATACAGTTAGCTGAGTCATCCAATAGGGTGAACACTTCATCCCACAAGTCTTCTGCAGGATTTAAGTCAGTAGACCATGCTGGTACCGGAAGAACGTTAATGTGTGGATGTAAGGAAAACCAGTCGGAGAGGCGCTTGGCGGCCGAGACTTTATTTTTCACTTTGATGGTATTGGTTTTATAATTTGAATTATGCTGCACCAAGTTGAACTGTTTGCCTGGGCCAAAAATTTTGCTGGTCTTTGGTAAGAGCTCCTGTTCACAAAAAGAAAAAGAAATAGATTATAAGAGGTTATATTCTACAAAAGTAAAAAAATAAAAATTGAGAAGCCATGAGATGCTTGTAACTCGTGAATTGTAAAAATAGAGTAGGTGTTACACTTCATCCCTCCTTCAATACTTTGATGCCCCAACTAAATTTTTTTACCATTGATGAAATTACTAATTTGGCAGAAAATTTTAGTTTTTATGCAAAATTTCCATGACATCAAACTGAAATTTTGCCCAATTATCTTAATTAAAAGCTGATGCGCTGCATATGCATAAGAACGTCATGCACTGATGATAAATATTGGCAGATTTCAATCACTGTATTACCGGCTCTAAATGGGAAATGGACTGTGGCGGACAATTGAATTTGTGAGAATGAAACGCACCAACTCGGAAACTTAATAATGCCTGATTTTTATGAGAACCATGGAGGATATTGCAACTTGTCAACTTGGGCCTGTTAAGTGTCCCAATATAAATGTCTTTCGGCACCAAACAGCTTTTTCTTGTAAGCTTCTAACTTCTTTAATTACTGTCCAGCTTTGTGAGTCTCTTAAACTTACTATTTTTCCAATTTAGTGTGTTCTCATTCTCACTGATTCAATGGATAAGTTATATGATCGGTCCGAACAGCAACTTCCTATATTCAATATTAACCGAGATATCACCCTTTGAAAAATTCGGTTTATGACGTCATCCACCCCGGTAGAGACACCTTTGGTTTCTTCCACCTTGCTTTCATCCGAGTTTCATGTTGAGGAACCAACGCAAATGTGTGCATTATTGACTGATGAAAGCAAGAGGAAGAAACCAAGGGTGTTACTACTGCGAAGGATGACATTATAAACCGAATTTTTCAAAGCTCGATATCTCTCTTAATATTGAACATAACACATTGCTGTTTGGACAAATCTTATTCATTTCAGCTTATCTACAAGAATCAAGCATTAAAACACGATTCTTTGACCAGCCAACTGACCCATTGAGGACCACTCGAGAATATTGGGTTTCTCCCACCGGCTCTAAACAAACCAATCTTTTCTGATTTTTGAAAGATCAGATTTTCTTCTCTACATACCATAACACTATCCTATTCGATAAAGCTAACAAATAATTTACACAACATACTCACATTTTTTAGGACTTTGATGTAATCAGCTGCGACAAAGTTAACTGAAGGAACTATTGACACTGTTCCACCGGCCCAAATGCTGACCCAAAACCCCATTGTAACATCTATCACATCATCATATTTACCTCCAAAATTTTCCGGATCCACTCTGAAATGATAGCAAATATTTTTTATGTTAACTTGGTTTGACAACACACCATGGAAACAAGGAATATCACACACAAACGTTTTAGGAGAAAGTTCTAGAGACACTTTTACACATACTGGGTTGGGTTAGAGAAATGCTGGATACGCCAAAACTTTTGGGGGGTCACGACTCTCCGACCTCCCGGTGGAAGCCAGAGAAGAGGGCACCCTCCTAAAATATCTAATGGAGATTCCCTACTTGTGACCTGCACATGGAGTATTTCTTCTGCCCGTCCCAATGTGTGGAGCGAGTGCTAGGTCGCCAGTCTTGTTGGAAAGGCTAAAGAAATGAGGAGAGCCTTGATTCTTTCTATCTTTTCATATGAAGTGTAATTTTTTTTTTCCTGTCATGACAAAATACTATTCTTTCTTTCTTTACATAAAAAAAGTTGATATAGGATAATATTCGGTACTAGTTCAGCTGCGAGAGAAAATTCTTTCGGAACGTCTTAGTCATAATTTGAGACCTAAATTTAGCATTTGATCTGTGTGTCCACAGATATTCTAGACCTATTTCTAACTTCCTTTATCCTGGGGCCAATTTTTCTTAATCGATTAGTACTGAATGATAATTGGTTAATCTTCTATAATCTTGTTCGCCAACTGCCAAGTGTAGAAAACACCGTTAAAAATACCTGACTATTATTGAATTTTCTGGATTTTTCAAACCTGTTGACACCCTGATTTCATAAAGCAATTACAGCGAAATATTGCATACTTTGCCGGGGTGAGACGATGCCAGCCTCTGCTTCTCCATCGCCTTTTAAGTCCATCGTAGTGAAAAACTTTCCTACTGCACCAAACAGTTTGATGCCAAAACTCCTTCGGTTTATCTACGTAATCAATGGCAAATTTCAGTCTCAAGGCTTTGAGTATCCTGTGAAGCAGAGAATTTGATTACTTGCATAGAATTTGTTTCGCCTCAATCGCTGAGCTATTTCAGCTTCATTGAGAATTAGAGTTGTAGTGCTACACGAAATGTTTGCAAGGAACCTATATTGACGGTTAAGCTCCCAAGCGACGCATCTTGGTTTGCAACGTTGCAGACTTCCTGTCATAATTTATTATTTAAATGGAGTACTACTCAACATAAATACTTAAAAACTTCTGTGATATTTCTCGGCAAATTTTGAAAAAACTTCAAAAAATGATTTTGATTTGTTTTCCTTTGAAGAAACAAAATAGGAGCGAAGATTTGTAAACACTGCAAACGATATCCGAGGTTTGGGAGATCCACCATCAATATTCAGATTGCTGACGATCTATGGTTTCCAATGTTACAATACATGAAATGATTACTTTAAAGAACCCCGCACAGAGCATTAGGTCGGCGGCTCTCGATGAAAGTCGATGAAACTTTAATAGATTGATATAAAGTTCATAATTAAGGGAAAGCCAAAAAATTAGCTCACTTTTGCGAGTAGAAACCGAGATATTCGCAATTGAATCCGGACTATTTTCTATCATGCCGCAGCATGGCGGAAGAATTCCGAGTCCCCTCTCCTCTTGTTGTTCGGCGTTCTCGATCAGACCTTAAGTCACTCATGTGAAGATAGGTGCTTATGCGCTCGGCCAGTGCGAATGCCGTACTCCCTCTCTCTCCCCTTATCTGTCAATTCTGTTTCAGCAACTACATTTCAGATTAAACCGGCTTGCGGCGCCGGCACAGAAGAGGTGCGAGAAGCAGGGAACTCCATATCGCACTTCTTCTTTCTTCTTTCCTCCGGTCCTTCCTTTCTTCGTTCTTTCTTCTCTTTTTCTTCCTCCTTTTTTTCAGGCAAACAGGAGGGGGGCTTGCGTGCCCTTCGTCAATCCCCCTTGGATTTGCCTGTAATTTGGAACAGGCTAAATTTTGATGTCATTTGATATGATGTTCCTTAAAACCTCCAGGTACGAAAAGCTTTTATAATCAACCTTCCTACGTCCTACTTATGAGAAAAGCAAGGCTAAAAGCAACTTTCTTGGCCTTTTTGAAAAGCGGTTTCTGATTGAAATTCAGAATTGTAGGTAGATCTGCGTGAACACTGCACTGCACAGCGTTACCATTCTCGTGGGTTTGATTATTTTTGTCTGTCTTGTCGTTGTGGGCTTCAAGGAGACAATAGAAGTCTCTAAACACCAACCAGATGCTGCAACATTTATACTAGCTACAGCATTGAAAACACCAAAAATTCACTTTGTATAGCTGCTTTTCTTGAGCATGGCACATAGAAAGTTTAGTTTTAAAAACCCTTTGTCCTCGGGAGGTTGTAAGAAACATCATATCAAATAATATTGAAAAGCCAGTGCCTAATTACTTGGTATTTTTGTGCCCTTTTGATGGGATCTAATGGTTTTACAACAAACCTAACAGATAAAAAAAGCTTTTAGACCTGAGGTAAAGAAATATACAAACCTCGTATACAAAAGATTTGTATTGGTATGTTCTTTGCTTTCGGGCCAAATTTGACACGCTAATTCTAATAATGGAACTTCAGGATGGTCTTCCATTAGTTTTATGAGTGCTCGTATATCCTCCGGAAGATGTAACTTGAGTGTCTGTGTTTCGGTGTCTGACTCTTTTTCTACATGGAAAGTATGTGCTTCTGGTGGGCTCTGAAATAGCTCACCTACCTTCCATCGGGTAACTGTGTCATCAACATTTAACTGAAAAAGAATCAATAAAACAATCAATAAAATTATTATTTCTTCTGGGCTTGGATGGCTTCATTCTCTGAGGAGTAACTCGGTTCAACTTTTTCCGACACAAATCATGCAAATGGCAAATCGATGGTGAAACTACCGGACTACGTATCCCGATTGCAGTATTAAAAAATTTCCCATCCTGGTTTATTTTTTTGAAGGGGAGCATATTATAAGTATTATTCCTTGAAGTTTTCGAAGAATTTTCCTCAAATTGCAAGGAAAAATAACGGAAGTTTTTAAGATTTGATGTGCAGTATTATCCAATTTAAAAATGAAGTATGACAAGAAGTCTGCAACATCACAAACCGAGATATGTTTTGTTAGTTTCACTATCGAAATAAATAAAAAAAGTTCATAAACATGCCCTTTCTTCAAACTCTCTTTCCTTGACCTGCTTTTATCAAGCCCAACTATTCTACCCACCATCCTTCTACAGAATAATGCTTTTAAGCTCCGAATGTATCCCTTCGGTAGAAATAAGAAACTACAAATTATAGACACTAACCAGGGTTAATCATGAAGGCTGTTACCAGAAAAAGTGAGATGATGTGTTTTAGAACTGGTGAAACTAAAGAGATGCCTACATCCATTTGCGGCATTGAAAACTTCCGTTATTTTTCCTCTCAAAGTGAGAATATTCTGAGAAATTTCAAGTCGTATTCTTGGATTGGAATCTTTTTTTAAAAAAAGAAAAATAGGAAAGAAGATTTTGAAACACTGCAACCAAGATTAACATTTTTACAGTTTCGCTGTCGATATTGTGTTTTTCTCTCAGTTCAATGAGCAATTTCGTGTGATGAAACAAGGCTGTTAACACAATCACTTTCATCGCATTTAATTCAATGAGAAATTTAAACAGAGCAAGTACCTTGTCCAAAGGCTTATTCTTTACCACTTGCAAAAGCGGGAAAAGCAAGTGAACATGACCTTTCTTAAGGGTGATAAATATTTTGAAAAATTTTAAATTTGCTCAAAAAGACTTCTCCACAGAAATATCAACGGAAAGTCAAAAATGAGTGCTTCAGGATTTTCTCATGTCTCATTTTCATTTGTCTTCATGTCTCATGTGTCATTTTCTCATTTCTCTCATCACATTGGATGCATGAATTTGTCATGAGCCAGTAGTATAACCTAGATGATCACATTTAAAAAAATTATCTTTTCCAGAAATTTTTTATCATAAAACAAGGGTCATGCTGCACCATTCCAGGCAAGACATAAAGCATAGAATGTACAGGTGGAGTGGCAGGGATTGCGGTCAAGGACGTAACTTGGAAAGGGCGTCTTCTAATGACTTTCACTGCGTAAAATTCTGAGAGAGCAGAGAAAATACTCGTAGGATCATAATCCTATAGAAAGGTTCAGGGGTGCAGAAATTTCCCTATCATGCGATCATGATATGGTGGCCGTAGAAAAGGGTTTGCAAGCAAAAATGAGAAGGTTGTGAAAATTGGAAAGATCAGGTCTCAATGAGTGTGTAGTAATAAAATATTGTGTTTTTAGATACTCGCGATGAAATTCCATGTTTTTTTGTGGAATTGCGGTGGGATTTGCAGGTTTTTTGCAACGGTTTGTGCATGAAAGACGAATTAGTCATTACTTCAAAAATTTTGGATGAAAAGAGGTAATCAAAATTGGGGGGTAAATTTGTAAAATGAGACGGTTGAAAACTTTCTGCACTCCTGAAAAGCCTCTACAGGTGCTCCCAATATATTTGTGATTTAGTGCTAGAATCACAAAAAAATATTGAATAAATTTTTTGCCATTTTAGTCAATCAATGCCATGAAGTTTAACTTTCAATGCCTGTATTCTGTATTGATTTTGACATTGACTAGGGCCTATTTCTCACATGTTAAACCACAACAGAATTTTTGGGCATCTTCGGGAGAGTTTTCTATGCAATATAACTATTTCTCTCATTGTACAACTTTCGGTTTTAATTAATTATTTGAAAACTGTAAACTGAAACAGCAATTACAATTAGTGGTTCAAATTAAGTGGTTTGAGAACTGCTGGGTTAGAGCAACTTTATTATTTTCCTGCAGGGGAAAAGTTTAGATCAAATCATCATTCCGCAAAATCACTGACTTCTTTCACTTTCCACACTGCATTCTTGACACTAACACCTATGCGATTAAGAAGAAAAATGACTTACCTATTATGCTGGTGTTAGTAATCTCAACCTCATGAAAGAAAGTGTCAAAAGTATAGTCGCACAAACAAGAGGCTGCTGGCACTTTCTTTTAAAAACACTGCACTATTGAAGAAAAGTTCACCATTATATCACCCAGAAGTAATTTTAGATTTTCTAATACCAGGATCGTTGTGGGTTTCAGAAAATGAAATTCCCTGATTTCCCTAACACATTTTCGTCAAAGTCCTTGAGGATGGAAGATATGCCAGATGTTTAAAAAGACATAATTTGAAATAGTGTTCGGGTAAAATTCGTTGTTGGAAACTTTCAACCCATTCTAAAAAGCAAATAAAAATGACTTAACAATTTTGCCCTGACACTTTTGTCATTTTCCCTAACAATTCCAGGTTTTCCCTAACTTTTTAACATTCCCTGAGAATAATTTAATGTCCCAGTATTCCCTGACTAAGGCAACCATGTAAGGATGGTATGATTGTGAGGGGGGGGGGAATTAAAATTAAGTTGAAAGATGTTAAGCAAACACTATCCAAAATGCTTGAATAATCAAGAAAAACCGAAACAAGCCCATATATTTGCCCTGACTGTAGAATTTCTATTCTCAAAAGCACACTTTTTGCTGGAACTTTATACTAAACAAATGATGTGCTATCTTACTTTTTGGGTTAAATGTATAACAGCGATTGTGATTGGTTCAAAATGGATCAGTTCACAGCTTTTCCCGCTGAAAGCTCAAAAAATACATGCCTGTACATATTACAGCTAAGATTCGGTCACTTCAAGGATTTGATTCAAAAGGGTACTTAAAACATATGATTTTTTCTTTCGAATTTTGCTGGAACCAAAACCATGATTTCTTACCCTATGAAAGTAATCATGACACGTTCAGAAGTATAAAAATTAACATGATATGAAAATAACCTTTCATCTTAAGGAATATTTTTGTGTCCCTCTGAGTACAAATTACTCACAAGTGTCATCCTCAGATTAAGTTACGGTCCTTGATATCTTCCAAACTAAAAAAGATCAATTATAATTCAAATAAAATTATGCATATCGAACCTACTCTCAGATTTAAAAAAAAATAATAACCCAATATTTTGAAAACTGGTTGACACGTTAATAAAAAAACTTAATTTTTCTTGGACCACCAGCTGTCACTGCAGACCAACCTCCAATTGTGCCAAGAGAGTATACCTAATAAATTTCTCGATTTTTCATTAAATTTTTCTCCTGAAAACAGAGAGGACCTGGAGAAACGATGATAATTCAAAATACCTGCGCATGTCGGATGGCCGCAACTGGGATTGGTTTTGCCGCTGGAGCTGCTGCTGGGGGCGGTGGTGGGGTTGCTGGAGCTGCAGCCTGCTGTGATGGGGGTGGTGGAGGTGGAGGAGGAGGTGCAGCGGCCTCCACTTTTGGTGGGGGAGGTGCAGCGGGTGCTTCAGCTTTCGGAGCAGCAGCCTTAGAGGGTGCAGTCCCTGCAATAGAAAAGTATTGAGTGTGAGAACGATTGCATATTGTTCTGAGTAGATCAGTTGCACACAAGAGATACAGTCAACGCAGCCAACTTTGTACATGCCCATCTACAAGAATAGAGACTTTAATGTACAGAGCCATTTTTGGGAGAGTGATTTTTAGAGACCTACAGAAAGTATGAGATTATCAGACTGTAGTTTCGTGATTACGGACACAGTGGAAATGTAGCGACACCTGCTTTTTTACTCTTCTTTCTGAGAATGAAAAGATTTAGAGCTGTTGAGGCCTCGACAAAAAGATCATTATACATAGAGGCTCCTAGAGAAACCAGTTATGAACATAAGGTTACCTACTCAGGGTGAATGTGTTAGAAAAACTGATTCTGCACTTTAAATTTGAGTTTTATAAAGAAATTGTTTCCTACAACTCTCCATAGTCTTGGAAACAGTACTTCTAATAAATTCCTTAAGCAATCTATAAGAGCTTCGATGCTTTTGTCAATATTTTGTCTAATGCTTTCATGACCGTGAAAACCCTGATACCTACAACTTGGAAATTGTATTTTTTATCGCACCTATAAACAATCTCTAAGAACTTAAATGCTTTGGTGAATTTTAAGTCTGATGCTTTCGTAACACTGAAATCCTTCATAGCTACAACTTGTGAACTCTATTTTCTATCGTACCTTAATAACATCTAAAAGAACTTAAATGCCTTTGTGAATTTTATGTCTGATGCTTCACCACTCACTTCTAAGTAGCAAAAAAAACCAAAATTCAGAGAGAGCATATCAAATTAAAGAGCAGTGGAAAGTCACCTGTGATATTGATCTTGAATAACTTCTGTCCAGCTTTGACTGATGCTCCATCGTCCACGTAGCGCTCAAGGATCACACCGTTTCCAGGGGATGGGACAGGCACTGATGTCTGACATGGGGAGGGGGGGGGAGGAGGAATAAAATCAGATATAATTAAAATAGAGAGGAGTTTCAAGATTTCATTTTAAAAGATCAGATAAGTATGGACGATGCCTTGGAGAGAGAGAAAAAGTTAAACAAAATAAACATAGGAAAATACAATGATTGGATTGGACTAGCTTTGAAAAATACCTTGTTTATTCAAGCACAAGGTACTGAAATAGATTTCAGTTTCCATTAACCGTTTTAAAATGAAAATTTTTCACTGTGAGTGATTTCCTTTGATCACTCTATACTTGACACATTATTTCACCTCAAGATTCTAGGACAAAATAATAAGCGATGCTTGCGTTTTCTATTTCATTTCTTTTCAAGTTGTGTTTGTGTATTAATGACCAAAATGTTCAAGAACTAAAAATGAGGGGCTTAGAGGACAAGGCGCATAAGTGTGGTTGTTGCTATTTTGAGAAATACATGTTTGGAGTTTCGAAATTACATGGATCCTTATGGCCGAAAGAAAGTTCATACTGACTTTTTGATTCATAAAAATTGCAATTTGGGAGCAAATTTTCACAGAATATGCATTACGACTAGTTTTACTTGAAATAATTAATAACTCAATTTTTTCAAAAACTGCACTGATGCACTTTGTCCTCATAGCCCCTTAAATATGTAAAACTTATTCATGTTAATAAAGTGTGTGCAAAATGGGGGGGGGGGGTGAATCATTCTCCCCTCAATGAGATGAATAAAAAGAGTAGAAACATACCTTATCAGTCTCGATTTCACATACAACCTCATCAGTGGCTACCTCATCGCCAACATCTAAGAGAAAAATAGAGAGAAAAAATTGGTCAGAAAATGTAAATATTGTCTAGAAAAACACATTTATATTTATTATTTTTTCCCAATTTTTATTTTTTTCCTCCTTTTCTATTCAAATTCTACACAAAAAGATAAAATTCCTTGAAAATTTCTTCAAATTCTCACGATATGACTTGCTCATAAGTTTCTTGAATTTGCAAGAATACATTCTTCTTTCAGCTGCCTGAGCTTCAAACATTGTAGGAATAATAGACGAGCATATTTTTTAAAAAGGGGGAGGGGGAGAGAGAGAAAGCATGGAATATACTGCTCTTAGAATACAAATTAAACGATTACATGCTCAAACAGACCTTTCGGAAAAAAAGAGTGAATTTTGTTCAAAATTTCTAAAGCTAGAAAAATTCATTGAAAACGGATAGAAAATGAAGGCTGATGAATCAGGAGTACCTACTTTTTTCCCACCTAATGTCTCCTTCACTTACAGACTCTGCAAAAGGAGGAACGTTTACTACTTGCTCTTCATCTGGAACAAAAAGAAAACAAGAAGATGAACATGGATTGATGTAAATAGTACCATCTTAAATGTTAACTGAAAAATAAAGTACTAAGTTCTTGGATTTAATTTTCCTAGGAACTAGACCAAATTTTTTTGGTTCATTCACTGAGATTCATTCTAATATTTTCGGATTGTCAACATTTAAGAGGGACAGTGTAAAAAAAGCATTTTCTGATGGAAAAATCAATTTTATTTTAATTCCCTATATTTTCCTCCATTCTGTTCAATGAAGAAAAATTCCAAACACTTTTGATTTGTTTCATAATATTTTATGATGCTTGCTGCCTGCATAAATGACCAGTCATTAAAAAGCAACTGGTACCTCTATCATTCATTGATAGAAATCCCACTCCCTGTTAATTGACGACAAAACTAAGTTGTTTCACCATTCAAATTCATTTAAGAAAAGACTCGAATTTATGCGGCTCTTCCGCCCTTCTTCTCAGCCCAAAACTCTGATTACAATAAAATTTGAAGAGATAAAAGTAAAAAGAAAGAAAAAAAGAGAATATTATGGTGCCTACACAAAGAAGAGAAAAAAAATGTAGATACCCACTCACTATACTGCCCGGCTGAGGAGGAACATCGTAAAGCTTTCAAACATTGCCATATTTCCTTCAATAAAAACCGAGTTTACTGGGAAAAACTAAAAAATTCTATTCTTAAAATTTACAAGAAAATATTGTTTGCAATTCAATCCAAGTTAACTGAAAATTTCAAGGAAGAATATGCATAACTTTCTTAAAAAATGCATGTTTCATCCAGGAAAATTTGGGAACTCTCAAATGTTCGTAAGACGTTCTTTATGGCATGGCAGAATAATAATGCAGCTTAAAGGACATAAAAATGCATGCAAAAATATTTATTTGCATGGGCACTTGGCAACAGTGCAAAACTTGAGCACTTCATACTTGACATGTCATTTTAGATTCAAAAAATGCATGTGGAGGAGGGATTTAAGCAGCTTCTTATGACGTGCTTCACTCCTGCCCCTACCTTGGATGATTAAAGACAATTGATAATCAATTTTTTTACAAGCTAATTATGCACTTCATTAGATGTTGAAAGTTGTAAGAGCCTTCAGTTTGGCAACAAAACAGCAGCTCAACAAGCCTGTTGACTGATGCATAGGAATGTGCAATATTTTTTAGCAGAAAGAAAAGAGTATGTAAGTGGCTCAAATACAAAAAAGGGAGGCAAGGTGACTAATTTGGACTACATGGCCTTCTCTCAAAGCTGCTATTTTTTCTTCTTTTTTTGGAGGGGGGGGGGGAGAGGGGAGAAAAATATGAAACGCAGATAAGCAATAATAAGATTTCATTGCTTTCTTTCTTCTTCTGGTGTATTTGAACTTTATTATAATTTTTTCAAACCGGTAAGAAGGATAAGAGAGTGATGTTGAAAATTCTCTCCAAGAAGCAATTAAAATTTCTCAATTTGAATTATGAGCTAAAATAAGTGTTCAGCGAGGAGGTTTTATGTAATAAGTGAGATCCAGCCGTTTGATGAAGGAGTTGAAAAACGACAGCATCCACGATGTCACTGCACTTATTGTGCTATGTACTTTACTTGGTTTTTGTACACCTACACCTAAGTACCGATGAACCAGATCATGCTGAGTATGTAGCAGCATTTGAAACACACGCCGGTCAAACAGCAATTTGCCAGCAATAAATCGCCTTTTGCCGCTGAGAAATGAAACTAGCAGCCAAGTCTGGCCGCTAAAAAAATTGTTGTTAAACTCTGTTTTTGGGATTTTTTGGCGTATTACGGACTCAAGGCATTTCGAAAGGGCAATTTTTCATTGTGGCTTCTAAGAAATCTGAGATGGCCCCCAAGAATAAAATTTGCAGTCCAGATGGCTGCTAGGACTTCATGCCGAGTTTCAAACACTGGTATGTAGCAATCCCATATGAGATCATGCTCCTGAAAATTTTTCTTCGATATAGTGATCCAAAAGTCCTGCTCTGCCCTTATGACCCTCAAACTTTCTTGCCTTTTTTCAGAGTGGTCTTCTTAAAATTTTGGAGTTCTCAAGGATCCAGGGTTGCCACAGAATTTGGAAAATGAAATTCCCTGATTTCCCTGACAATTGAAGATGTGACTGATGGTTAAGAAGGCATCATTGAAAATAGTTTTCAGGCAAAATTTGTTGTTCGAAACCTCAAACCCAATCTAGAAAGCAAATGAAGGTGATTTAATAAACTCTGACATTTCCCAGTTCTCCCTAACTTTTTAAAATTCCCTAACATTTCCCGGTTTTCCCTGACTGTGGCAACCCTGAAGATCATTTCTTTTGAACTGGGAGTGCTCACAAAATTTCAAGTCTCTATCTCAATTAGTACAGAAGTTACAGAAGTGATGTGTGGTGCAGGACATTTGGATGACCCTGTAAATACAGTGTCCAAGGGATCAGACTTATGTTTGATTCTGATCTTGATATAACTGGCTTCAAAACGCTGTGAATTTATCAGGTAATTTGTATGGAAAATATCCACTTAATTAGCTGACCTCTGATTAGGACGTTGAAACTATTGTTGCCAAATTGAAAATATCACAACTTTTTACCGATACTAAAGAGGTAATTATGCTTATTTTTCCTTGTGAATTGACAACTAGGCTCCGGTATGGAAACATACTCACAGAATATTGAGGAAGTGCGGAAATATTTTACTCCTTCAAATGATCTTCGGCTAATTGCTGCAAGCCTGAAAGAAGAAGGAAAAGAAAACGGTTTAGAATATCAAACTCAAAATTAAAATCTATTAAAATCTACATGTAAGAAACTTTAAAGGCAAAATTTTAAAGGCATTAAATATTTTCTTTGAAAATTTCAAAACCTTGAAAGAAGTGGTATTAATAGAACTCAGCCGAATACTTCATCTGAATGATTTAGTACAGTAAAAATTACCCTGCTTAGTCTCTATAGAACTGTTTAATTTCTGGCTAGCCCATTTTTTACACCTATTCTACGCTTTCCAATTTCAATAAAAGTAACATCACAAAATACACTAGAAGAGGCAAAACTTTTATTTGAAAGATCAGGGAAGAAACTTAAAATTTTTAAAAATACTATTAAAAAAAAAAAGAGCGAATGCCAACTTGGTCTTGCCTAGTTACTCATTCTATTGCGGAAAGATCACTTTAACAACAGAATAAAGAAAGTTAGGTACTTGAAACTTACTTTCTTGATCCATTGCTTGCATTGAAACACCGAGAACAAAGTAGAAGTTGACGACCTGAGAAATAAGAAAACCTGAATCAGACATGAGCATCTAATATAAATTTATGAAGGTAGATTATTACAAACCCAGAAAAAAATTCTGTCTTAGAGCGTGATCATGTTTATTGGGGGAATATGGAGGCTTGAACACTAAGTATTCCTTGGAGTGCTTGCCTTGAATCTATCTACAACAATAATGAAGCTGCCATGTCTTCATCACTTTAAAACCAGGATAATAATTATATATGGTAACATCATCCAATCATTGAAAGCAGCTTTCATTTGATGTTAATAGTTACACTTCTGCTTGAAAGAATCATGAAGTGGAATGGCTGGAACTCTGCTGAGCTAAGGAAGAACGCCGTATGAACCAGACAGACGGCAAAATCGGCACAGTAAAAGGACCCTGCCTGCACGGGCAGTTTGCTGCGAGTCCGACATACCCTCAGTCTTTTGTGATTTCCCAGGAAGTCACTATCTACTAGCAAATGATCTAAGCGCTAATGAACAGCCAAGGGATCAAGCTGTCAATAGGAGAAAACGAAAACTTAAAATTCGCAAATCTCGCAGAGAGGCATGCCCCAGACTTTGAACGTAAATATCTCAGTTGGAATCTGATGGTTCATACGGCGTTCTCCCTTAGCATGGCAGAACTGTAAAAGATACAGAAACTAAATAGTCTGTTTCCAAGGGGGGGGGGGGGTTAAAAAATTGAAACTGATCAATAATTCTTTAGTAATATAAAAGTGCAACTTATCATACTTTGTTAAACTGTACAGATGACATAAAATTTTGCGTTTACATGTCTATACAGGTGGAAAAAAGGGGGAGAGGCACCGTAAAAATCGTATTCTAGAGCGTTTCAAAAGGTGTTAAGGAACTGCTTTCCAAGATGACCCAACAAGCTCTATTGAATCCTCTGAGTACTTTCACATTCTCTAAAAAGTCATGATTTATCAATTATAAGAAATGAATTTAAAAAAATAAATGAATAAAAAGATTTAGCAGACCTTTGAGGTGTAAACGAGCAGAGGGCTGAAACAGAAAAAATGGGACAAAAATTAGCAACGATAAATAGTGGGAAAATACCCTAAAAATCAAGAAAAACTGCTCATCATCTAAAATGTAATTTTTGTTCAACTAAATTGGCACCACTGGCAGGTGATTCATGACTAGAATCCAGCTGCCTGACCTGACCTGCACCAACATAACCTAAGCTGGAGCAATGAAAGACATGGGTAACCTGATCATTTGCATTTGTAGAAAGCAGGAGGCAACAAGACGTGTCTCACCATTCGCAGGGAATTAAAAATCAAGAAATTATGAGTTAAAAAGAGGAGTTGGGCGATTTAACATTACAAAACAAAGACAGTAAGTGGTGTTAAGGAGAATTTCATGACAACCAGCCTAGAGGCATGGTGTGACCATGGCATACATACTTACTGATAACCATGCTCTGCTTTCTAATTTGCCCTGAGGGCGAGGAGTGCCCCACTCACAAGCTACAAGGAAACACTTCCCTCACCTGCAAACTAACTTCAGCTAAAATAATCAGCATAAGCAGATTGCAAACAGCTAGAAGCTTGGGTGCAGAACAGAAATTCATAACTTTTGCATGGAAATCAAAACTCTTTGAAGGAGATAGGGAGAGGAAATAATGCCTTCAATAGGCACTCAAAAGTAAATACCTATTTAGAGTCAAACAACTCAATCATGAGTATGATTTCGTACGACGATGGTTTACTTCATCTTAGTTCAGTAAAAGAAAGCTAATAGATCAATGATATCCAAATTTCCGTAAGTATTCTTAGATTAAAAAGGTTAGTCGTCCCTCCTGCATGATGCTGACTGCCTTGAGAAAGACAGGGTATTTTGAAGGAGATGTAGGGATGAGCAAAGAAATACCGCTCAAATTTCACTTAACAGCATGAAAAAATGTTTACTGGCTGTAATCGTAATGAATTTAGCATGGGCTACGCCCGGCTAATAGATAATGGAACATCTTTAAGAGAAAGTAAGAACTCCTAGCATCATAGAAGCATCAGGGCAAATCAGATAAAGAGAAACTTCAATTTCCAGGAATCTGAATGGTCCTATATGTCATGAATCCCAATGAGAAATGTCATTTGAAGGGCTGATAGCAGTGACACTGCCGAGAAGCAGATAAAGCTGGTTTTGTTATCAGAGCAACTGCCAATGAACAGCCATGGGCAAGTAGAATAAGGAATCTCATATTTTGACCAAATAGATGATCAAAAGCTGTGATAATATCCAAACAGGATTGCCCTGATTAGGAACCCAGATTGGAGGGGGCTAAGTAACCTAATTTCCAAATTACCTGCAAACTCCGTTTGGCGAACTGGGACAAGAGGCAAATGCCACGCGAGGTGTGTTTCGAGGATATAAATAGTAGACTAGCCATTAAAAGAAATTAAAACTAACTTCACTTAGGGTAAACTTAAATACATTCGAAACTAAAAAGACATCAGCGTGAACGATTATCATATGATCGGCATCGAAATTCCGAAAATTTTGGAACGATGAAATTTTCACAGAGAAAGAAACGTAGAGAGTGGTAACTCCCGGACTCAAATTGAAGATCTCTTATGTCACTGAATTCGACCAATCAGAAGATAAAATCAAATCATAGACAATTTTGAAGGTTTTTCATTGGGTATTTTTAGCGCAAAACGGATGTAATGGATTTCTATTGGTTATCAGCAACTGGCATTGAAGCGCTCTCTAGTGACTAATATTGAGCCCCTCTTCTGGAGTAGTACCTCTATGATAAGCCCACTGTGTTTTGTTTTGTTGCCAATCCATTTTCAGTGACTTGCAATTTTATTTCCTATTTAGTTAATTAATTTTTAATCTTTGAGTCCCACCATGGTAAGCGTATTCTACAATTTTATTCACAAATCATCCTAGCTAAGCATTTTCTTCGAAAATGTATGGGATCTACAAGTTTTCCAACTGATTAACTGAACTCTAGCATGCCATGGTCTATGGCCTGATAAGACCCATTTCCTTCCAAACATACTAATTTTATAATTTGATAGCCCCTTTTAGATCATCATATGTTTCGGAACTTTCATAATCCTATGTAGAATAGATCCGGTAACGTTCCCTTGTATAACAGAGTCTAAATCCTAAACGACTGAGTAACGCAGCGTGTGTCTCGAATTCTATCCTACGTATGCACCCATCAATACAATTCAAGACTTTTATCATTGAAGAAGTAGATAGCTCCTATGACAATTTTCTCAACTGATTTTTATCTTGCTATAATTTCTTTGCAATTAGAGGTGTTTAACTCCTATTTAAGTAACACTTTGTTGCCGGACATTGCCACCGTAGTCTCTGAACAGTCAAGATCCCACGAGAGCCTAGGTAAAACTTGGCCACTACAATTGGAGCTAGTGATTCTCTAAACTAATTCTTTTTGCATCTAATTTTTATTCAGGGTCAAGGCCAGAGTGCCGGTAGTGGCAGCGGTGGTGAGAAGAAAGATGACAAGGATAAAAAGAAGAAGTATGAACCTCCAATCCCCACAAGAGTCGGTAAGAAGAAGCGCAAAGCTAAGGGTCCAGATGCTGCCACCAAGTTGCCGCAAGGTAAGTTTGGCTCCCTTTACTTATTCCCAGAAACTGTAGAATTCATCTTTTCCTTTCACAATGGATATAGGGCACACCATGACATTGTGAAAAAAGTCCTTTGATAAATAGAAAATGAAGGTCTGTAGGAGTGGTCAGTTACTTTGTTCGGCGTAAGAGTTGCAACTTATCACCAAGACTCATGTGCTCATGTCACTGTTTTATAACTAGAGTAACTTCTAACAAAAGTTGGTGCTCGCTTCGGCTGAAAATGGACTATTCTCCAGTCCTGAATATATTAAGCACTAGAATTGGGGAAACAAAAGAAGAGACAAATATCACACCAAAAAAAAAGCAATATTCAACAAAAATTTATGTGGCGACCAATGGGCCAACTGATGATTGATGCGTTCAAATTAATGTGCCGTATGTCTCCTCTTTTCTTTCTTGAGCTGTATTACATTGTGTCACCAATAATCATGCAAACCAGGAGTACAGAAAGTGCTGGACTGGCGGATCGCAGAGCAAATGTGAAGGCATCTGAAAAGAGGCAAAAAAATGTGAAGGTACCTGGAAAAACGAAAAAAATGTGAAAGCAGAAAGCATAAACCATCTAAATGCATAGCTTTTTGCCTAGGAAACCGTGTAATACGCTTTCTTTTGCGAAGGATATTGGTGAAGTGCGCTCTTTTATGCGAAGGAAAGAGTGAAACGCACAAGTCTTATGTGGACCGCAATGAGAAGGCAAAAAACTTGCTGCACCCCTGATGAAAACCGCAAACAAATTGTTCCGTTAAGTCTCTGTTTTGAAGTTGTGATTTGCAAAGTGGGGGGAAAAAAATGCTGCTATTTCTTCTCACAACTCCTAAAATTGTCATACAATATGTTTGTCATTCAAACGCCTACATCTCCTGTTGTACTTGGTGTCAGAAATAGAGCTCGCAATCCTAGAAACGTTGTTAATGTAAGACAAATTTAAAAATGATGACTTTTTCTTTGCTCAATGTGTTTAAAGAATGGGAAAATTTCCATGTTTCACTGTGAAATCAAGCATTTTGCTAGCTATGAAATGGGGTAATTAGCCATAAAGCAAATTGAATACGTAACTGTGAGGGGAAAGTGCCAAATTGAAGCAAACAATCCGCGTTTTGGAACTTTCTCCACTCAAATTCAAATATGTTTATTTCACTTCAAGTAAGTGTACATGAATAACACAGCCAATTTAAACAAGATTTTATAAAAAATAAAAATAAATACATCCCACCACCCTTCAAGTAAGAACTTGTGGTGGGTGGTGCAACCAAGGAAAACAACACAAACAAAATAACGTAACTATAATCACAGACTCAAACTACAAAAATTTAACAGAAATAAACGATAAAAAAACTAATTTAGATGTTAATTTAAGCAACAGTAAAAAAAAAAAAAAAAATGTTTTCAAATATGAATGAAAACACACTCCTTAGAGGGACTACGATTACGAGTCTCACATTTCCATTCACTCAAATTGACTACTGTCTATTTAATATCTTTCCTTTTTTTCAGTCACCCCTCATACGAAATGTAGGCTGAAGCAGTTGAAATTAGAAAGGATTAAGGATTACTTATTGATGGAAGAAGAATATATCCGCAATCAAGAGAGATTGAAACCTCAAGAAGAAAAAAATGAGGTAGGTTAACCCATCAGCATCTAACCATGTTTTGAATCTCTTACTCATGAAGATGAGAATTTTTCCTCAAGAAAAGATAAAGAAGAAATAAAGCTCTGAAGAAATTCAGTAGAGGACCTTTATAAGTTTTAAAGTTGTAAGTATGTTTTACTTATCCAAAATTTTAATTTCAAAATCCTGAGTATCTAAGACATGAGTTTCTGAGATGTTCGTGTTTTTTTTTCAAAATGCTGATTTTTTCCATTACTGAAACCAGTCTTAATTGTTCGTTATTTTTTCGCCATAACAGGAGGAAAGATCAAAAGTAGATGATTTAAGAGGAACGCCAATGTCCGTCGGAACTCTTGAAGAAATTATTGATGACAATCATGCTATCGTGTCAACATCTGTAGGAAGTGAACACTATGTCAGTATATTATCTTTTGTCGATAAGGATCAACTGGAGCCTGGATGTTCCGTGTTACTTAATCACAAGGTATGCTTGTTTTCAGCTCTTGGGTAGTAAATTGCTGCCTGGCCTTTATTCAATCAAGTCGAAAGAAGTTTTGGTCGCAGATTCATAATCTATAAAGTAGTTAGAGACCTCAATTCCAATCAGCCATTTTATGAATTCTGTTAATCATAGTTTTCCTACAGAAACATTTTTTCCTCTCCTTCTTTTCTTTTTCGTTAATATTTTAGACTTATGTAAATGAAGCAATCTCTTCGTGCATAGTGTATGTATTTACCATTGATGCAGCTAGTACAATTGAGGCACTGGATGTGAAAAGGGCACTTCTGCAGTGTTTCAGAATCTCTGTTGCTAATTAATCCCTTGGAGAAGAATTTAATGAGTGATTTTGCCAGAATTCTTTCCACAGAAAATTGGAGAATCATAAGGAATATTTAGTGAAATTTTTAGTGAAATGGTTGCATTCACTTTCTTTACAATGAATGAAATATTAGAGGATACTCTGAAACACTGCAACTGAGAAGTGCCCATCGCATCCAGTGCCTCAATTACTGCTATCAGCCATTTTTTCTAATTTTGAAAAAACTGTCAAAATATGCACAAGCCAGGACAATTTCAGAAATTAAGTACTGTCCTTGAGACTTTAAATCCATCACCGAACGTTAAAACCCCTGCAACTCAAATCTCCGAACCTCCAGGAGTCTTAATAACTAAAAGATCAGGGGGCAAACAAGATCTAGGTGAGAAAATGGACATCAAAAGCTTTTGCATCAGGTCATTTAAGTGAGGGTTGTATGGAGCATTCTTATCACAGAGTATAAACTGATTTTTAACAAAGAGGCCAAAAAAGAGCTCGATAATTAAAAAATCAGGGAAAAGTTGCATTTACCAAAGTATTCAAGGAGGAGTATTGATAAGGGCCACTTGTTGGTCCATTCTGAATTCCTGCACCCTTAGGAATCAGAACTCTTGGAAAAACCATTGAAGCAAAATCTAATCATAGTTACTAATTTATCCTCATCTCAGGTGCACGCCGTAGTTGGTGTTCTGTCAGATGACACAGATCCCATGGTGACGGTGATGAAATTAGAAAAAGCTCCTCAAGAAACCTATGCTGACATTGGAGGTCTAGACCAACAAATTCAAGAAATCAAAGAGTCAGTGGAGCTGCCTCTAACTCACCCGGAATACTATGAGGAAATGGGCATCAAGCCTCCAAAAGGTGTGATATTGTATGGACCCCCTGGCACTGGCAAGACACTCCTGGCCAAAGCTGTAGCGAACCAAACATCTGCAACTTTCTTAAGAGTTGTCGGCTCCGAGCTCATCCAGAAATACCTGGTAAGTTGTAACCTGACGCAGCTTGCTAAATTCTTCATCAAGTTTCGTATTAAAATTAATCTTAATTGTGATCGGAGATTTGTAGAAATCCTCTGCCAGGGACAGGGTTGCCACAGTCAGGAAAAACTGGGAAATGTCAGGGAATTTTAAAAAGTCAGGGAAAATTTGTTAAATCACCTTAATTTGCTTTCTAGAATGGGTTCGAGATTTTGAACAAGGAATTTTGCGTGAAAACTATTTTCAATTATGCCTTCTTATCCATCCATCACATCTTCAATTGTCTGGGAATTTCACCAAAATGTGTCAGGAAAATAAGGGAAATGTCAGGGAATTTCATTTTCTAAATTCTGTGGCAACCCCGGATCAGGATTGCTTCCACAATGAAAAGCGAGAAAACTCAGAGAATCAGATTTCTAGCCAAAAAATAAGAAAGTGACTCGCATTTTCATGATAACTCAGGATTGCTGGTGGTCTAGAAAACCAGGAATATTAGGAAAAGACAGGATTTGTAACGTTTGGGCAAAAGTCAGGGAATTTCTGACACCTCTACCAATCACTATAATGTATGACAGACCCTCCAACTGCTTATTTCTGTGGTTATTTTTAAAGCTTATCATCTTTTAACCAGTTACTGAATGCCTTTATCTATCATTTGACCTTTGAATAAGGAAATTTTGTCCACAGTTTAGCAAAAGGTAGTGTATTTCAAGGGGAAACAAGGAGAAAACTTCTCTCAGAGGTCGAGGAATGAGACAATTTTTGAGTCAGGGAAAAGCATAAATATTCAGGGAAAGTCAGGGTATGTGAAGATAAAGAAATTATAGCAACCCTGTAACTTAAAGAAGTAAGCTGAAATCAAAGAGCAATTTTTTATGTACCTCCTCTTTTGCTTTCCACCTGTCTCTTACACATAATGTTAGAATTGTGTTTCAATTGCAACCATATATATGAGCTTTTTTTGAATTGTTGACGAGTGGTGGTGTTTCCAAGGCAATGTCATAAGGTCATACTTTGGAGTCACCATGAATCGCATCGTTTTTGAACGATCCCTTTCACGTATGTCACTCCACCATCTTGTCCAAATTCTAAAGATGTACCCCTTTAATTAGTTTAAAAAAAGATGTCTTGCTCAATTCATATCAACTTATGCATTTGGTTTTACCTCACAGGGAGACGGTCCAAAATTAGTCAGAGAATTATTCAGAGTAGCGGAAGAACATGCGCCATCCATTGTCTTCATCGATGAAATTGACGCTGTAGGTACCAAGCGTTATGATTCGAATTCTGGTGGGGAAAGAGAAATTCAACGTACTATGCTCGAGCTTCTGAATCAGCTGGATGGTTTTGATTCTCGTGGAGATGTCAAAGTAAGTGGTTCTTTATTTTCTACATCATCAATTAGAAGTGTTTATGGACAATATTACCCGAATCTAATTTATCTGTTACATTTATGCGCCTCTTAGTTCTCATTTGCATCAATATGAAAAAATTTAACTTTATTTTGCTTCTCTCAGAAACAACATGTGTGATTAGAGATGAAGAAAGTCCTTGACCTTCCCGTTTTTCAAATTAACCTTCCCTTTGCTAAAACCCCTTTTTCCTCAAAAACTTTAAAGTGATGAGTCTTTTGCAAGGGGAAATTGCTGCCATTCAGCATAAATTACGCAGTTTTTACTGCGTTTTACCCAAAAAAATGCAACTGTATTCATGATTTCGAAGAAAACATGCTATTTTTGACTTTTTCGTTTAGCTTTTCCTTTGTGAAACCTGTTATCAGAATCCACCTATTTTCAAATGTGACTGATTGTAACATTGCATGGTCGAAAAGTTTTCGGACCCTTCTATATGCTATTAATGTCTCTGCCCAGTTAGGCGCTTTTACAGATGAGCCAATAGTAGTTGGTTCCTTTTAAACGCTATGTTACGTAATAATTGATCTTTAAGCTTCAAACATTGGAATATGATCCTATGATATCTGTAGCCAGCCCATTCTCATCTTAGCCAACATCTCTAACTTTAAGCTGAGGCTGTGTGCTATCAACATTAGAGATTATTATTTCAGTCTAAGTCACTGAACTGCCGCACTGCAGGCTGGAGACTGGTGTTGTATTTAAGACTTAATTCACTTGAAATGTTCCTTTAAAGTTGGTCTTTCATCAATATTTGTACTGAATTTGAAATTTTTCTGAACTCAGGTTGTTATGGCAACAAATCGTATAGAAACTCTTGATCCAGCATTGATTCGTCCTGGTCGTATCGACCGAAAAATAGAATTCCCTCTGCCAGATGAGAAGACCAAGCGCAGAATATTCAACATTCACACATCTCGCATGACTGTAGCTGAAGGTGTAAACTTGCAAGAGCTGATCATGGCCAAAGATGATTTATCTGGAGCTGATATTAAGGTAATTTTGATGCTCTCACTTAAAACAACAACAAAATAAACTTCCAATGTGATTAGTTAATTAAATTAAATGACATTGCAATTAAGACGTATTTCAATTGAGAGTTTAAAAATTTAAAAATGTAAGACAAACAACTCAGTTAAAAAGTCAGAAGTCAGATTTATTTGTGAGATTTAATTTGAATATTGCATTTCGAGCATTCCTGCACTTATTTCAGGATCTTAAAATGATGTATGTCACAAAGGCATGACAAGACATTGGGTAGCCAACTATTGTGACTCAAAAATGCAACAAAAAATAAGTTCAAAATGAATCACTGGACAAGTTACGAATTTAAGCACTGTGCTGAATGTTTTCTCATCAAAATTCCATGCAGAACTAGATCTGTCAAACCAAAATTATTGAAAGTAACTCCAAACCAAGATACTATCATTTTTTTTATGCATAAACTCAAACTTCCTACTCACAAAAAAAACCCCTCATTTCATGAAACACAAAGACACAAAATGAGTGACACAAAATATCACTGTAACAGTCTCTGCAGAAAATATAGCAACCTCAGTCTTGGCATTTCCGCTCAGCTGTTGATATTGTTTACATTTTACACAACATGGGGCAGGAGAGAAACAATGTTCTTTTTAGAGGTCTATCAAAACTATTATGGCATTTCATTTTCGTAGACTCTGGATTTTCTTGTGAGCAGGATTTTCAATTTTTTTTAAACAGCGGGAAATAAAAACATTAATATCTTGGATAGGAGTTATTTTCAGTAAACTTTGTCGCATGAATTGTGCTCAAAGTAAAACTTTAAAGAAGACGCACGCATATATCAGAATGGTTAAATTACCTTATTTAGTTGTCCACTTGACCCAAAAAAGTCTGAAAAAATCTAGCAAGTAACACCATTTTGCAAAAGCAAAGCCACTAAAATAAATCAGTCATTTTATAAAACCGGGTCCTGTATGTCCCGCAATTTGCACTTTATTGATCTAATTTTATTTGTAATTCTCTGTTGCAGGCAATATGTACTGAAGCTGGTCTCTTAGCTCTCCGTGAAAGGAGGATGAAGGTCACGAATGAGGATTTCAAGAAATCAAAGGAAAGTGTACTATATCGAAAGAAAGAAGGAAGTCCTGAGGGTCTTTACCTTTAAGGCATCAAGTTTTTTTATTCAAGTTTGATGTTTTTAAGATTTGTGAATCTAACTTCACTACAGCCCCATGCAAACTGTTCAGATGATCAATGTCCTCCAATTAAAACCGTACTTCAAGTGTTTTCATCATCATTCATACAAATTGAGGAACTGAAAAAACTTTTTTGATGCATTTTAGAATCATTTCAGATGGTCTGTAAGATTTTTCCCCTAGTGTATTTACGACACCTTTTTGAATGATTCAGTTTTATACTGTCCTTCTCAAAGATAAAGTTGCGATTGAGCTGTAAAACACTGTGTTAATATTTTTTTTTCTTTCTAGGACATATCTTTTGTTCCAAGACAAATGAAGGGATAGTCAGAAAATTGTTTGTCAATCCCTGTCAATTTTTCAATGTTCTGTTAGAACGTCATTGCTTAGACCTCAAGTCCAGTTATTTTTTATAAATTTGTATTAATTTTTCTATATTCTTTTTGTACATACCTTTGTGTACTTTATTTCAACCTAACACCTAGTAAACCAGAAATAAAATAAAATTAATTACCAAAATGCTTTGTTATTTTCTTTATTTCTAGTGAAATCAAAATATTCTCAGATTTGCTTACCTTTCACTAGCTCCAAAACAAAAATTTGAAACATCATTTATATATTCATTTTCCCCTTTTCCTCTGTACATAAGTTGAATTTGCTGCAGGCATAATTGTTGAATACTTCATGTCATACTTTATTTACTTGATGGAAAACTGCTAAACGGCATTTCTTCAAAACTACAGTAATTTTTCTCCCCTGGGTCAAGTATATTCTGTGAAAATTTCAAGTCATGATGATGGTTTAGTTTCCTTTTAAAATTAAAATAGGAGCGATGATTTCCAAACACTGCTACCAGGATATACATTTTTGCAGTTTCACCATCTATATCTAAGTACAACTTACTGCCGATAGTTGTCAATGCCTACTGCAAGAGCGTTATTCTGTCACTGATGACTTTAGTTTTCCTCATGCTGATAACATATGGCTGTTTACCAACATTCTATTGGAATGTTTCCCTTCCATCAGCGGGTCCAGCAAATTGGCAACATTGTTTTTTTCATATTTAAACCTATGGAAATGAATCAATTCTCGAAGGGGCCAGGTGCTCCAACACGAGTCAATTATTTAAGATAGTTTAAATGGAGGAAATCTGGTGTTGCCAAATTGATGGATCCACCTCTGCTCCTTTCTTCCTTTTTTTCCCCCAAAAAATTTGTAAGGAAAGCCATCATTTTATGCACTGTTCAAGAATAGTCTTAGGTGTATGGAAATTCCATCAGCTCTTCTCTAAAACTCCACCAAGGACTGATACACATATTTTGTGAACTATGATGAGACATCATTATCCAAAAGGAACTAACAATAAGAGCGTAAACATAAGAGTCAAAGCACCAAGCTATGTGCAGGAATCAACTGCAGAGCTGAAAAAGTTGGGTCCTTTTTAATAAAAGACAGTTAGACTTGATTGCAACAAGTAGGTTTTTCAATCGCGGGGTTCCATATTGGTCGCTGATATTTTCTTTAATAAATAAGGTGAGCCATAACTTTTGTATGACCCCTATAAAAAACTGAGTTCAAAACTTTAAAAAGAAAACATTATATTTTTAAGTGCAAAAATTGAAGCCACTAAACTGAGGTAGGTAAGTATTTTTTGGCTTCGTGACTAGCAAACAAAAGGCATCAAGTATAAAATCAGTAAGTAGTCCGTGCTTGCTAGCATCTCCTGCTCTCACGGTTACCATGTGTTCTGATCTCCTAAGCTCAACATTTTTCAGTTTAGTACTTGTTTAAAACTCCTCAACATTTTTTGACGTCTTTATCCTTACTCTGATTCACACCATCAAATATTTTTCGCCATTTAGTCAAAACGATACAAGGAATTACAGAATCAAGTATCAAGTTGTTAGATCACTTTTTATTTTGACCAAGAAAAATTAAATAATATTTTTTAAATTTTAAGTAAACTTTCACTTAATCTTCAACAAAATAAGAAGATTTCACCGAGGGGTGGATGTAACTCGTAGGGAAGTGATGCTGCCTGTGGGATTTTATAATTTTTTTTTTTTTCAGTTGGTGTTGCCAATTGGATGAAATGTCAAAAGTGGTTTCATTAAACTATCCATACTCCCACAAATTATATCAAGTAAAGTTTTATTTCTCCGAACAATTAATTTTAATCAGTTTTATCCGTATACCAGGCGTAGATTTTGCGCTCATTTGAATGCAAATGATGCCATGATTTTGCCGGGCCGAAGACCGAAGTCACGCTCTGATTGGTCGATGCTCCATCCCAATTTTTCGTCAACAGCCAACCGCACTTCGGCTGCCATGCTGCGCCTGAATAATAGTCCGCCATATTGCTTGACTGACGCGTAAGTTGTCTCTTTCAGGGGTAGCGTAAGCCGATTTTAATTTTATTAATGGTTTTTCCTCATCCTGTGTCGAATTTAGTTTCGCAAAATTCTACACCATCCACAAATTGATTAAAGCGTAAGTAACACTTTGCAAATTTTGTAGAATATTCCTACCGCCGTGCGCAAATGTTGCTAGCCTTCGCCTACAATGGCCTCTCCCGTGCAAAATCCTGGAAGATAGGCAAGAGCACTTCGTTTGTGAGCCACTGATCGTATTCAAACATTATTCTTGCTGGTACTAGCAGACATTATCTTATCAATTTAATTTTTCTTACAACAGTTAATAACATGAGCCAACGATGCTTCTGGGAGCAGTAATTTCTTAAAATTTTCCAACACTAGGTATCAAGCTATTATTGTGGAAGCCATTATGTAATTTCCACTCTGGATTTATTGCTTTCATTATGATCATCCCATTTTCTCATTTTTAAAGTTTTACTAATCTTTCCACTTGCATTCGAAATTCTTTTAAATGCACTCTCAGGGAATGTTGAGGCAACTTTGTTCTGAATCACATTTTTCCGGCTGGAACGCAATCCTCAGCTCTTTGCTGACGGTCATCTTGCTTTTGTAGGATGCACATTCCCTCCAAAAGTCCTAGTTTTTGTGGAAAGCTTCATATTTCCAATGAACAGGTGTACAATTCACTTTGATCCATTTCGTTCAATCACGGTCCCATTTTCTTCCCAACCTTGACGCTCTATCGTCCCCATTAAATTACCCTGACCCACTCTAACGTGAGACGGTGGATAATCAGATTCTTCTGAGTACAGTATGATCAGACTCCTTTCACCAAAGTTTCTCTTTTCTGAACCATGGTTTGGTGTTTTTTAATTCTTGTAAGAACATGAAACAATGTTCTTTACCATCTTATGGGTTATGGGGCACCGTTGTCGATATTTGGCCTTGCTGTTAGGTGACAAGAGTTCGCTCATCATAAGTTAAGACAAAATTCAAATATTGTTTTTATCCCAACTTATTAGTGGTGCCATGTATTAACCTGTTGACAGGTGCCAGTACTGAGCTAATCAGAGATTGACATTTGTCCAAACCACCGACGAGGAAACCCTGCGAGGATTCTTATAATTCCGTAAGCTTGCTTACAATTAGTTTACCAGTTGTGAGGATTAGCTCAAGCTGTATGAAGCCCTCATGACAGCCATTCATTTTTATGGTATTTTATTGAGATAATTATATTAAATGCAAACCTCAAGTATCTGCAGACTGTCAGTGGAAGCATGTCTTAGAGGTGTCGTCAGATAAGTTGACTATTGTTTACTTTCGGTTTGCAAGTGTAGACAACTAATTTAGGCCTCTGTGCAAAGTAGCGTTTGCTACTATTCACTTTTAAACATCCATCTCATGATCGTATCGTAAAAAAAACTACTTATCATCTATGATCCGCGACTTTGATATGGTTGTGATTCCTGTGTGGCTAAAAATTAAAGTGTTACAAGGTTTGAACGTATTTAAAAACTTATCTAAGCTTGTGTTCTTGCTTCTGCGAGAGTCGGATGTTTTTATGTGGATAGGAGTGACACGAATACGCTTGCGAACCAAAAGTTAACAATGGTCAACTTAGCCGACAACACCTCTATATCTCTGATGCAGGCCCGCCACATCCCCTCTCGGGCCCTGGTACCAATTTTTTGGCCCGGGCCCCTAGCACGGGGGGGGGGGGNGGCCTCCCCCGGGAAATTTTTGAAATTTTAAATCTATTTGGACGCATAATGAAGCTCTTATGATGGAGATTTTTTTCTGCAGAATAATTACGCCTTTTTGTTTACTTTCAGCACCAAAAACTTTCGAATTATTGCATTCAAAACATCTATAAATTTTTTTTTGATGGGGCAGATGATAATTTTCAATTCTATGGGGAGCCGGGCCCCCCTGGACTCCCCTTTCGTACGTCTATGGCAAGGGAGTTAAGCCATTGAAGTCGAGGATGCCCAGATAGGAGCCTTTTAGCATCCGACAACGGAAGAAAATGAAACACAGTTACTAAAAATATCATTCTACATATACTCAAAATCTTGAAAATCTCTAAAAAAGTAAGAAAAATTTTACAGTGCCCTAGCGTGTTTTTGAAACTTTATTCACCTTTTGCGGAATTTTTAGGGTAATTTTTTCACTTTTCCCTACGAGACAAGGGTTACACATGAATTCGTAGTGGTTTGTCACCTGCGTCACGGGCCCCTCCAGGGCCCGGGCCCCGGTACCAGGGACCCAGTATCCCCCCCCTTGTGGCGGGCCTGCTCTGATGCACACTTCTCTGTCACCTCAAGGCTCAACAAATCAAAATTTTGGAATTACTAACTGACATCACAGAGAGCTACCATAATTTATCTCAGATGCGGTCATCCAGTAACTGTTTGCTGTCTCATCAATATTGAAATCAACTTCAAAATTTGCCTCTGAATTGATGCATATGATTAGTTGAAGAGCCAATCCTCATTCATTTTTGGACTTGATTCATTTCTGCGTTTAAATAATCGTTCTGACTCTATTTTTGTTTCAGACCAAGATGGAGATTTCTCTGGTGCCGAGTAACTCTCCCAAGAAAAAGCCTATCAAGACCTACTCTAGAAATAGTTTGGGCATTTCTAAAGGTGAGAATTTAAACAAAATCCCTCAAGTATGGGCCTGTTGCAAACTTTTGCTAGAGCAAAACTAAGAGTTGTCTCTTACAGATAATGCCTCCAAAATCACGATGAGCGCATCGGCAAACTCTGAAATGCACTCATAACTTCACAATCTGCATAAGAAATTTGCGGTTTTTTGAGCTTCCTGCTTCGAAAACGATACTACGGTACAGGTGAACATTTTGTTAGAGGAGTCGTTCCATTGGCGGCAATACTCATCATGGCCGACGCCAGTCCGCCAAAACACGCGTGATGGGACGAGATAACACCTGAACAGGATTAAACCAGATAACAATCGGCGTGTTTACGTTCATATTTTCCTCGCCCGCCTTTATTGACCTTGAACTCTCCTCGAATTACGCGAGGAACTGCGCAAGCGTCGGCCATGATGAATATTGCCGACGATGGAGCGACTCCTCAAGCAAAATGTTCACCTGTGCAGTAGTATCGTTTTTGAAGCGGGAAGCTCAAAATAACGCAAATTTTTTACGCAGATTGTGAATTTATGAGTGCATTTCAGACTTTGCCGATGCGCTCATCGTGATTTTTGAGGCATTATCTACAGGAAACAACTCTTCATTCTGCTCTAGCAAAAGTTTGCAACAGGCCCATTGTAGTTTGTTCTCCATGTTTAATATTATCTTATGCCTCGATCCAATGGTGAAACCACTTCATGACTAATTTTGTGTTATCAAATTACACCGTTCTTTCACCTCTAATTTATTTTTTTCCCGTTATAGTACAAATATCCAACTTTAATCCTTTCTTGACATTATTTTCTCTTCTCTACTCAAAATGTTCTTTTTCAGTTCACACTCAAAAACTGTCATGTCCCCTAGTATCAAAACACAATTTGGATAACTTGAAAATAAGTTTCAAAATGCAGCATTAATTGCAAACCTTTAAAGATTTGCCTTAGATTAAAAATATCCTCTGAAAATTTTGATAACGTTTATTTCCCCCTTTTCCCTTGCCAAGTAGTCATTCTCCATTTTTCTCTCACAAGTCAAAAAATGAACTCGTAATCAGTTGTTGCCTTGGCCATATTATCTTTTCTTTTGACATTAATTTTCTTTTTTTTTTCTCATTTTAAATTTTCAGAAAAGAAGAAAGAAGTATCTCTACCGCGAGCTCCTTCACCTCCTAATATTTCAATCACTGGTAAGCATTAATTTTTTTAAAACTTAAATAAAAAAATTCTCTTTTTTTGAAAGGAAATAATTTAATGTACTTATCTGAAAGTTGCAAGAAATTTTAACCTAAATTACTTAGATGATTAAGCCCAATTCATACCGTCAAACTTTTCACTTGATTTTTCTTCCTCTTTTGTTGGATGAAAAGTTGGAATGTATTATACTAACACAAAAATGCAACACCAAGATTAAAAGTCCCATGGAAACTCAAATCTCTAGTCACTTTCAAAGCAAACTTCAGAAGGCCATCTTCTGACCAATATCCTGAAGTTGTATCTTTGCAAACTGGAAGCTAATAGAAATAGCAAAATGTCAATGTCTAATTTCATGATGATATCACTCGGCAACAGTAATGGAATCAAACCTTTTTGTGTGCGACTTTTCATTCAGCTTTTTCTGCGTTCAACTTTTTATTCAACTTCTTGTCAAATACATAAATGGACAGTCTGAATTGGACTAAATATGCTCCTAAAATTAGAACTATAAATTATATCAAAGAAACATTTTGTGTCCTACATATTCTCATGCAGGAGCCTCAGTGTTTCTACAGATCATAATGGTGTCCTAAAGTATAAAAATTAGGCCACCATGTAGAGGGACTCTGTACCGCAAATTCTAAATTTTAGATACGGTTTTGATGGACCATTCACCAGTCAAGAACATGGATTAAAGTAAGCTTAATCTATAGGAACAGCCCAGGATATATATTTATCAAAGCACTCAAGAAATAGTAACAAACATTTTTTTGGATCAAACACTTCTTATTTTTAAACTCACAATTAGCTGTAAGGAAGATTCTACACTTCAATATACAGTACTAAACCAATTCAAAGTAGCAATAGCAGAATTTTTATTTCGCATTTTATTTTTGTCCAACAGTCATCCCTGGAGAAGATGAAGAGGAAGACATCGATGCTCCAACAATGGAAAACGGGGAATTGGAGGGTGAGGAAGACAATGTCGGTGAAATGGAGGGCGAAATAGATGGTGAAAACGAGGGCGAGGATGAAACCGGAGATGCAGAAATGGAAGTTCCGGAATCTAATGGTGACCTCACACCACTTGAGCCTGCCAGTGATCCGCTGCGCGAAACAAGCACCAAGCAAGAACCACCTTTACTGGTCAATGTTTGTGATTGTGGGCGAGCATTTAACACTGTTCCGGTAAGTGTTCAGCAAATAAACATCCAATTAGTTTCGTTTTTCATATATGATGTTCGTACTTCTACATTTGTTTATCTTTTTGATTGCTTTTGTAAATCTTTTGTCTGCTGTAAATTTTGAAATGCGCATTAATTGCTGCAGACTTCGATATATGCTCGAGACTGATCAAGATTCACTTCTTGTATGCCAAAAATGATAAAAAAAATTTACATTCAGATTCTTTTAGGCAGCATCCTTCACATCAGTGGCTGCCTAGCTAAGTATTGAGGAAGATGGGTGGCAGTTAATAAGTTAGTGTAGGCATGATTCCGTTCTCTCCGCAAGAAAGTTGACTACATTGTATTTTTTTGGGAAGTTCATTGATTAAGCACAAGTGAATTGATACTTTCGTTAATCAAGCTTTTCACTTTTGTTTTGTCCTGAAAACTTTATCTCAAGTCCTTCATTTTGCACAGGGATTGAAACGTCATGCAAGAGCATGTCCCATTAAAGAACAAATGATGTTGGAAGAAAAACGCGCACAGCAAGCTGAAGAAGATGCTTTTGATGGTTTGGGAGACCCGAACCCAGAAGACCCTTACATGCTTCCTTTTGACACAGCGGCCAATAACCAAACAGGTAATGTAGTTGCTATTGCACTCAATCTTCAATTTGAAAAACTTGATTTTTTTTTGTTACATTTGTTGTTAAGTTCGTTCTATACCTGCTCCTCTATTGGGAATTCAGCATATCAATATCTTGTAAACAGGGACAGAATCGATATTTAAACGAATATTGTTCTAACTGCTTTTGCCGATGTTTATTAGAACATTTGTCAGCGTTATGGTATAAATCAGTTTAGTTCCTTTTCAGAGTCAGAGTGATATGAGCGCTACCCGTGAGTGATGATGTATTCATTGTGAACTAAATGAAATGTGGCCCTAAAATCGCATTGTCACTACCACTTATAGTCTGCAGCCACCTTGATTTGTCATGCTTCTACTCGTTTTCTGTGCCCAGCGGGAAAAATAAACTGAATCAAGTTGGCCAACAAGTTCAATAATAACGTGAAAATTTCATCTTCATTTGAATTTTTAAAAGTGCTTCAAGTTTTCGAATCTCCTCAAGCCTTATTTCTAAATGAAGGAGAGATCACAAACATTTAAAGAATGAAACCTTTGTTCAGATTGAACTTCTTTACTCTAAATTTTACTATCTTAGCACAAAGGCGGTCAGTGAGTCACCATAGCCTAAGCTTTCACGGTTTACTTCAATTAATTTCTTTTTCTTTTTTATTTCTTTCAGAAATTGACCGAAAACCTTTTATTGACGGAAAATGCCACTGCTGTGGAGAAGACAATGACACTGCTCACCGAGTATGTACTATGTTTTTATCGATTTTGTATTCCTGAATCTTATATAAATTATTTTCCAAGAATTATTCAGCTCTATCACTGGTAGTTAAATGCATAGTATTTGTGAATGTAAAAGTGAGGAAATTGTGAAATGATCGATTTTAATACGCCCTCAGCACCCTGAAATTAGACAAAAAGATGAGAATAAATATGCTGTTTGAGACCTTCAAAAACCCTATTTTACCATCTTAGTAACCATTGTAAATACCATAGCAAGGCTCCTGCTGAAAGGGAGCAAAAGCAATAAACTATATCGATGGTGAAACCACCAGGCTGTGTATCTTGGTTTGCGACGTTGCAGACTACCTATCTAGCTCTCTATATTAAACAAGTTTTCTTCTCTAAGCACAGAAAACTTCAAGGAATGATATTGATTTGCTCTCCTCCAAAAAAATTAAATGGGAGCAAAGATGTTTAGACGCCGCAAACGATATACAGGGTCTAGTAGTTTCACCATCAATATGTCGTTTAACTTAAAGCAAGACGTGAACCTACCAAGTCATTACATTCTCAGTATTAACATTGAACCATCTGATGGGTAAAATTAATCATGTGCGTGGATGCCTTTTTTCAGCAAGGTGAATTTGAATGTACTGATTGCGAAAAATTCTTCAAGTTGAAATCCAGTTTGGAGCGACACAGGAGAGTCATTCATAACGAGGGTGAAACCTACGCCTGCCCCGAGTGCGATGCTCGTTGCCCAGACAAGGGTACCCTTGCTCGTCATATGTACACTCACACTGGTAAGTTTCATTATATTTCCTTCTCTCCCTTTCGATGGATTTTAATTAATCACAAGCCTAAAATTAACCACTCGATAAATAGAAACTTTTTATCGTGTAGCTAATCGATGGCCAAAATGTGAAACCACTCCGGACTCTCTATCATACTTTATCTTTTCTTTGATGAACCAGTCGGTGTAATTTCTTTAAAATTTCCTCGAAGTTTTTCAACCTGTCAGCAGATAAATTCTGTATGAATTTCAAGCTATAGGAATGGCTTGTCTCTCTTCAATAAAGTAAAATTTAAAACTTTTTGAAACACTGCTGAAGATACAAGGACTTGTTTTTAAAGCATCAAAATGTAGGAGTGCTCTTGATGATGTAGTTCATACTGTCTAAGATGTAAACAGAAGCTGGGTCGCTTTGTCATGATCATACTAATGATGACTCCTTATTTTTAATTCAATTCATGAAAATTGAAAACTGTCCTCTATAACTTGTGAAAATCTGTAGTGGTCGACTTGTAGCACCTAAAATCTGGGTAAAGAGAAAGGAAAAAGCAAAAGAGACAGCCTGTTGACAGCCAAACTGATTCAGTTGATGATTCCTGAGGAGACAGTGGACCTTTAGAGAGGGTATAAAATTAGAAACTCGGAATATCACACTTTAATTTTTGTCCAATAAATCATTAATGTGCCTTTTTTTTCAGGATTGAAGCCTGTTCAATGTCCTTGCTGTCACAAAGAGTTCAGTCGCAAGTACCATTTGATTCGTCACAACCTACAAACTGGCTGTGACGGAACTGAACGTCCTACATACCCATGCCAGGTAAGCCTTGTTCAAACGACCATTTCTCTCATACAGGTTGCGCTTTTAGTGTATTCATTCATCTGGGCAGTTGTAGTGCTCCTGAGTTTTTGAGTCCAGAGGTTGTGTCTTTGGATATTTTTCTCCAAATTCTTGGCAAACTTTGTAAAATGGGCAAGAAGTAAAAAACAACTGATTAAAGCGGACAGGAAACAGTAAACAAATAAATGGAACCAATTGATATAAGTCTAGAGATACTTCTGATAAGATACATTTACGTATGAAAAAGCAAATGTATGATAACGGAACATTACGCTTATATATCATATTATTTATTTTCCTAGGTATGTGGAAGAACATTCAATCGGAAAGATAACTTGAGAGAACATCTCCGTGCTCATGCTGGTCAGACTAAGCGGAAAAAGCGTTACGTTTGTGAGCATTGTGACAAAGAGTTCTATGGAACTACCCTCCTTCACATCCATCGTAGGACTCACACAGGTATTTTTCATCCTCCTATCACTTTAATTTGTTTATGTTAAACGCTCTGAATTTACTCGTCTATTTATTTTTATCGTTTTGACCATTCAAGATGTACACCCCTAAAACTGTACAAATGAATGGAGCTTTTTATACTAGTATCAAGTTACGAATCTTTCATTTCCTACATAGTTATAGTACTCCAAAAACGAGAATATGGATGTTAACAACAACCCGCATGCACTGTCAATGCCGGTCAATGGTGAGGCATACAATGTGTCAAGAGTCAGTTTACACTTCTTCGAAATTTCAACTAAAGATGTGTGAAACCTTTTGAACATATCTAATTTGTTCATGCCTAAAGTTTGCTCATTTTATTGTAAATTTATTTTCCTTGATATCAGGAAATTCCAATCGAAAGTTTAAGAGGCATTACTGATTGAATTTTTCTGTTCAGGTGAGCGACCTTATGTGTGTGACTTCTGTCCGAAACGATTCCCTTCAAGTGGTGCTATGAAAAAACACAGGCGCAAGCATACAGGAGAACGTCCATATGAGTGCAAACAAGTAAGTATTTGCGAAGATCTTCTTTTATATTTAAATCTAATTAAAAGCTTGAATTCTGTCCAATATACTGTCAGATTCTGTATGAAATGAGCAGAAAAATGAACAGGCATAGCCCAAAATCTCCTGAAATTAGACAGCAATACAATCTATAAAATTGAACTTTCGTAAATTCGATCAAGAAAAAAAAATTAAGTCATGGGACTAAAATTGGTAAATTTAAACTAAGCAAATCAAATTGTACCTGGCAAGTAACCAGTCAGATGTATAATTTTTGCAGTAAATATGAGGAAACAAATATTATTTAGAATGGAGACTTCTTCGACTAATCATGTGATCATCTAGAACTTATTGTGCAAAATCACATTTTGTCGGTTTTCAATTGTTCTAGTGTTGTTCGTTTTTTGCCCCATTGAAACAAATCAAGGCATATTCCATTCATCAGTCTGTTTAAAGATTAGAACAACTGATCACAAAGGGCCTCAAGGCAAGGCATAAATAAAGCTCTAAAAACTTTTTTCTGCAAAATTTCACAATGGAAACGAATCGCACCCTAGGAAGTCAAGAATTCATCTCACCAATTTCTTACTAATTTTTTCAGTGCACAGCAAAGTTTGCAGCCAAGGAAACTTTAAATCGCCACATGAAAACTCATTCAAGCAACAAGCCACACGCGTGTCACTTCTGTGGCAAGAGCTTCATCCAGGCATCTCAGCTTCGTGCTCATGTTTTCCACCACACTGGTAGGTCCTCAGCCATTCTGTTTATCAGGTGGTTAGATTTGGTCAAGGATATTTACCTTGAAAGTCCAAAAATTTTTGAGTGAATTCATTCAATAATTAACTTTTGACTGTAACTCAGTATTACAAGAACCATACCTGAACATTTTCTTTTTCTTCCTGCTAAGGGTGCTAGACTATTTCTTAGCTTAGTGCCTGGGTAGTTTAGTCCTTCGAAAGCCACAAATTTTAGGACAAAACATGCGTCAGAATTTTAAAGTATGAGTGTCGATCTTTGCAATATTAACTCGATAGTACTATTGTACCACTTTTTAGCTGATTGTCATGTGAAATCGTTCTTTGCACACTCTACTAAGAGGGGAAAGGTTTGACAAGGGTTGATGGTATTTTCTAACATTGTCTATCTCCTAGTTTTCTGTTATTTTTTCCTGACATGTGAATTTAAAAAGCGCAGAATAAAATACGCAATGAGTCGCTAATCACCTCTTTTTTTTCTCAAAAGGTGAGAATGGCTTTACCTGCGATTACTGTGGAAAAGCGTTTAATCGTAAATCACGTCTGGACTTGCACGTGAAATACATCCACGAAGGTGCTAAACCATTCGTGTGTGAAGAAACTGACTGTCAGAGAACCTTCGTGCGGAAGGAAGATCTGGCCCGTCATCAAGTTCTCCACTCAGGTGTCAAAGGTAAGCAATCAATCCATACTTCAACAAAGGCAATCTGTGAGATCTGAAATTTCCTCAATCCTATTTTCCCTGTTAAGAAGGCCCACAGTTATCAATGAAGTTTCAATAATAATTATGAATTCTACCTCTCAAAGTAAGAACTTCTCAGCCTTATTCCAGATTAAACTTGTTTTTGTTTCCGTTGAGTCCTGAATAGTCTCTCTGAAAGTTTAAGGGATGGATGGTTACTAGTTTTTTTCTACAGCTACAAATACCATAGGGTCATTTCAGTACTATGCATTGCACCGTTGGGTGAAGGATCATCTATCAATGGAACGTACAAATTAGCATTGTAAGGGGAGGAGGGTCAAAAATCAGAAAATGTTTGTTTGGTCATACTTAAATGAGTTCCTGGGAAGTGTGAGGTAATTTTAAGAAGGTAGTAACCTGTAGTCAATGAAAACCAGGAAATGTCCAAGAAAATTATATAATTGTCAGGAATAGTAGTTTTAATCACATATACTTACTCTCTGGGAGGTATTTGATTTTTGATCAACATTCACTGTATTGGTTTGATAACCGTAGGCGATTTTCAATGATCTTATCGTTCAATGCAAGGTGGTTTTATTTTCTAAATTTTGTAGCAGTCTTTTAGAGTGAAGTATGACATAATCGTTTCGGATTGCAAAATTAATTTTTCTCATCCCGCAGAATTTGTAGTAATTGTCTCACGAGGAATATATTATTTTTCAAGAGTCATGTTTCTCAGTAAGTTACCTACAAGTATTGTAAAAATGGCATCCTCCATGTGTAGAAAAGATTGAAAGTTAACATTTTGTTTAATGAACGCAATTGAGACCTAATGATGCCAGGTTAGTGTTAAATCTTAAACATTCCTTGAAGTCCTGCCAAATTTTCTCTAGAATTAAACAATTATTCTCGCCTGAAAGGAATGAGGCAACAATTCGTCTCTGATTGACCAATTGTACCAATTACCTTAGTGGAATCTCATTGAACTAATTGGATGCCTTCTTTTTTCAGCGCACAGATGTCCTATCTGCGATAAAAGCTTTGCTATGAAGTCATCATTGAAAATTCATTTGCTCACTCATACTAAGGTAAGATTTCTCTGTGAATAAGTTAATTCAAAGTATGAATTGTAATTTTTTTTAAACATCATTCAGAAGTGGAAAAAGAGATCTGAGTATAGAATCCACAGATTTTGCGAAATGCAACCAAATTTCTGAAGCTCTGAAAAACACAGCCCTCAAACGGATTTTTTTCATGCTCTTAATATATCAAGTTACATTCCACTGAAAACAGTCCTCTCTCTCATGTTTTACTCTTCAAACGCTGACGAAACCATTTATCTTTATTTTTCAGGAGCCACCACGCTCTTGTGACGAGTGTGGTCGTGCTTTCATCCGGCAGGATTGTCTGCTGCGCCACATGCGAAGCAAGCACCGAGACATGTTAGAAGAGATCATGGCTGAAGCCGAGAAGAAGAAACTTCAGGCTCAGCTCCTGTTCGCCGCCAGCGAGAACCAAGTTGAAAAAGATCCGCTCGGACCAGCTGCCTTCAAGGAGCCCACATTGCCAGAAGAGCCCACTCTTGCGGACTCTGTTCGAGAGCTTTTGTACTTGCTGGTTGATGAAACTACCCTCAAAGCGTTCGGCTGGCCAGACACGCCTGTGGACAGACTCCTTGAATCTGTTATCAGGTACTTTAAACCTTTTGACTCCTCTTATTTCTTTTTTCCTCTAATCCCTATCAAACTCCTCTCATTATTATGTCGTACGAAAGCAAACACAAGAAAATGGGAAACCAAGTCTAGAAAACAAACAAATTGCCTGGGACTTTTCATCACGCATGGGGGTCCGAAAGTTTTTATTTTATATTAATATTACTGTATTATTGTTTCCTGATCAAAAAGGGAGTTTAAAGCATCCCGAAACGTCCCAGGCATTTTGTTTTGTTTTCTAGCCTTGGTTTCCCATTTTATTGTTTGTTTGTGTTAAATTATTCCGGCTATTTTTGTGTATTTATTTCATGTCATTATATACCATATCCTTATTACTGTGTCAGGAAAAAAAATTAATATTATAATTAATATTTCCTTATTGCTGGTGCCATGGTGTCTTTGTGGTTATAACCTTAGCAATGTTTTCGTAATAAAGTTTTTTTTACAATTTCAGTTGCTTCTCACTAAGTTTCCAACAGTGATAAGATTTTTCATTTTTATTTAATATCTTATTAAACTCAAAAAATTGTCTGCAAATTTTTAATGACCCTCCCTTGAACTTTTCAGACGATGCGGTCATGAACCGGTTATTGACGAAGATATTGCATACACTGACAGGCTTCGCGAAAATGCTAAACTGTTATTCACTGTGGTCATTGATGACTCAGCCGTCAAACTGTTACTCAACAATCAATCAGTGGACGAGGTCATCCTGCACGTTTTGCGACTAGCCAGCTCATAATAAGAATTATGTTCTTTTTTCTCCAATTTCTACCCTATGGTAACTTGTGTTTTTATCCAGCCAATTTTTGGGAATTAGCCGCCCTTTAGCACAAGTACAGAAGCTTACTTGGACAAATTGAAGTTTTTTAGAATTGAAATCAAACATCGTTTTGAATTTTTTATTTTATTATTATTTTTTTTTTTTTTTCTATTCAAAAATCTTGAGTTTATTACGTTAGGTTACTTTTATTTTCACTAATTCATTTATAAAGCCTTAAATTTTTCACCTGTGGTGGGAGTCGCATGAAACAAATAATTTTTCCTCTGCAAGTGTTGGATTACCTTATATAATGTACAGTATATCAAGTGATTTCCGATTGTGTTTGTAAATTTTTTAACTACTTTTCAGTGTTTATTTTTTTTACATACTATCTTGATGGTTATTTAGTTTGTTTCTATTTGGTTGAGATATCTCTATGTTATGCGGAAAGCAGTTGGAATAATGTGTGATAACAGCAAGGAAAAAGTGTCTTCAATCATTGGTAGCTAGCCAACATTAATTGGTGGAAATCTGGAAGTTGTAATTTTTTATTTTAAATGTTATATGACTGCACAGCTGATACCGCTTGAAAAAAGGCTTGATCCAGTCACTTCTGGATTATAACTTTTGCTTAAAATTCTGAATTTCTAGTTCTTTTGGCAGAAAAGATGCCTACATCTGTGCAAATTGCGATGTATTAATTTTAGACTTGAGCTACAAATTATAGACTGGTTCATTCCAGTTAATCTGCTCCTTAACCATAATTTTTTGTTTAAGACGTCCTATCCTCAGTTCTTTAATTATCTTGATGACCCTCAGTGTTTTCCTTGGTAATTGTTCGTCTTAGGTTGTGGGTATAAGTGTCCTATTTGATGTATTAAATTTTGAAAGGAAGTTTTAAAGGTCTATGGTCTCGCTTTTGTCTATGTGCAAAAGATTTCCCTCCCTCAGAGGATTTCTTTCTCACTTTGTATTTTAGACCCGCACTACTACACTCAGTTTTCTGCTAGAAACGTTCGAACTATCTTGTAAGAAAGGTTTCTTATTGTTTTCATAGCGGTGTCAGCAAAATTCTGTAACAGTCCATCATTCTCACACTGAGAATTGATATGGTGAACCAGTTGTTTGCAGACTGACTTTTAAAATGGTTTTTAAATTAGTTTATTCCTAGAAGATAATTTTTTACAGTAGAATTAGTCAGGACATACCACAGTATCATTGTTTACTCTAATTAGCAGGGACCTACTGCTTTATTTACCTTTTTTTTTCTTACAGCAGAATTTTCAGCTGTCCTAATGTAAATGAAATGCAAATAAAACTGATTACCCATTTCTGACAAGGAATGACTTTTCGTATCTTCTTATAGCCTTATCAGACATCCTCCCCTCTGCATGTATACATGATCATAAAGTACTTTGACTTGTACATTTTTATATTTTAAACCTTTTTGAAGCACAATTTTTTGCCTTTTAGCCTATCATTCAATAACAAGAGAGCAAGAAAGTAATAAATAAGATGTGATACCTAATATAATGTTAATAGTCTCTACTCAATTTTGCTCCATAGAATAATTTGTTTTTTTTTTTTTTTTTTTTTTTTTTTTTTTGAACGAACCATCTGAAATTAAGGTTATCTTTCATAGGGGGGTTATCCTCTTCTCAGCCTCTGCTTGTAACTAGGTAACAAGCAGACCTTCAAATTGATAATGAAAGAAAAAGGCTTTTCCCACTTTTTTCCTCTTGGAACTGTCACGTTGAGTCAAAATGATGGAGTTCAAAATTATTACTGTGAAAATTTTTAAGCAGTCTTCACCAATTTCAGCTGCCCTACAAAAATTTAACTGCTCTCCAAGTAAACTGGTGAGTTAATTTCCTGTTTCCTCAAATCATTCCTCACCTCCAGTCTAGGCCTCTTTGAACCCTAATTCATCATCTTCGAGGTTGTAGCAATTGGAGATTAAGGCAAGATTATTGTGTTCTAAGACTCTTTGAAGTCAAGGATTCAAGGAATTTGAGTCATAAATAATAATTTTTAAAGAAATGACTGTATACTTACCAGTATTTTGAAAAGTAGCAGCCATCAGTTTTCCTGAAGGAACGATCTAGTTCCAGTTAGAATTTAAAAAATAGTTAAAACTATATGACGATTTGCAAGAAAAAGAAATTTGTTATTGCCTTGTGTTAACATAGGTATCAGGATTTGAGTGTTTGAGAACATTTCCTCTCGTCCTAAAAAATGTGTTCTGGCAATAAAGTTCAATTTTGTGTCAATAAAAATTGAAGATAAAATTCAATCTTTCCGCAGCTTTTTATTGAGATAGGTAATGTTTTTGAAGAACTGCTGAAAAAGAAGGGTTTTTAGCCTGTCTTCAACACAAATTAAAAAACCCTACGAATCATCAGGCATTAGCTTTTCAAGTGTTGCAGATCGAGAGAAGTATAAAGTAATAATAAGTGCTTTGAGTGGCAGGATTCTGCATCCCTGCTGGAGCAGGAAAGATTTTACTACCACTAAGGATGAATTCCGTATGAGCCTTCAGGGGTTGCCAAATTTATTCTGATTAAATATGAATTTTTACGAATATTCGTGAATTATTTTCTTTAAATTCTTTTAGAATATTATATTTGCAATCAAAACCAAAATTATCTGAAAATTACAAGAGAAGATATTTATGACTCCTAAGAAATAAAAATTTCATTTGAAGAAATTTGGCAATTCTCGAATGTTCACATGGCGTTTTCCCTTAGCACGGCAGAGAAGCTCTTCTCTCTGCAACCTTTGGAGGTCTCAGCCTTCAAACGTGTCCCATTCTACAGGGTGATCTTAAAGTCCCGCACCAGGCATCACTTGCAACTTTGGAGCAAATTGAGAGAGACTTGAAATTTTGTGAGTGCTTCTCATTTAAAGAAAACGACTTTTGGAAACCCCCAAATTTTTAAAGAATCCACCCTGAAAATAGACAAGAGTCCTAGGAGTTACATTGATGGTGCGGGACTTTCAGATCACCCTGTTTAATACTCTCTCGTGCTAACAGCTCAAGAAGATGAACTCCAGAAGTGCTTCAAATGGATTCTTATGGCGTGTTTTAACTAGCACACGACACGGATCACATGCAGTGCAAACCTCCAATTTTTTGAGCCACAGTACTACGAAACCATATGGTGATCAAAATCTGCCAACATCGTTCATTAAGGTAAATGTAAATCTCAATGGAGTATAGGATTGAATTATTTTAACTGAATCTCATTTTGGACTACAAGGAATATCTTTCACTTGCTTTAAATGGCAGAATTACTTGACTGTTTCAATGCTGAGAGCGTCAGAAGTTACTTTACCTCTTCAGTTCCATGTATGCAAAGGAACTTTAACTAGATCAGAGTTAAGATATTTTAAGGCATGAATGAGGAGTTTGGAAAAGAAGGTGTATAAGTGCAATTTTTAAAAATTGAGATATTAATGACTCCAAGTAAAACTACCTACTCTTAAAATATTCTCTGTGAAAAATTCACCACAAAAGTCTAATTTTTAAGCATCAATAAGTGAGTTTGAGGTTTCCCTAGTAGCAACCACTGTTAAAAAAACTTTTAAATTCTCTCAAATTTCAAAAAGACAACTCTTGAAAAAAACTGTTCCAATTCTCTTATTAGGAAACCTTTTTTGGCTATTTTTTTTTAAAGTAAATTTACAAGCGGTAAAATTTAAGTAAAGCAAATGCTAAAAAATTCTTAAAATACCAACTATAATTTTTCAACACTAAAAATGTTCGAAATAAATGTTAAAAAACTACAATGATATTTTAAGAGTTTTTTTGAACACTTTTTTCCCTAAATTTTACTTTAAAAAATAGTCAAAAAGGGTTTCCTAGTATGAAAATTTCAATAGTTTTCTAGAGAGTTTTTGAAGTGTGTTTTGAAAGGTCATTGCTACTAGGGTTCCTTCATCTATAAGGTTCCATGTAATCATGTAACTTAAGCACTTGCTTCTTCTAATAGTAAGAACTGCACTTATGCGTCTTGTCCTTCAAGTCCCTCAAATAATGCATTGAAATACAAGAAGCATCGGTACACCCCAGTCTAAGGTATGTGTTTTCCCATTGGTACTGAAGACAAACTATTGCAAGAAACATTCATTATTCTGGTCAATGAACAGAATTTCATTGTTCGACGAAATCTAGAAAAAGATTAGAGTCCCTCCACGAATGAAACACCTAAAGACTTGTTCCTACTGAATCGTCGCAAATAAAATGTGATGTATGTTTGCAGACTGAAACATTGGATTTTCCCCGCCTACTGGGAGTAAGAAGTCCTGACATAATGCTAATGGTGAAACTTGAGAACTATGACATAGCTGAAACACCACACATAAAATTTTTAGAGGACAAAACTAACAGTTCTACGTCCTATCTTGTCTCTATTTGCTGTCTAATAAGAAATGCCTTTAAAAACTTCAGCCTCTGGGATCTAGCAAGTTTCGTAAGCAGTGCGAAAAAGTTTAAACTCGCGAATCCACCTGCAGAAGCTACCTCTGTAACAATAATTAGGGACAATGAAACAGATCCCTACACAATGGAGGAGACAGTCAATCAAATTATCAATCGCTCGATGAGACCTGTTGACACACTGAATTCCCCTGTGGTGCTATTTAAAAAAACGTCAAGGGCCGACTGTCGTGACAAAGGAGGAAAACAGAGCGACACGGGAAATGCAAAGGAATGTGAAGCAGGCGATACTTCGAATTCTGATAAAAACAAAACTCCCGAGAGAAAAGACGGCACAAAATCGGACTCAGGCCATGAGTCTGCTGAGGATCCATCACCTTCAAAATGTGAACCCGGATTCTGTCAGTTTCCAAACGAGAAATTTACACTGAGATGTCCAGACACCCAGCCACCTGCAAATTGCTCGAACTGCGGAGCATTTTCACCTGGTAAAAGCACGGCTTCAGGTGAGAGCGCATGTTCAAGGGAGCCATCTTGCTCTTCACCCTCATCAGGTTGCCAATCTCCTGGCTCAGGTTCTCTATCACCGGAGAGAATCGTATCAGGTTCATCTTCAGGAGAATGCCCTAATAGATGCTCTCCTCCAGGCACACCTGCATCTTCTTATTCAGGGTCTCCGAGATCAAGCTCAACTCATGGTAGTTGCCGTAGCTGCCTTACACCAGGTTCATCAGCAGCATCTGCTAGGTCTCGTTCGTCTGCTAGAAGTTCAAATTCAAATAGATCGAATGCTTCATCAGTGAGAAGTTTAGAGGAAATACCTAACTTCCCTGAGGAGGGCGGCTGGGCCTCTTTGCCCGACGACATCGACGCAGGTTTAGAGGAAGAAATGTGCGAGAGAAATCGACCCAGAGATGATTATTGGGACCGTTGGAGGCGTCCTGTGCAATCTCAATCTCGTAATCCCCCTCCACAGGTAAAGGATGATGTCAAACTTTAAAATTACGAATTACGATTGAACATTTCACAAGAAAAAAATTGGGTAAAATGAGAGGATATAATTAAAGAGGGCAGGCCATGATAAAAATCTCATCGTGAATCTTACAATAAATTCACTTGTTAAGTGTGTCTTATTTTTTTGAATCTTAATCAGTTGTTCACAGCAACTTGAAATACCTCCCCTCCCCCCAAACCGTCAATTTTCACAGTTACCATAGACTTTGGACCTTCAACAGATCCCTTGAGAAATATTGTTTGTTGGACTTTAGAAATATCACCCTTTTGCCTATCTAAATGAAATTCTGTCTTCCTATTTTTCCCTTCTTTTCTATCCTGATATTTCATTATTTTGCTCTGTTTCCCAGGCGAATTACTACCCAAGACTTTACTATGAAGAAGTAACTTATGAGCCATCTCCAGAACCATCTGCACCAAGACAGAAAAGTCCCCCCTTCAGAGTATACGAAGACCCCGAGGGTTATGAGCCGGCTAGCTCTATACACCGTTCTCGAACGTCTCGCGGCATGCCTTCTCCTATCTCTGTTGAAGGATCTGCCAGAGTTAATCCAATGAGAAGTTATAACTCTCCGCCTTTGCACGGTCCGGATTCAAGCAATAGGGCTGTGAGAGTTCGCCGAAGGGTTGAGTACCTTCCACTTGACAACCCTCCACGGCGTACTTCAACTCCTACAACCGCGCCTCAAAATCTACCTCCCGGTAGAGTGAGAAGAAATCTTCTTCATGACTTATCCGACTCGGAATCTCCTGTAACAAGTTCCTTGCATCCCCCATTCGAAATTTCTCCTGAACCATTCATACCGCGTACTAGAAGAAGAAGCGAAGTCTTAGTTTTTTCGGATGACGAAGAGGCAGGCCCATCGTGTAGATCTCCCACACCTGGAGACACTAGCTGGCAACGGCGTTCCCCACTTGTTTTCTCGGATGACGAAGAGGCAGGCCCAACGTGTAGGTCTCCCACACCTGGAACCACTAGCTGGCGACGACGTTCCCCACTTGTTTTCTCGGAAGATGAAGAGGCAGGCCCATCGTGTAGATCTCCCACACCTGGTTCTGGACGTCGGCTTGTTTTCTCTCCAGAACCTACAACAACCCTTAGCCGGCAACGACGTTCCCCACTCGTATTCTCGGAGGATGAAGATGAGGACGCAGGGCAGGTGATGCTCGTCCGTGAGACTGTAACAACTTGCGATGAAAATAATACTTGCGTTGAGGAACAGCGAGAAACCACTGTTAGCCGACGAGAATTCACTAATAATGGATGTCATCCGGTCGGAACACCAGTGGTAAAAACCGAAGTGGTGAAAACAATCCCTGGCGATGGTAATGGCTGCAGTCCCTCTGGCTCGGGTAATCACAATTCACCGCACACTCCTTACTCAGATGGAAAAAAAAAAACTTCGATAATTGACCTGGCTGGTTTGCAAAGTGCTGACCTCTATGTGAGCGATAGAGAGCATTTGCAATCTTATAATTTTTGTCGCAGTTGCCTACCTTCAATTTCTGATGACTTCATCTCGCACCCATTTAAAACAGTATCAAGCAACGGCAAAGCAATAGCTGGAAAGCTCATCTGGGACCAAGCATTATTAGTTCTAAAAAATTATACTTTCAACTGCCATGTTGGCCATAAAAAGAAATTGCACAGTTGTACTTTTGATAATTACACGCTTCCTTTGTTTGCACTTCGTTTGGTTTGTTCTGTAGTGCAAGCATTAAGTCTGCGTTCTGACAAGAGACGAAAAATGCAGAGGCTAGTTGAAGAGCTGTAAAATTCGTTTATGGGAAACTAGGCAAGGTCTGAATGAGAAGAAAATGTCACGTGATTCCTCTTCAAAATCTCACGTAGATAACGAATCACACAACTGTAACCTCGGAAATTAACTCCTGAACAAGATGTAAACCAAAGTTTTTAACACAGATCAAATCGAAGTTAGATCATATACTAATGACATCAGTTATATTTATGCCATTTAACTTATGTTAATTCTTGACACCTATATATTGTTTAAAGGTTGATGTCCAATCTTCCTACCCATTGTGTGATTCGCTTTCCTCATGAAATTTTTGAGAGGGAACAAGCTACGCAGTACTCCAATTCATACTTTATCTAGTGCACTAGCTCGACAACAACAAGCTTCTGAGGTAAAAACACACATTCTCATTTCTTGTTCCTATTGTTAATTTTTCATGAGTTTCTTTCCAAGGGGCACACAATCATATTCTCAAAACAGAAGTTTAAAAAACCTATATTTCATTACCATAAACGTATGACATGCTACAAAAGTCAACAATAAAATTAAAGACAGGAGAAATGAGCGGAGTAGAAAAAGAAAAAGGAGTAATGTCGGAAATTGACAAAAATTTATTATATAGAAAAATAAGTAAAGAAGTACTTAAACTAGTTGCGTGGACCACCATTAGATGCACCTTCGGTCTTCCCCCGACGGAAAGCTGGAAAAAACATAACAAGAACAACTTGTTAGCTATATTTCTGTCAATTAATTTTTACATTGATAAAACGCATTTACAAATATTGAATTCACATATGAAGTTTGCTACTGGATCAAAACTTTGGAAAGTGATTCTATCCTTTAAAAAGAAAAAAGACATTATTTTTTCAGTCCTTCGAAATCTGCAAAAATGTTAAATTATCATGGTAGTTCTTGGTGTACTTCCGAAAGCCTTTGGCATAATGAGAAAAATTGATTAGTAGAGAAAACCCTCGTGTCAGTTGATAGAGCTACTGTTGTTACATTGTAATCAAGAGTTCTATGACTGTGTGGCTATGAAAATATAATTACATCACATTATACACAGCACAAAAAAGATAGCCCAAAAAACGCTAATAAACTTTAACAATTTCAAAAGAAGCGGTGCCATGGATATCTTCATGTCTTACTTTTTGGCAATTCATAATGAACTTATTGGTAACTACAAGAAGATAAAAATTAAATTGATTTGATTAATAAGATCAAAAAAGACAGCAACTTACATGGGACCCATTTTTCTGAAGATATTTTAACATCCTTATTTTCCTTGCCGGGAGCAGGCGGTTCCGGTCTATTTTCTCTGGGTTCTGGTCTGGCAGGTTCAGGGGGCCCTGTTTTCCGCTGCGGTGGACGGTACACCTGTTTCGGAGGTGGATCTTGCCTGGGTCCTGAAAAGTAAAACATTCTTGTTTAGATTTATAGTCATAGAATTGAAAACAAAAAAATCTCTCCTGAAACAATCCGTTCTTGGCCTTCACTTACAATTAGATTATTTAATTTGAGAATAACTAATGGCTTGATTGCTTGAATAAAAATCAAGTAGTTCAAGTTCCTGCACTAAGAGTAGTCTTATTTTGTTCGAAACAACAGATTGTTTCTGTTTTTTTTTTCTTGTTCCTTTTGTGTGATTCTGAACAACCAATGAGAAAGCAAATTCAAATTTAAGGTTAGAAAACAGCGTTGTCTTGTACAACAACATAAAAACGACTTGCCTCTGAGCATGTTGCAGTTGCTGTATGACAATGTGGGGGTTCCCAAATTTTGCATGCGAAAATAAGCCCCGCCCCCACAACACAAAACAACTTCGAACAAAATACAATTGTTACTTGTTTTCCTAACATGTTGCGAGTGTTGCCTCCGAACAAAATACAACTAGTTATTATTAAACGTATTCTAGCAGGAGGTAAGTGATGTTCGTCCTGAAAATCAAGATCCTACGTGCTTCCTGGAAGTGAAAATTTGAGCGCTGAATTTTTGCTGATGAAACAAAGTCAAACTAGAAAAATTTTTCTTAGTCAACACGTACAAAAAAAAAACTTCATTCCATGAACTCAAATATATCTGAAAGATATTCCACCTTCATCAGCGGACTTTCCAACTTCCCGCAGCTTTGGCAGAAGGTAAAATATTTCCTGTACATTCTTTAGTCTACTATGAGATTTCTATCGATACTCTAAATGGGAAAACTTACCATCACCCGGTCGCCTCATTCTATCCATTTCTGCTTGTTTTAGAAGTTCTTCACGTTTGCGCTCTGCTTCTTCTTCTCGTTGCCGTTGTAGTTCTGCCTTCTTGTCAAGAGCCTCTTTACGTTTTCTGAAAGTCATAACAGTACATTGACACTTTAAGATTTGTTGAAAAATATTTTTAAAAAGGAGATTTTTTCTGGTAGACTTATATTCAGTTGTATTGAAATTGTCATGACATACAATTTGGAAAAATATGCTGTACTCATAGAATCAGATGATTTGAATCTCCAACATTGAGGAGACTTTAATAATGAATCACTAGACACGGTTTGAACTAAACAGAAACATCACATGTTTTCTCTTCTAATTCTGAGAAGAGCAGGTCAAATGGAAGTTAGATCATAGAAATGAGGTCATTTATATTTTTGTCATTCAAATAATAATAATTGTAAGCACTTTTATCTTCATGAGGAGTTGATTTTCAAACTTCTCGTAAAATTTGTGATCCTTGTGAAAATTTAACGAGAAGACATGTGTTGCATTTAAATTCATACTTAGTCTAGAGACCCACTCTAGGCTCTTTTCAGAAAGATAAATAGTAATTTAAAAAAAAAATGGTCAAACTACCACAGTCTACTTCAATCTTATGGACATTCTACGAAGCGGCTTATCCATTAACACAACTACCTCAAAATATTGAAGTACCTCATCAACTCTTGTTTAGTTAGCAGACAGCTATTGAGCTGTGATTATAAATCTTTGACTGAGCACTGCTTGTAAATGGAAACCAACAATCCATAAAATCAAGCAAGATAAATTCAATAATGCAACATAGGTGGTTTCTCTGATCGAATGGTATTAATAGGCTTCTAAAAATTTACTCTGGAGGTAAGTAGAATCAGTGAGAACAAAAACACACCGACTCAAAAAAATTAATCTAATAAAGACACACAAAATTGCACAGAGGTTAGTCTAAGAAATATATTTTTGATGCCGAAATACAAGTACCTAAGGACACTTTAAAGGTCCAAGTTGGAACAAATGCGCTAACTTCAATGACCTTTGTGAAAATTGGCTGTCTCCAATGAAAATTGAGCATTTTCAAGTCACCGAGTTGGTGCGTTTTCGTTCTCACAGATTCAATTGATGAATGAAGTCATTAGAAAAAGTATAAACCTGTATTCTTCATCCTTCTCTGCCTTGAGTTTAGCTGCCAGTTTTTCTTCTTCCCGCTTCTTGCGCAGCTCTTCTTCTTTGCGCTTAGCCTCTTCTTCTTCCTGGCGCCGCTTCTCCTCCTCTATCATTCTCTTCTCGTACAGCTCCATTCGCTCCTTTTTGCGCTGTTCTTTGCGCTCCTGTAGCCGCTTTTTGCGTTCTTCCTCCAACCGTTTCTCGTATTCTTTCAATTGTTCCTAAAAACAAATTAATGAACTTAGATTTCATCATTATCCACACTAATTACCTTTTATTCACTGGATAGTTTGAAGTAGAGACTAGAAGAAATTACCTTTAAAATTAGGAAATTTGTTCATTGATTTTCCAGATTTTCATACATCAAAATGAGACAGAGATAAAAATATTGTGACCCTACATCAAATTCAAAGCGTGAATTTCCAGGGTGTCTACTAAGACAAGCTGGCCAAAAATCAGTTCTTTTACAGTATTTCGTCAGTATATCCCCAAGAAACTCAGTACTTCCTTAACAGAAAATGTCAGTGCTTTTTCAGTACCTCCATTTGAAAAAATTTGAAAATTTGAAATTCTTGCTCGAATTGCTACAAAAATGACGTAAACACAAAATTTCATTGGTGGCTTAAAGGTATTGCTTGAAGATTAATTGACTGCACTGACACGATCTTGTAGGCAAATACTACTCTCGGAATCAATACGCAGGGGATTGCATACTTTCTAGGTTTTTTCAAAGAACACACTTGGTATGAAGGGAAAAAATTTTAGACCTTCTTGCAGAATTTCCGCTTTTATTCAGTACTTCCAGACCGCCCTTAAAAAGTCAATACCATTTTCCAACTTTCGGAAAATTCCGGTCTAGTTAACATCCTGATTTGGAATGTCAAATGATTCTGACAGACTAATGGTTCTTATGCTGAATTTTTAACGCACATTGGCAAAAAACTCCAACATACTCTCTTATGATGCGTGCTTCTACCGCTGTCAGTTTGTGTAATGGTTCTTACCTGGAATGCAGCATATCGTTTCGACCTCAGAGAAGCTAGGAAGGCTTCCTTATCAGCAGCCATTCGTCCAAGACGCTCATGTTGCTCGACAAAGAACTTGCGCTCTTCGGTCAAAGCCTTGATTCGCTCTTTTTCTTTTTGCTCCCAGTAATCACGGTGCTCAATCTGAAACAGCATACCAGACATTAGTCTTTAGCTGAGTAAACACTTTCATACATAGAATAGAAATAGAAATGGAATGTTAATCAGAGAGAGACATCAATTCCTGTAGGATATTTAAACCTCCATTTTTAATAAAAAAAAAAACGAATAAAATTTTACACACAACAGCTTCATGAAAAATGCTTCCCTTGCCAATAAATGAAGCATTTAAAACAGTACAAAGTAATGTGAGTAAAACTTGGCGGTAAACATCATGGTTTGAAAAGATTTTCATTTAAGAAGACAATTTAGACATTAAAGTTGATGAAAAACAAAAAATATGAGGGAAAGAGGCTAAAAAACACAACAAAATGCCTGAGAAGTTTCAGGGTAGTCTCAAGCCTCACTTTTCTTGTATTTTTTTTTTTTAATTTTTCTGGCTATTTATGTATCATTTTGATCAACTGAGTTGTTCTTCACACTGGACATATTTATTTAAGCACACAATTTACTTTTATTTTCACAAAAGATGTTAGAAACTTATATTTAGTCGAACTTACTTAGAGGTTTCACAAATATGAGTTGCAACTCTAACTAGTGTTGGAATATTTTTTGTCTCATTTGTTCTTTAGGAAATAAGTACTTCTAAAAGATCATGTTTCAATAACTGAGCTATACCTTCTTCTCTTCGATGGCTTTCTGGAGCAGAGGGATCTCTTCAACGCGTTTTGCTCTTTCATAATAATCCACCTTCTTTTCTTGTGTTTTGAGTCTCTGTTGGAAGTCTTTACGCTCCTTGATCAACTCCTCTTGTTCTCGCATGGCTATCTTGTCCGGATCCAGCTTTGAAAGGTCCTGGGAATAAAATATCAAACAGAAGTTAGAAAAATTGTTTTAAAATGGATCTTTTGGATGAACGCTTGCGAATCATTTTCATGATCTAAAGGCAAACCAATAATTCAGAATATCATACGATTTTTTTTTTTTTTTTTTGGACACTGGGAAAGAAGCAAAAAGGCTTATGCAAAATTGTAGGGGAAAAAAATCATTATTAAACTGCAAGCCAAAACAGAAAATGCTTGTTATGGCTGATCACAGTCCGAATATTCAGTGTTGACATGAACATTTCATGTTCATTTTCTCGTACATGAGCATTTCATGCTTATTTTTTCGACACGGTCATCACATTGTTTAAACCATTTTAATGCATGTATATTTGTTTGATCATCTACTTTTGCTCCGACAGATTCTAGTGACGATGACAAGAGCAGGTAAAAGTCATTCTAATTTTTAAAAAAAGCATGCTTGACACTATTACTTCCCAAAGAGTGTAAAAGACATGATTAGATCAGTCATCGTTCTTCACATAAAAGTTAGGTTATTAAACAAAGAAAGGGCGCACATTAAAAACTTTTCTAGAGAGAGGATGTAAGTCACTGATTTGCAGCAGGAAGGGCCTAAACTTCCTGTAAGAAATGCCTGTAGCATGTTTTTATTTTTCCGAAAAAAGACTTTAGTGATTCTTTCTTTAGAATGATTTTGAATGAAACCCACCTCTTCATCCAGTTTCTTCAACATTTTTTGACCGTATGATTTTTGTGAGATGGCAGCCATCTTATCCTTCAATATTTGATCTTGCTGCTGGCGCATTTCATTTTCCTTTCGTTTGCGTTCGCGCTCTTTCTGTTCCTTCTCCAGGCGTTCTTTCTCTGCCAGGGCCAACCGACGATTCCTCTCTTCTGCTTTTCGTTGATCAGCTTCTTCCTGCGGGGGAAAACCAAATGAAACAAAACATTGAGACCTGATGTATGAACCAGAGCACTCTCTAACATTCATTATACAGAGAGGCTATACTGCACTGCTTTGGATGCTGAATTTATGACAATTTTTCACCGCCAAAAACGTCTGAACTTCCAAAGATTAATCAAGGAGTTCTTATTCGTAAACTAAAAGATTTTGACAATTTTTTTTAAATACTTCCTAGGATATAAAAAAAGCTTAAAAAAGTGTCTTTCTTAAAAAAGAATTGACCATGATCATTTCAGAATTTATTACTCAATCTTCAGGTCTGGTCAACTCTATCCTGCTATTCATATGCACCGATTCACTTTTTAACTGTTGTTGCTTTTTTAAAAGAACTTTCGATTTTTCTATTGTGGCTGTTGAATTCAGCAAATCCAATCACGCGAGCATACCAATTTCCATGAATTTTGGAACATTACTGTTGCCAAACTGCAGGAAAAACAATTTATTTCCCAGAACTTTCGAGAGGGGAGGTTGTAGCCCCCATGCAAAGCAATTTTGAATACAATTTCATAGAAAATAAGTTATATTTCAACCCACAGAACACTCCTGCGGTCTGGCAGTTTGACTTTTAATGACCCTGTATTATAAAATATATGTAGGCAAATATATGTTGTTTCTGTGATCTAGCGAGAATAGTCACTGTAAGTCCCCATAGGCCGCATGGCACTCAACAAGTTGAAACACCTACGACCTACTTGATGTCTGTATCAAAACTAATAAGTTTAATATTAGTAGAGCTTACCCTTTGCAAATTCATCTTTTCGACATACATTTTCCTTTCCTCAATAATCTTATGTCGGTTCAGAATACTCAAGTGTTCCTTTCTAGCGTTGGCAAGGTAGTATTTCACCAGCTTTTCATGTCGTTCTTCTCTTGAAGCCTGGATTGAAAAAAATAATAATATGATAACACAAAGAGAAAACCATCTCTAGACAAAAATCTAACGGTAATATGTACGGTTTAGGAAATTGTCAAGGAGAAAATAACTTCGATATAATGCAAAACGAATTTTCCTGTGAACGCCTCATTTTTACATTTTTTACAGTGCAGCACTCAGTTGCTCGAATTTCACAGAATAGGAAATAAGTTATTACAACCCCATCATAAGATGGCAATTGGACTGCATTGAGCAGGAAGGAATTAAGTTACATCAGTCATTGCCCAATTTCATTGGATGATTTATTTTTTTACTGTTATGTCAATGCTTTTGAAAATTTCTGGAGATTTCTTCTGGAACATGAAGGAAACTCAATGGGATTTCCAAAAGAATTCATACAATCATTCCCCTGTAAAAAAATATTGTCCAATAAAATTTGGCAATAGCTGATGCAACTTGACTCCTTTCACCTTAACGCGATCCAAAAGGATGTATAATGGTATATGTGTTTCCTTTTAAAAAGATAGTCTTGAAGTTTCAGCAGAAAGAAACAGAAATTCTGGTACTTGCACTGTTTAAACCCTGATTTTTTCGTCAATGTTCACTAAATATAGAATTATTCAGGATGTTGGTACACTTAAACTATCTAACAGAAAAAACTTTCTTCCAAAAACTCGAAATTAATATCAACATAGTTTCAATGCCGAATTCATCATCCATTCTGACTCGAAAAAGTGGTGCAATGACTGTAGTTGAAAATTTTAAAAATAATTATTCTTAACAAGATTGGCAGGGATGGGGAGGAGGGCAGGTGTTTCAGAACTATGTTTACATTACTGCAATGTGCAGAATACTGGAATTTAGAAAATGGGTGATGGTGTGTACAGTTCTTAGTTCAAACTTCGATCCTGTTTCTTCAAGACTTCAAGGCATTGAGCAACAGGACCTTGAAATCAAATTGTTGCAAATCCAAACTTCAATTTTGGCCTTTTACGTGCAGACAGAAGTGGTTGGAGACACGATCTCCCACAGTTTGAGGACACAGGAAGAGACATTGGTTATTGCTCTCTCCTGCAAGTTCAAATAATTCTTTGATTCTCAAAGAAAGGAACCTTTGGATACCATGTACGATTCGACTACAACACGTTTTCGAAGAACTTACCTGTAATACATCTGGGTTTATAATTTGAATAGCGCTAGTCAGAACCTGTGACATACTAATCAACTGACTACGAATCTGATCGCTAGGCATACTCTGAAGGGTGGGGCCATCGGGTTTGTCCTCCCGAGAATCGGACAGGTCTTTTCCAAAGTGAACGCAACCTGCACGATGGTCAATGATCACCTGTAAAATAGAACTTGTTTAAAAAGTATGTCCTGCGTTAAATTAATATCAAGCAGGCACAATACTACACTTTTTCTTGGTGTACTGTGAGGAAGATGGTCCATATTTTTCCCTGTATATTTTTCTGTCTGGGTTCCTCCTGGGAGAAGACGCAGAGGGCGCCCAATGAAAGGTTGGAGGGAAGGGATTGAAGCGGAAATGTTAAGGTGCTCAATCCCCCAAGATTTGTGGTTTGAAAGAGAGCAGTGGAGGTTAGGAGTCGTAGAGCGCGAGGGAGTGCTGTAAAGCGACTTATATGTATGTATATTTTTCTGCCCTTTCAAACTAAAAGTTCTCAGATATTTTGTCCACTAATTTTCCCCCAGTAATCTGTTTTCACAAATGGTCAATTTAAAATAAATTTTAAAGAATGGAGAATTTGCGCACAAAAATTTCACAGGCCTACTTCTTATCAGAAATGAATTTCATCCACTTCAACAGAAAACCACACTTCATAACAGATGACACCTTTACAAATGGCACAACATCATACAGTTGCAACATCAACAAACTCCTTGGCTACTCTGCAATGATTGCTACAATTTATATATAATTTATTATTCAAAGCCTAATTTCACTATCGTTATTAGAGAAACTATTATTTAAGTCTCTTTTCCTAATGCTTAAAAGACAATAAAAAATTTACGTGACAAATAAAGTCTTACCTGCATATCATTGTGTCGCACACAATCGACGAGGAGTCGTTCTAACTGGAATGGAGAACCAAAATGAGAGAGCTCAATCAGGCGGGTGAACTTGACAGTTTGATAAACCTGGGATACTTGCTTGATCAGACGAACCAAAGTGACCTCGTGAAGTGGCGCTATGTATTGGGAGTCTTCGGTGAGTGTTGAGGTTATGTGATGGACACGAGAGCACAGATCTAAAGGACTGAATTCAACTTCTAGAAGCTCATAGAGTTCTTGTAATGGCTGAGAGGCCAAGGAGACAATATTAGCACGAACCTACAGAAAAGTAACGGAAAAAATGATCAAACAACAGAAATCCGAGTAGAAAGAGCAACATACCTTCTGCAAAAATAATTGAACAGCGACAGTGGGAAAAACTAGAATGCACACCCAAGACAGTATATTAATAGATAATGAGGGCTTTGGAATGTGAGTAAATACCATGCTGAGTTAAAAACTCAATCAAGTGATTCTCAAGCTCACTTTAATTAGAGTCTATTTACCATAACTTTGGGTGACTAAGAGGCTGTTCAAAAAATGTGTAATGCTAAAATCGGGTTGTTTTTAAATCCTCCACTCCCCTCTTGATGCATTCGTGTCATAAATCCCTATCTTTTAAAACATAATAACAAAATGGCGTTACAGACTGTTACTTCCTTTATAGACAGCCTCTCGGCCCAGTATACAGGACAATTCAAAAATCCTGCACCACCAGCAACAGGTATCACCCTCATAACTTTTGAGCAAATTGAGATACAGACTTAAAATTTGTTGAATGTTCTTAGATTAAAACAAACGACTTTTGCCCCCCCCCCCCAAGTTTTAGAGCCATCACCATGAAAAATGGCAAGAGCCTTAGTGGCTATGGGGTTGGCTTGGGACTTTTAGATCACCCGTTATTATGACTGTGCTAGATTCTGATGGGTACAAAAAAAGAGGAATTTTTTCTCTTGATGTAAGATACAGCTATATTTGTTTCACTGACCTTTCTCTGTGAAAAAACCGAGAACTGGGACAAGGGAACAGTATGAATTTAAATCATTAAAAATGACAATTCAAAGTGATTTGCGGCCTTTAGCTTTGTACTATTAAGTAAAGCTAAACTATGCTGTTGGTTTCAAACCCCATGCTATGATTTGCGAGTTACAGATCTCTGTATCATGCATCAGGCATTAGTCATTACGATTCACTTTTTTTATGAATGAATAGTCTCTAGTAAGCATGCTAAGGAAACGAATAACTGAATGTTCTTAGAAACTTTTGTTACGATTCTTCGACTCTGTACTGAAAATAAGATTTACTTATTTTATTTTTATGGAACTTACAATATCTTTGATCAAAGAAATACGGGTGGGAGCCTGAGGTAGAGAAAGTAGAGTTGCTAATCTTTGTGCTTTTTCTAATGGGCTCTTCTCAGTCTCAATAAAGCGACAGAATTCTGGGTGAGAGGAAGGCAATGGGATAGCCAACACAGCCAACAACACACGGCAAGCCATCCTGGGAAAAGAGAAAAAAATTTGCTAAAAAACAGTTCTGCAATATTTAATGAAGTTTTAAAACATAAAATTTAAAGAAACGAGGAAAATCTGAACTCACATTTATACAGAAAAGTGACATGCGATAGTTAAAATTTTTCATGGCCTATTGTCTCCAACTTGAAAGTGCGTATCTTGATTAAGCTATATCAGTATTCCTTGATTCCTCACTTACATTTTATTTATTTGCAGAAGCGCCGCATGAATTTTCCTAAAATTTCTGGTGATATTTCTTTACCTCTGTGAGAAAAGACTCTAAAATTTTCAGACTGATTGAAGCGATGATTTTGCCATAAAAAAATAAAATGTCTGTAGAAATAGCAATATAGGTTAGCACAGGCAATAGTACAGGAAATATAGGTTCCTTCAGGTAGGAGATGATGAGTCTTAAATGGTCATCAAATTTTGGATGCCTTGTCAATATTGGAAGCTTTTATGCATTGGACCTCTTAAAAAAATGAAGTCACAAAAAACTGCAAAATGGAAAGAACCCTAAAACCGCGGCTGCCAACAATTATATTAGAATCAATATCAGTTATTGTCATGATAATCGCGATTCCTACTTCTCATGCTCTAGTAAGATGATCACAATGAGCTGTGCCATAAACCCAAAAAAAGCACTATTGTTGCAGTAGACACACGTTTGCTAGACGGTTACACACTAACTGCACAATGTGTCAAGATATTGCTTAAGGTTCTTTCTTGTTTCTGGAAAACTTAGGAAATCTAATTAGCTTTTTGAGCCTCTTCTATGGGCAGTATCACAAAAATGTGGAACAAATTTGAGATTCTAAAGAAAATTATGAAGAGCTAATATAGAAGTTGAATCTATAATAACCTATTCATCGTGCTTACCTCTGCAGTTCTTCTGGCGTTAAATTCTTTTTCATTTCTTTGCTCAGCTGGAACAGCTTGAATAAAGCTGCGGCATGGAATAAGTAATAGCCTGCTTTCCAGAAAACCATGGCAAGTTTTTGGTAGTAGTTGGCCATAGTTTTTGGGTTCGGCAACTTCTTTGAAATCATCATCAGGTTATGAATATCCTCTGTGATTTTGAAGGCTTCCTGAAAATCGAATGCTTTGTAATTAAAGAGAAGAAGATGGGGGAAAAAAACTTTGAGTATTGAAAAGGAGGGAAATACGCAGAAAACGGTTTTTAAAATAAAAGAATTGAGAATAATAGCTTAAACATTCGGATGCAGCGAGGGCAAAAAAAGGTAATCAATTAGAAAATTTTAGGAAAATATGGGGTATTCATAATGAGAAAGTCACTTAGAAAAATTGAATGGCTAACTAAGAATTTTCTGTACCCCTGTTGAAAGTAAATGAAGAGTAAAGATTAAAATGACGCAACAGTGGCACCCTTTTTTAATTCACTTTTTGAAAGTAGTGAGTGAACTGAGCTTCTACGAATTTTTCGGATTTATTAAGCCCTAAATGGCAAAGAAACTGCTTTTGAAAAAGCAAAAAATGGGACCAGTTTGAAATGATATTTTTGGCAGGCTCTGATGCCATAACTAGGCAAAAGCAACAGCATTTGCCAATTGACTGAACTTAACTTCAGGCTATGCTTCGTTACATCGACTTGACTGTCAGCTTTTCATTAGTCGAATTTTGATTGGCTTTTACTTCCCTTAAAAAATACTTTTCAACTAGCTTCAAGAAATTTTATGTTAAGAAAACTGTACGCCAGCCCTGTAAAAATTCCTTGCCACTGCCCCATTACATAATCCGAAAACATTAGCAAAAGTTAAAAGTGTCAGAGGAAGTAGAGAGAACTTAAAATAAAATGTATTAACAACAAGCTACATTAGCTTGAAAAGACATGATCGACTTTAATCAAGAAAACATTTTTTGCTCCTCCAAATTTGATGAAAAGGTGAAGAATACAATTTGAAAAGAGCATAAATTAACAACACCATCTGTAACATCAAGAAACTATCCTCACTGAAATGTTCAAATAGTCTTTTTCAGCCATTGATGATGAAAAAAAATATATTACAATTAAAAGAGTTAGTTCTGACCTGCCACAGTTCCATTTGAGCTGCATAATCAAGCTGAATAAGCCTCGTGTCCAAGTTGAACTGTTGGGTGTCAGGCCGAGTGAGATTCACATTGCTTAGATTCGTCGGTGAGGATTTGCCAATATCTTCCAAATGTTTCCTAAGTTTTTCACAAAGCTTCCTGAATTCAGCTTTTCGTCCGTAGTTGAGACAAAAACTGAATGCCTGAAAAATGAATTACATTGATTACATTACGAGCTAGTCTTCAATTCTTAAATCAACAACAAAGAACTTGGAAAGCGAGTTTCTTCAGATTTTAATCATGAATCTTTGATGAGATCAACACTTAAAGATCTGTTTAACAATAAGTTCTAAGGCCAGTTTTACAACGAAAATTCCCCGATTTTTCAACATTTCTTGACCAAAATTCCCTAACTGTTCACATTGACAATTCAAAGCTTGGAAGTGAAAATAAGACATTTTCAGCATTAATTTCAGCATTTTTTAAATGCGAAAAACATGTGAGCTTTTTTCACTCTTCAGATATTAATCAATTGATGGACTAAGATTTCAATTCCTCAGTGAAAATTCTCTGTCCTATATTTACTAAAAGTGTGACTTAGAGGATTGTACCCCAAATCAGTCTGGTAGTGTGGACCATGCCGATATTATTTCGATTAAATTTCCCAGTCTTTTTCATGAAATTTTCTGAATTTTCCCTCATTTCCCCCACCTGATGTTTCCTGGTTTTCCAGACCTGTAAATACCCTTAGCCTTAATAATAATATGACCCTTGCCGATGTTGCAAGCATAATCCAAAAACAGCAGAGGTTTCTGTCAAGGGGAACGAAAAACTTGAAAACTCCCTTCCTAAAAATATTCCCTACATCCTGATTGCAGCACTTTGATGTTTAAGACAAAATAATATTCCTGTTTTGACCAATTAGAAAAACACACTCATTACATATTTTTCAGTATGTGGGAAAATGACCCTTGAATACATCTCATAAAACTCTTTTCATAGCTCATTATACATAGATGTTTAATAAATTAGGATGCTAGATTGACACAAAAACCTTAAAAAATCGACAATGATTAGATCACTGATGACATTTTTCAAGCCCTTTCTTCTGAAGAAAGATCAGTATTAGAATGTTGGTAGGAAAATGTTACATACCATTCTAGCAATGTCATGATACAGCGGTTCAACATGGACATTGATCTTCAATAGCTCTAAGCACTGACCATAAGATTCCCACAGGAACTTCACCCATGGGGCCAAATGTGTTCGTTCACTACGGTCCTGGGCATCCTCTCCGCTCACAGCACTGTCCAGAATAAATGAAATTAATGTTGGATCTTTTCATGGCAAACACTTTTTAAAGAAAAAGACTCTAAGGAATGAATGATATTTTAATGAGGTCCAAAAGACAAAGGTAGATGAGAGGGCAAAATTATGAACAAAACCAGTGTAGTAGGTCTCCTTGCAGTATAATAACGTGAAATTCCTTGTGCTTTATATCCATAAGCTGGGGGCAGATGTAAAGTGCATGTGAAGAGGAAAAATTCCTTCCATGAAACTGCAGTACCATGAAAGAATTGTCAATTTATTGCTAGTGAAAACATTCCACCTTTTTGTCAAGTCTTCGGAATAGTAAAAATTATGGATGCTATACAAAGAGAGAAACATAATGTCAGGGAGGCAGATAGTTCTTTGTCTTCCTCTTCACGTTGCTATCCACATAAAACTGAGCCCCTCACTATTTGCTTCATATGAAAGAGCGCGCCCCACTATTTTCTTTGCATAAAAGAGCGCATTACTCAGTTTCCTCTTAAGTAAAACGCCTAGAAATTTTCTTCTCAAAAAATGACACATTCTATGGATTTTCTTTGAGAAAGTACATACATTCATACAAAGATTGATACTAAAATTCAGGAGTGCATTATTTTGGGCCTCTGCAATTGCCTGCAACACACAGGGTCTTTGCAAAGAGGTTTACACGACACACTGATCAAAATTTCAATAATTTTCAAATTATTTTTAAAAAAATGCAACAGTCGTATTTATTCCACGAAAGTTGAAGATGTGAAAACCTTCCAGAAAGAAGAAGAAGAAAAAAAAAACTCCCAGCATTCCCAATATGGAGGGCATTTTTACAATTTAGCCACAATTGCGCGAATGAGAACAATTCGCACCCCTGCTAAAATTTTAAAAAGAAATCCTGAATGCTTTCTGCCTCCACAGTTTTCCACAATTTTTAGGTGCCTCCACACTTTCTCCACAACCCGTTGGTCGAATGCTCCCTGCACCCTTGCATAAGGACAGCAACAAGTCGATACTGAATGAATAATAAAGTGCAAAAACCAACCTTAAGAGAATACTTTCTGGAGTGGTTATGTTATCCAAATCATCAATATCTACAACAGCTTGCTGTGAAAGTTCACGAGCAGCTTCAGTTCTTTCTTCAGCAGATTTTAGGTAGCCGCGAATGACATTTTCTAATGAACCTACATTGACCTGAAAAAATCAAATGTGAGAATTAAAAAACAGCATTCATCAAGCAGTTAAGGTTTCTAAAATTTTTGAGGTATGAATTTTTTATCACAAATTCGAAATTTGCTCACCAAATACAATGAAATAGTGCACTTTTCTGAATTAAAATAAAATTAATATTCTAGAACTTGATCATGCTTAAAATTATGAAACTGCAACAGCAATGACTACTACTCTTTCAAGCTAGGTGTGTTTTTTTCTAAAAAATTGTGAAGGTACTTTTTTTATTTCATCTATAAATAGATAAATATTCTATAACACTAGGATAGGAAATAAAAATAAAAATATGTTACCTAAGTACAACTCCTATCATGAAAAATGAAATTTCTAAAAACATGGCAATCTGTACATCAACGACTGAGGCAATGGGTGCGAGGAGAGCACTTCTCGATTGCAGTATTTCAGAATCTCTGCTAATATTTCATTCTCAGTAAGAAAAGTGAAAGCATGCATTTCAGAAACATTTTTATAGAAGATTCTACAATGTTCTGCGGAAGAAATTCCAGAAAAATCACCTTTGTTTTTTCTCCAAGACATAAATTAGCAAAAAAGATGCTGAGACACTGCAACCAACCCAGAAGTGCCTCTCTTGTACCCAGCGGCTCAATTTTTTCCTTCACAACAAAGGAAAAAATGAATATCTACTTTCAATCACTCTCCTTCTTCAAATTATTCATACAGATTCAGCTGTATAACATTGCACAGCATAGTTGCCAGAAGTGCAGAAAAATCAGCACTTTTCTGCCACTTTAACCCATGTAATATATCCACAATTTTATTGTACAATCTGGCGACCTTGTTGCACAGTTTCATTACTCATTTTAATGAATTATATTAGACTTCACATCTAATTTAGAGTCAAGTTGACAAGTTACAATACTCACTGTCTGAAAAACATTACGATACTGGAACAGTCCTTCCTTGGCAATATGCGATTTCTTCAATTCTACACAAAGGTCCAAGTACTTGAACATAATAGGCTCCAGCACGCTCTCGCTGAAGCTGTACGTGAATTTCTTGTTTTTGAAGACTTCATAGAGAGTGACCAAGGCTTGGTCCTTCTTCCCGACCTCAATGAACTCTGTAAGTGAAGAAAACATGATTTAGCGACTCAGAAGAACGTAGAAAAGCAATCATGCATGATCATTATGGATCCCTAGAAAATTGACTTTTCATTCCTTCAATAACACCCAAAAGAACTTTTAAAGCAAGGAATTTTGGGCCAGCATGGTTTCTAGAACTCGCGCGTTGTATGTTGAGACAAACGTCAAAGTATTGTTTATGCCACCATTCACCAGTGGTGCCACCTGACTGCATGTATTAACTTGATGAGTGGTGCAAAATCAGATCTAATCGGAGATTGGCATTTGTCTCAACATACGATGCGCAAGCTCTAAAGGCTCAAGGAAAAAAGAATCTGTACATCAAACCGATAAATTCAGCATCAGTTAAATTCTACTAAAATTTTATATGATGATTTTTACAGCCTCCTTAGCATGTTGCACTTTAAAACGAGGGCCAACAGCAAGAAAATTAGGGCTAAAATGTGAAATTCATAGCATTAAGAGACAGGTTTTCCTGCCTGAGATTTTGCATTGCTGTTGAGTCGAATTTAAGATGTGATTTTGCGCCACTTGGGCCTTAACATCGCTCGGAAAAATTTTGGTTCTTTTGCGCAACGCAAAACAGCAATGTAGGAATGTAAAGGTGCGGGTGTCTGATGTTCTTTTACTGGGAAGGAAAAGAGAGCTTTCTTTGATCCCCGATTTCTTGTTGCGCCACTCGTCGTAGATAACAACGCTTCCGGCCTCAATTGCTCAGCTAACAACACCTTGACAAGTGATTGGATACCTCAGGGGACGATGATTAGATGCAGTCCACTGAAGATGGAACTGTATCTGCTAAATTTCATGGCAAGATATCTTATTAGCATTAGATGGTTAGAAAACTTCTTCAATTAAGAGGCACCCAGTCGCAAGACCGGAATCGAACAATTGATAAGAATATCATTCAGAAAGAAAAGCATGACTGCATCAACAAGTTACAGCGATGCAATTCATACTACAAACAAGCAATTTAAAAGGTAGCCCCATGAAAGCTAGAACAGGGTTTGAGAACTATGTTACAAGTCCTTATCAGTAGTCAGATTAAGTGTATCAAGATCAATTCTTACAGACGTGCGAGATGTTCATGGGCGCATGGCTACATTTATATTTTACGATTCCATTCATTGGGGATGAATATTTAATTTCAAGGGCTAGGAAATTTCTGAAAGCTACAATCCAGCTGCTGATAACCTTACTTCAGCAGCAGATCTTCAGCAAAGTATTTTTAAATATGGAGCCCCATGAAACTTCTCGAAGCAAAACTAAAAGGAAGAGATAGCTATGAATAAGTTCCCGAGTTATCAGCGCAGCTGATTCGTCTTCATCCTGACTCTTTGAAGAAGAAAGAGGATATAAATATAAGAAATGGTGGTTCGGCCCAGATAAGAATTCTTGGGACGAGAGACCCATTCGATCGGTCACGAAGGTAGGATATGAAAGTAAGTAAATAAAAGGGAAGGCATATTTCAGATAGGAATAAAATGCGATCATTGATTGAACCCAATATCGCCTAATTTTGAGGGGGAAAACATGGAAAACATCAAAAAGAGATAAGAACAAGCCGAAGATCGGGTAAGGCGGTGTAAACAGGCTCTTACCATTTGCTCGTTTGAGTGCATTTTCCGGCCTTTGAAACATTCGCGCCATCGTGGAACCGAAAGATTAACAACTCTTTATCACGAAGGAATATTACAGCAACTCCGAGGGCAAAATTTCACGAGGAGATCGAGAATTTTAAGTAAAGGTTCTTGCTTGAGAGACTTCATGGATGCCAATAACCTAAAAGTAATTGCAGATGTCTGCCGAAATGACAGCGTGACAGAACGTGTGCTAGCGGTAGAAGTGTCGACATAGCATCTGCAAGTAAGTGTCGACAGAAATTGATTAAATTGAGCAAAAAGCTCTCAAAAATGACTCAATGGGGATCAGGATACTGAAACTAAAATTAAAAGACAAATGATAAGACAAATATTATTGAAAAATTTTGAAACGGATAAGCTATAAACTGATTAAACACTGGTTATTTTGAAACGTCGACAGTATGATGCTAAATTTATCATTCGAAACGCCTTGGAAATATGCAATTTTGTTAACTTCTGCGCATTGATGCATACTCAGCGATTTGTCGGCGTTATTATTTTTGAACAACGCTAATTGCTAATGATCATAAAATTATGATCCTGTAAATCAAATTAAAATCAATAATCATGCAGGTATTATGTCTTAAATGTCAATATACACCCCCTGGTAGAGTGAAGGCTTTTTAAAATAACTAAAAGCTGATTTTCTACGTAAGTCTTTCTCCGTCTTCTTGCTACTGAAACTTTAGGCGCGAAACTTTCCTTTTTGTTCTATACAGTTTTGAATCACATACCGAGATATACAGTAGTTATTATTTTTTTTATTTTTGGACGAAAGTTTAATAATCATGTGCGGCCTCTTAAAGATGGATGATTGCGTGATTCATTTCCGTGTATTTCGAAGTGCGGCCCTCGCAAAAGTTCAAGTGCTTTGTATAGGCACAGAGTACAGTGAGAGAGGAAGGGAGGAGGGATTTAAACTTGCACCTAAGACCCTGGAGGGATGGTNGGGGGGGGGGGGGGGGGGGTGTAGGCATTCCTTTTTATCGACCCAGTTTATTGAAACATCTAGAATTTATTTTTTATTTCAGAGCTTCAAAAAATAGTTACTTAATTTGATATACTGTTCCAGTTTCAAGTTTCAGCATCGTGAAAGGGCTTTAATAACTGGTTTTCGGTCAATTTCGACGTTCCGAAAAGAGAAGCGGATAAGGCGGATAACAACCGCAACTAGATAATACCAATAAGAAGCGCAAAAATTGAGACAAAACTCGAATGTTATGTGTTATGTGGAATCGATTCAAGTTCACAAGTTGATCTTGGTCCAAATACTTAATTCATCCCCGCCCCCCTCCCGTCTCAATGGTGTAGCTGGGCCATGGCTGGGCGCGACGTGAAAATGAGTGAAAATTGGTTTTTTCAAATGTTTTATGGGGCATGATGAAGATAGTATCCGATATATGGCTATATTTAGGACAATAATTAACCGATTAAGTCTTACATTTATTCCACTTTTTGTCAATTAGTTTTTATCTTTTTTTTTCCCGCCTTGAGGCCTGGTCCCCGCCCCGCGCCATTCCGCGCCTGACTGGATAGGTGACCAGTTTTGTTAGGTTAGTTTTTCTTTCGCTCTCCTTGAACTTGCCGAGCGCATCCTTTTACGTGGTGACGGACTCTGAAAAATCGTGGATTTCCCCTAATTTTTAGATTTTTCGTGACTGCATTATTATAATTTAGTATGTAGGGACCATCGACTCCCCCAAATTGACTTCACTTTTCACGTGCGTTCCGTTTTTTGGTTGTAAAACCAAGTTGGAAGAGATCGTGCATTTCGTGTGCACAATTCTTTTATTATCTGTTCTTCCTTTGCATTGAGTTTTATTTTAAAGCTTATTGTCGCTTATTGTGATCATAACTCTCTTTATTCTAGTATGCACAGTTTTACGTAGCCATCGCTCGTTTTTCTGTTTTATTTTTTCTCTGAAAGAACTCTCATTTTCTCAAGGAAATGAATAAGCTTAGAAGGCTAGATCCTGAAGTCAGATTGGCACTTATTGCCATTCAAAAAGATCTCCTAGTGAATGTTAGCATCCATCAGGTATGTGATTTTTATTCTAATTTCTCTAATTTTCACATTTTACCTAACACTCCTCAACCTCACAACATTTTTAGCCTTTTCTACCGATTTAGAGCTTCATGCTTACCATCTGCCCCTCATGGACCTGCCTCCCATGCTGAGCTCATCCACTCCCCCCTCTACCCTCCTCCTCCCCCATGAATGGATTTTTCCTCTTAATTTATCCCTTTTTCTCACCTTTAATTTCAATTTTTTACTATTTAGGTTTACTCTACTGGTAAAAATCTTGTTGCTGCACTATCTAAATAGTTTCTAACCCATCCTTTTATGGGAAAATAAGATCAATCCTATGTGATGGGCTCAGGGGTATCCTCTCATCATCCTACCTACGATAGCACAACTTTACCTTTGACCATTCATCTTTCACATTCCGAATTTTCTACAAATAGCCATTTATGAAATGTCTGCTGAGAACTGAGTTTTTCAGAAAACCAGGTTTTACCCTTATTCAAGTTATTTTTCTCTGTGCAGTGTAAATGAGACAAATGAATCAGTCTTACATTGAAGGGGTTGCGGCTGGGAACTCATCCAACTGTTGCTTATAAAGAAGCAAGTCGGAACAAGGGTCCTTTTGGCATAATTTTGATGATGGGTATTCATTTAGTTGTCTCCTGAGGGTACATGAAATTTCTGCCTGGTGGTTCAGCGAGGGCCTACAGGAAGGTCTAGCTCCGCAATCGTTATTCCCTGCTCGCCTCCTGGCACGGCAATTAATTTTATGCTCCAACTGAAGTTTTGATGAGAAAGGTTTCATTCACTGCCACCAAATTTGGTAATCCCCCTATTCAGTAATTGCCATGTATAGGCGAAAACTCATTGTGTAGTCAACGAAATTCAATATGTTTTGAACGCCAAATGTGCATGTACGGAGGCTGCCTGAAAAATCACCCAGATCAAGGCATCTTAACCGCGGTAACTAAGGTGTATATGGATTGTGTGGCTAAATCCCTGCAAAATTATATATGTGGATGCCTCTCCTGACCCAGTAGATACTGTATTGAGTCTCCATCTGTAAGTACCTTAAAAAAACATGTGGAGAGGGCAGTCGATTGGTTTGATAAAGGAATCCCAGAAAATTCAATGAAGAATCTTTGCTTTTCCACCAACCCTGCATTGAAGAAAATGTGTAGCTGATTTTTTTAAAAGGAAATTTTACAAAGAAATGGGATAGCAAGAACAGCACCGATAGCTAATGTACCTAACTATCATATTGTTTTAACCTGAGGTTTATGAAGGAGAGTATTTTTTCTTTCTTTTTTTTTACACTTCAAGTATCAAGAGAGATAATCCTGCGCTTTACATCCCTAGAGCTCCACCCCCTGCGTCCCTAATCAAGGTAGCCCCAGGTAACCAATGTTCGAGACCATCAAACTCAGGTCACCTGGCTGGAAATCGAACCCAGAACCTCCCGATCATAGAGCAAGTGCTACAACCTCTACACCACAGGAGGCTGACTTTAGTATTACTAGTTACACTAAGGAATTGTCTCCAGTCATACTGAGAAGAGAATCCTCTGTGTAGTGAGGATACTTTTCAATGTGACCCTTGTTTAGTTGCCCAGTCTCTGACGAATTCCAGTATTAAATCAATTGATTTTAAGTCAGTTACGTATACTTTTTACCAGTGTATTAATTTATGTTTGTTATTTGTTTCAGCACTTAGTCGCAGAGCTGCAAAAATGCTCCAATGAAGTTTATGTAAGTCTCTCAAAATATACAACAATATAGTCACTTTAACTTATGACTACTTTATATTTTGGGTGTACTTTCAAGATATTGGTAGAAATTACCATTTTTTAGCATTTCAACTTTATCATTTGTGCACCTTTTGTATCTAAGTACAATTAGTATGTTAGTGTAGATTTTTTCAAATGCCAACTGTGCCTCCTGCTCCATTTCCCCTAATTGTGCAGAGAGCTGAAACACTATAAAACGAAAATGGTCATCTAATAGAATGAGGACATGAAGTTTGAGACTTCATTTATAGGAGACCAAAATGGATCCATTTTGCAACAACTTCTTCATCTAGACTTTATCTATTTATCAGTCCAATGCCAATGGAAGAGTGGTTCTATCTGGAGACAATTCATTTTAAAGGAAAAAAAGAAAAAAACAATAATAATTGTGTCTAATTCATTTTGATAATGAATTTTTTTTTTTTTTTCTTCCAGAGGAAAGTGTTTATTCAGGGCATACAAAGCGCTGAGAATAAAATAAAGGAGCTTGATCATAAACAGGTAAGGTAGTCTTTTTATTCAAGCAGTCATTGTGCTCCCTCATTTTGTTTGAACAGGGTGTCTAGCATTAGGATTTTCCCGATTTGATCAGGATTTGAGGAAAAATCGGTCGTAAAATCAGGATTTAAGAAAAGTCGGCCGTCCAATCAGATTTCTTATCGAGCTATTTTTGTGATATTAATTTTTCTCCGCCAAAAATCAGGATTTGGAAAAATCACGAAAGTAGGATTTAGCAGTCAAAAATCAGGATTTCCCAAAATGAAAAAACTAGACACCCTGTTGAAAGAGGAGTAATTAGATTTATCCTCAGTATTTTATAAATTTTCAGCAAATTTAAAACTCATAAATAGTACAGAATAGTAAGTTGGAAGTGAAAAAAAGTAGTTAATTAAAAATCATTTATTGAAGATGTACGGGTTGGAATGGGGTCAACAGCGACCCACCCGAAAAGAGAAGAAATCCTATTTGCATTTGTTTCTATGTTGAAGAAATGAAAAAGGCGCCATCTCTTGTTTCAAGTAAACATGTTACACACATTTTTTACTCGTATCTCTTTTACTTCCAGAAAAAATTTCTTGCGGATGTCAGGCGCAGCAATGTAGATGTTACAACCACTAAAGAAGAGAGACCGATTTCAATTAAGAAAGAAAGACCGATTTCAATTAAGGAAGAGAAACCGATTTCAATTAAAGAAGAGAAATCAATTTCAATTAAGGAAGAGAAACCAATTTCAATTAAGGAAGAGAAACCAATTTCAATTACTGAAGATGAACCACCTCCTAAGAAAGAGGAGAAACCAGCCACGCCTCAGAAATTGATCGAGTATCAAACTAAGAGACCAAGTGACGAAGATCTAAGTTCTGTACCTCTCAAAAAGAAAAGTAAGTTCTTGTTTTGTTTTCCTATAAAGTCTCTACAGATTTTCTTCCAGAAAAAACAGGAAAAAAGGTAGTGAAGAAGAGTCGCAAAAATTCGGAAACGTACTTATTTCTCTTATGAATTGATTCTCCCAAAAATTATCATCGCATATATTTAATTGAAGGTGAAACTGCAAAAATGCGTATCTCGGTTGCAGTTTTTTGAAATCTCTGCTACTGTTATATAGTTTAAAAGAATACCAAACCAATATCATGGCTCAAAATATTCACAGAATATTCTCCACATAGAGAAGAAAAATCACCAAATTTATCAAGAAATAATGTGCAGTGGTTTATGATGTAGAAAATAAAATATGACAGCAAGTCTGCAAGGCCGCAAGCTGTGATATGCATTTCTGCAGTTTTACCATCGAAATGTAACAAAAGAATTTGAAAGTTGTGGATGCATTAGCTGCTCAAGCAAGGATTCAAATTTGCGAACTATAGCTATTGCGGTAACTGCATGCTATTGCACCACTTATGAGCAGTGTAGAGTAGGGTACGACAGCAACAAAGTACTCCACCAAAATTAGTCACAACATGTATCTTAGTTTGAATTTAGTGCAACAAAATCTAACTTCTTCCTGCTGTTTGCAGGAATTTTCAGAATCTTATCAGCAAACACACAAAAATATATGTCTGAAAAAATTATCCACAGAATCTCAGGCCAATTTTCATCTTGCTATTTGTTCATACCCACTTGAGAAGCATCTCTTAAAAATAACAAGCAAAAGAGTTAAGGATCTGAACTTTTTGATACAGTCAAAAAATTCAGTAGCACTCTTAGTTTTAAAACAGTATCAGTCCCAGTAGGTACTTTTGGGTCACCTTGTTTCATTTGCATTATACATGATGCGAAACAGATGAAAAATTTTGAAGTTGTCATTTTCTAGCTTTGTCACTCATATCCTTGAAATTTCAATTTTTCTCTTTTTGCAGAGATAGATAAAAGGGCTCGTTTATTTGCAATCTCGGATCAAACAAAAGAGAAGCCTTCAGAAGTGAAGAGTAATTGTTTTTCTCCAGAAGAAGAAGAAAGACTGAGGTAATTTTTTTTTCTCCAGCATTTCATTAAGGTTATATTTAAATAATAAGGTGATTCGTCTTGGGTTATTAGTGAGATCGAATCAGCATGCAATGTATCGCATCCATTAAGTGAAAAGTATCGGCAGACTTTGACTTTTTAACCAAAAAATCACAGTACCCTACATTAAGCCTGAAAAGTCGCAAAGTCCAGAGAAGTGAAGGCAAGATTCTTCTCAGAAGAAAACTTTGCACCCAATACATAGGTTGATTACTGTATTACAGATGTGGATTTTAGTTTTTAGTATGTAAAATCGGATAAAAAAATCCCCCCCCCCCTAAAAAAAAAAAAAAAAAAAAAAAAAAAAGTTAAAGTTTTACCTTTTATTGGTTTGCTGTACCAGTTTGCTCTCATTGTCTTTTTTCCAAAATTTTGTGGAAAATTGAGAAATTTTCGACTTCAATACTTAGCTCTTGTCACATTTGGACTCATCATTTGACTTTACCTCTATGTTTCTATGCTTTCAATACTTCTCTATCCTTAAACACCTTCCAACCAACTACCCTCCAAACAAAAGGTGTTGAGTTTACTGATGTGTTCACTGCTCATTTCTTTTTACCTCAGTTTTAACTTTTGTTTCACACGGTTGTAGGGCGTATGGATGCTTCTACGTCTTTTCCAAACAGGAGAAATTAACTAGACCCTTGACAGAACAAGATTACTTCCTCATGAATTTTGGTGAGTGTCAATTTTCTGATTCCTCTTATCTTACAAAGTTCAAACTTATTGAGAACCACTATTTTCATATCTTGCGGTGCAGTCAGGTGCTGCATCAACGGATAGTGTAGTCAGTTTGAAAAAAGTCAATGCCTTTTCATCCTTTCAGTTCTTATGAATTTCAACCTTGCAGTCTTTAACTTCTTCTTGCTGGAGGTATTCAGGTTTTCTAGAGGGAATTTTTGCTTCAAACAAGTAAGAAAGAAGATTAGTTTTTAATTTTAAATTTTAGCAACTTCTTCAAGCAGCAAGCTAAAAAATGGAGAATTTGCAAGACTGAAAATGTTTAACTAGGGAGAATCAATATTTATAAATAAAAAAAAATAAAAAAAAAAAAAAAAACCAACCATTGAAAAAAGGGGTGGTTTTTAAAATTGTAAATCATTGCCCTTTACAAGAATTTCATCATGAAGGTTTCTGAAAATAGAAATGTATGGTTTTTGAAGGAGTTTTTGTAGGCTTATGGTCCTCAACCAATCACAGCACCTCTCTAAACCACTATTCTACTCTGTAACCGCAGGTTTAGTCTCACGTGATCATATCCAGTATGCTCCATATGATGTCTCTCTCAACGTCCGTCGCACTAGACGACAGCTCCACAGCAAACCGAAATACAAATCTTCTGAGTGGGAAACGGTAAGTGTCACCAATAATTCTCAAAATTTGATTTCCTTTTTTGTGTGCAGCGGTTTTTTTAGTGTATTTTCTGATGGCAAATAACTATTGCGATCCCTGCTGATCCCAGACCTCAGCCGGAGACCTTTAAAAGAATAGCGATCCAAGACTGTAAATTACAAATGTGATAGCCGTTTAGATTCCTCTCTCTTGATATTTTTGTATTTATGCATGTGTGCATGTATCTACAGATTATTTTTTTTTGTCTCGCTCTTTCTCTCTCCTGAGTTTGGAGCACTGAGATTATTATGGTATCTTAAGTTAGTTTTTTTATTTTCTAGACTTTGCCTTCCTCAAAAAAATTGAAGTTGCTGAAAGGAAAAACAAAAGGAGACAATCTCAATAACTCGTTCGAGTCACCTCCTGCCTCACCAAAACAAAAAGGTAATAAAAGGATCCCTGCTATCTTAAACTTGCAATCTCTGAACTGAATCGATTATAGAATGCTTGAAATTTATTCCAATCCCTCCTTCATCATTCTGTGCCTAGCAGGCAATAACTGGCTCGTATAAAATTGCGTAAATGAGTTTTATCAATCAAAATGAGTATATTAACTAAAGGCACGTGTCGATGATAAAACTGCAGTAATGTGTATCTCAGTTTGCGGTGTTGTAGACTTCCTATCATACTTTATTTTATACATTGACAACTATTTAACGTCATTTCTTGAAAACGTTGGTGATTTTTCTTCTCTATTCGGAGAATATTCAATGAAAATTTCAGACCATGATGTTTGTTTGGTTTCCTTATAAAAATTAAAATAATCACAAAGATTTTGAAACACCGTAACCGAGGTATGGATTTTTGCAGTTTCACTGTCAATATACCCTTAGAATCCTTAGATGCATTGTCTTCTCCTTGTAGCTACCAAATAAATGTAATTTAGATATTAATGAAATCTCTATCAATGTCATGAAATTTTTGTGGCGTTGAATTGGCCTGTTGCAAACTTTTGCTAGAGCGAAAATAAGAGTTGTTTCTTATAGATAATGCCTCAAAAATCACGATGAGCGCATCGGCAAAGTCTGAAATGCACTCATAACTTCACAATCTGCGTAAGAAATTTGCGTTTTTTTAAGCTTCCCGCTTCAAAAACGATACTACGGCATAGGTGAACATTTTGTTAGAGGAGTCGCTCCATCGTCGGCGATATTCATCATGGCCGACGCTTGCACGCAGTTCCGCGCGTAATTCAAGGAGAGTTCAAGGTCAATCAATTCGGGCGTGGAAAATATGAACGTTAACACACCGATTGTTATCTGGTCTAATCCAGTTCAGGTGTTATCTCGTCCCATCAAACGTGTTTTGGCGGATTGGCGTCGGCTATGATGATTATTGCCGACAATGGAACGACTCCTCTTACAAAATGTTCACCTGTGCCGTAGTATCGTTTTTGAAGCGGGAAGCTCAAAAAACCGCAAATTTCTTACGCAGTTTGTGAAGTTATGAGTGCATTTCAGAGTTTGCCGATGCGCTCATCGTGATTTTTGAGGCATTATCTATAAGAAACAACTCTTAGTTTTGCTCTAGCAAAAGTTTGCAACAGGCCCATTGGACCTGCACATGCGTTTTGAGGCAGACACATTTAGTTATCTTTCTTTATTTAAATTGAATTTTTTAAATTTCAATTCTGAGCAAATTGAAAAAAAAATTTAAGCGAAATCAAAGTTAGATCAATTTAATTAGAATCCTCATGGGATGCGGGGAACATGAGGTGGTTTGGACGAAGAATTTCGACGGACCAAATTCCTGGAAACATCTATCTTCCAATTGGAGGCAGGTTTATTTTATAGAATTGTTTCATTACTGATGAGATGGCTGCTACAGCAGAAGTAGATTTTAGAATTAACAATAAAAAAATTAATTTATTAACACATTATATTAGGAGTTAAAATGAAAAAAAGTTTATTGTTAAGAAGTATTATTGTAAACCAAAATTACATATCTTTTCTATATAAGCTATTTATCTTCTGTAGGTGTAATAGGCGATTCATCGTCTTTGAAAGGCAGAATAATGATGAATAAAGAACCCAATGCGGAAGCTGCACTGGCAATACGGAAGGATAAGGAAGCCTTCTCAAACCTTTACGACGAAAAGGTGACTCTTCCAAAACAGCTTCATAATCAGGTTGTTATGGTGAAAGAGAAAATACGCGACTTCTCCCGGACGGACAATCATCGAGGCAGCCTTGTGGAAACAGATACAATACTACTGCAAAATGAGCTTCTACAAAACCAATTACGTAAGAATAGTTCAACTGAGTAGCATGTATTCCTTGAAGAAAATCTTTTTTATATGAAATAAAAATTAGTTATTAAGGGGAGCATAAATCTTCATAAAATACTTAACACTCTAGTGAGTGAAGGATTGGGCATTTTTTTTTACGCATCAAAGGATTTTACCTGCTTCACAAAAGCATTACAAGGGGTGTCGTAAAATCTGAAAGGCTTTGCATGGAATATCAAGAAATTCGGTACTGACTAAATTTGAAGATTTTTGTATATGATGCCCTTTATGATCTCTTGAGTGACATTAGCTTTTTAAATGAAACTTTCTTTAGGGTCATTCCATTTAGAACCTACCAGCCATGTAACCGCCCGACTCGGATTTTGATGATAAATTTGTATCTTGATCAGACCACCAAATAATGAACTTCTGCAAAATATTAGGTCTCAAATCGAAAAACTCACTGAGATATGAATTTTGGAAGTTTTAAGAATTTTCAAGAAAGAGACGTTTCGAACTTCCGAGAAAGAGAGGGTCATTTTCCCCAAAAAAATTCACCCCGGGCCCATTTTTCGTCGGATTGAAATGAAAATTTGACACAATGTCCATGAAAGTATGTAAATTTGAGAATAAAATGCATAAAATGTTCGACTTCACTCATTGATGTGCTGCAGTTGATAGTTCGTTGTGATTTTGTCTGATTTTAGCGACAAAACCTTCCCCTCTACAAATGCTCATAACTTTTGAGCTGCAAGTTATTTTTTGCTCCAATTTTTTTTAAAATGCTCCTTAGATTATTAGAAAGACGCCTAAAGAACAATTCTGATGGCGTTTTGGGCTTTAGTATCTTTTTTTTTCACTTTTGTCCGAAAAAGGCCTAAAAAACTGGAAATAACACCAAAATTGTTCCGATAATCGACCATTACCCTGAAAAGTCAACTCAAAAATCGCTCAATTTTTGCCTGAATGGTCCTTACTGTGTGTGCAATATGTTTGAAAAATAAAATCAATGGTATTTTGGGTTTATGTATCTTTAACTTCGAGTTTTTTCCGAAAAAAGGCCAGCAAAACTGAAAAACACTGAAATTACACCAATTATCGGCTCTAACGTTGGAGTAGCAACTCAAAAATTGCTCACATTTATACTGAATGGTTCTCACTGCATGTGAAATGCGTCTGGGGAATAAAAGTGATGGTATGCTGGGTTTCCATAACCCTTTTCCCAACATTTTTACTCAAGAGAGGCTCGCTCAACTGAAAAAAGCGCTAGGAAAATCTCATTAACCGACCATTACATTGAAAAAACAATTGATTGGGGGCCCAGATTTTTCACCAAAGGACTCTTGTTGTATGGGAAGCACACTAACTTGAGGAGTGAATATAGTGTATTCTTGGTTGTAGTAGTTTTCCCCTTCACTCCAATCTTTACGATCGGCTTTAAAGTAAGGAAAAAAAACTGTAGGTATCTCTTAACCGATAGGCATCTGTTATGGAATATGAGTATGTCACGGGTGATAGACTCAAATTCGGGTTGAAAGTTTGTGAGACCATTCGGCACCAGTTGATTTTTAATAAAAGGTAGAATCAACAAACTACTAGAATGGATTGAGAATTATAGACACTGAATTTTTGAAGATGAATTTTAGAGTTGTACTGAGTCAAAAGAGATAGCACAGAATCACAAGAGTTAAACAGTAAAGAAAATAGTCATTCAGAAAATGTGCAAGAAGGCGAGAGTGGGCACAAGCGTACTTGTACGGGTCTAGATGGTAAAGAACCTGGGGTCTAAGAGATGAGAAAAGACAGACAGACCTAGGTTTTAGGGCAGCGCATGCTTATATAGACTTGCTGAGGTCACGGGTGGTGAGACAACAAGCCTACACAAGATTGGCTGGCTATAATCTATGTAGTTATCAGCTGCAAGTTTAGTAATTAAATTTATGGGTGATTCTTGGTGATGGCTGGGAGATAGGGGTGAAGAAGACAAAAGTGGACGGAATCCAGCCATCACTTATGAGTGTTCTAAAATTAATGAGAAATATTCGAAAATGTAAGGCAAAAAGATGAGAAGGTGTTGACAGCATCCCTATTCACATTAAATGTGATTTACTGACTCCTGGATGGCATCACAATGAGGTTAATAACTTTCAAATGTATTCTGAAATAAAAATTAATGGAAAAGATAAAAAGTTCTAATAGGAATTATCAGAACATTAAATTGTTAAAAATTGAGGGAGGTTATTCATGCTGACTAGAGGTGAAGTATTGTAATTATAGTTTTGAAAAATTGAGTTACCTATTTATTTCCTCAACATCTCAAGCAAGGGTTTCACTCTTAAAGGGTGGGAAAAAAAATATGTACAAAAATCATGTATTTGGATATTTTGCGTTAAAAAAATAGAATGTTATCAATGAAGTACCTAACTGTAAGGTTTGCCCTTGATTCACTCAATTCAGAACTTAGTTGCTTTTTCAACTCAAAGCATTAAATTTACTTCAAAAAACTTTTGAATTTTCAGGTCTATAAATTCGACTGTTGCTGATATAGATCACGATCTTGATTGCCCTGAATAATTACTCTAACCCAGAGTAAGTTAAAGTTATGCTAGAAATCTCAACAAATTCGTTGTTGCGTGTGCGCATGATAGGCATTGGTTCTTTGGGCTTGTTCTATCCAAATCAGAGGAAGAAAACGACTTTGAGATTTCATTTATGTATCCATCCGCGTCCGTGAATTAAAAAGTTTTTTGGAGTAAATTTAATGCTTCGAGTTGAAAAAGCAACTAAGTTCTGAATTGAGTAAATCAAGGGCAAACCTTACGGTTACTTAATTGATAACATTCTATTTTTTTATCGCAAAATATCTAAATACATGATTTTTGTACATATTTTTTCCCTCCCTTTAAGAGTGAATCCCTTGCTATATTCACTCCTCAAGTTAGTGTGCTTCCCATACAACAAGAGTCCTTTGGTGAAAAATCTGGGCCCCCAATCAATTGTTTTTTCAATGTAATGGTCGGTTAATGAGATTTTCCTAGCGCTTTTTTCAGTTGAGCGAGCCTCTCTTGAGTAAAAATGTTGGGAAAAGGGTTATGGAAACCCAGCATACCATCACTTTTATTCCCCAGACGCATTTCACATGCAGTGAGAACCATTCAGTATAAATGTGAGCAATTTTTGAGTTGCTACTCCAACGTTAGAGCCGATAATTGGTGTAATTTCAGTGTTTTTCAGTTTTGCTGGCCTTTTTTCGGAAAAAACTCGAAGTTAAAGATACATAAACCCAAAATACCATTGATTTTATTTTTCAAACATATTGCACACACAGTAAGGACCATTCAGGCAAAAATTGAGCGATTTTTGAGTTGACTTTTCAGGGTAATGGTCGATTATCGGAACAATTTTGGTGTTATTTCCAGTTTTTTAGGCCTTTTTCGGACAAAAGTGAAAAAAAAAGATACTAAAGCCCAAAACGCCATCAGAATTGTTCTTTAGGCGTCTTTCTAATAATCTAAGGAGCATTTTAAAAAAAATTGGAGCAAAAAATAACTTGCAGCTCAAAAGTTATGAGCATTTGTAGAGGGGAAGGTTTTGTCGCTAAAATCAGACAAAATCACAACGAACTATCAACTGCAGCACATCAATGAGTGAAGTCGAACATTTTATGCATTTTATTCTCAAATTTACATACTTTCATGGACATTGTGTCAAATTTTCATTTCAATCCGACGAAAAATGGGCCCGGGGTGAATTTTTTTGGGGAAAATGACCCTCTCTTTCTCGGAAGTTCGAAACGTCTCTTTCTTGAAAATTCTTAAAACTTCCAAAATTCATATCTCAGTGAGTTTTTCGATTTGAGACCTAATATTTTGCAGAAGTTCATTATTTGGTGGTCTGATCAAGATACAAATTTATCATCAAAATCCGAGTCGGGCGGTTGCATGGCTGGTAGGTTCTATATGGAATGACCCTTTATGCTAATCTTGAGAAAAATGGGTTTGAAAATTGCTTTTTCCGGCAGTTTTACACACATTACCAAGTGGCCGAGAAGCAAGCTCCTCTTTCCTGAGGTAAGACAGCAACTTAACTCAATTCAAAACAACAAGCTCCAAATTTTCAACCAGTGACGATGTTTTGTATGAATAACACTCGCTGAAATTAGTGAAAAATTACTTTTCAGATCCACTTTCTCGATATTGGCACTCAGAAAGATTTCAAAAGCACATCTTACGCAGGAGAGCCTAAGAAATATCGTATCTCAAAATCTCGAAATTTAGCTGGCATTGAATTTCGTGGTATTCGGTGCATGGTCCTCTAGTGTTGCGTATTTTATGAGCTTTCTTAACCTGATACGTAGGTTGATTGACTTGCATACGTATCCTTACTTGTTCTGATGTCAATTTTTATCATAAAACTCCGCACAATGATGACATGTAATTTGTACCGTAATTCTCGTAAATACTCAGCTCAAGATTAATGTTTATGTAAGCTGAATGCTAACAATGTTCTACTTTTTTGATCTTTTGTAGGTAACAAACTCAACTTTTCCCGATCAATCTCTAGTATGGACACAGCTCAGTCTCATTCATTGAGTCACAGTAGAATCAGTAGCCTCGTCAATATTACGGCTTCAAAACCAGCCTCTCATGAACAATTAGATAGTCTTCAATCACATACCTTCAGAATAGAGAGTGCTCCAGCCTCTTCCATCTCTGCGTTACCTATTAAGGAGCAGTCCTCTGCCAAATTCCGATATTTACCTTTTCAAAAAATCGGAATGAGTCCTGTGATAGAAGAAGGAAATGACGTTGAACAAATATCATCGCAAATCAGCACAAGCACTACTGTGGAGTCTGGATTTTCAAGTAAACCTTTAAGCCATCTTAGCGAAAGAAATGAAATGCTCCAAACTAAGCCTGATATTGAAACCAACACACCTGAAGATGCCGGAACACGGCAGGAGCAGAAAATATATCCGAAGGATGACCCAGCGTCCAAAACTATAGGTTCAAACTCGCTGAAATTCCTGCCTACTGATACAGACTCCTCTCAGCGCTGTTCTGTAGAACCGTCCAACCTCATTCCTGTCAGCAAGGGAATTCCACTACAGAATATTGGTATTTCGATACGATCAGATTTATCGGAAACAGACATTCTGTTGAATTCCTGCTCAAACATAGATTTTGCCTCTTTATCCAGTCGAAGAGAAATTATCCATGATGATCCTTCGGATAAAAGTGAACTGCTTGAACCGGAACGACTCGTCTCGAATCACATGATGAGAGAGCAAGTCAACATTGTTTAAATCGTAAGTACATAATATATTGATCTATTACAAGGTTCAAAGCTATCACTTGTTCGTAATGTGGCAACTGCAAAATGTGTTTGCTGCGCAAAGAATACTTTAAATCAAAGTGGTGCACTCTCGCCACTTTTTAATGAGTCCATGCACCCAATTTAAGACGTAGGAGTTGCTCACTTTTCAGTTGAAACTGCACAAATAAGTCAAATGAAGGGGATCTAAAGATACTTTTGTGTTTTCTAGATAAAATGCATTCAAAGTTAGATGAGGAAAATGAACCTATTGACGGAAAGCAGCCTACAACTCAAATATTGAGGCGAGAAAATTTAAGCGTCCCATATTTTCATGAAGTATACCTTCAATACGAATTTCACCTAAAATGTCTAATATTTCGATTTTTTTAAATCACATACCACTCAACTTTTTTTCAATATCCATCAAATGTGTCACCTCTATTGGTTCACAAATTTTGAGCTGTATGACTTGCCTTTTTTATTATTAAAGCTTTCTATCAATAGAAAGTATTAACTAGGTAACCACTTTTTTGAAAAAGTATCCAATTAATCCCTGCACCTTTTTAATTCAATATTTCAAGGCCTCTTATTCATTCAGAACTTATAAATCTTGTTTACTTTTTTTTCTTTCTTTCTTTCATCGATATCAAGCCTTAAAAAAACTTGATACTTACTTATCCTTACTTCTTTCCAAAATAATTAACTCATTCGAGTACCAATGATATTGATGATTTTTTTTCGTATGATTTCAGGTTTGACATATTTTAAGGCTCTTAATCAACTTTCTCGTCCTTGTTGCTAGTTAGCAACTTTTTATCGTTTCCATCAATCAAGTGTGTCTACTGCTAGCAATCATGTGCGTCTCAGTCAACCTCAACGTTCAAGTTTATTTTAGAGACCCTACTTAAATTCATTGGACTTTTTCCAATGAGTATAGGAAGTTGAAAGATGCCTCAGGATGCTTGACCGGCCAAAACAGAGTTTTTAATCGAGCTTTTCAATCTAAAAGGCGAACGTTAAATGAAATTTTCTTCCACCCTGGAGGAGAACAAAGATGACAATATGTCTCATCAAGTGCACCTTCAGGAATTTTTTGTGACTTTTACCTGCAATTGAAATCAGTTAAGATTATATCTTTTCTAGAACAGTTTGTATCTAAATCATGGAAAAAAAGAATCAAAACATTTGAAGGTTCTCTATGCGCTTGCTCACCCAAGGTCATCACTGGTGAAACTGTATTTTCGTTTCCGTGTTCAAGTGTGTTTGTTCAGTGTTACAAAATTCATCTTCATTTTAATTTTACTAAACAAGAATGAACCAATACTGATGACAGAAATTTCTCAAGATATGACGCAGAGTATTTTTCCGTTTTTAAAGTAAAGTATAACAGGAAGTTTTCAGCGTCGCAAATCAAGATATGCATTTCTGTAGCTTCACCGTTGATATTTTTTGTGGCAACCCAAGCTTACATTTCTTTTCCTCCAAAATACGGACATATTTGTAGCTCATTTACAGGCTTTAAATGGAACACTCGAATCAGAAACTATGCTTTGGTTAGTACATCTCACCAGAGCGTACCTCCTTGTTATTTACCTAGCTATTTTAATGTTTTTATCAATGTAATTCTAAAACAACTTAAAGCAACGTATTGGCGAAGCCAATGAATCAAATGTTTTATCACCGTGATTTTCAGTATAGTAGAGTGAAAATAATTGCTAGAGATTTTGGAAAAAGTCATCCAAAAAGGTAATCACTTTCGTGGCCGATGCACTGTTTTCTTAGGCACCACTCTTGTCATGCTTGAAGTTTTATCGAATCAGTTTTAAATTGAAGGATGTTTAATTGACAACCTTGTTCATGTCTATTTGGTATCTTTCTTGTCGCGTTTCAATGATCCACACTTTATCAATTGCTCTGAGCAATAGTATCTGGCCATTTACAACAAATATTTTACTTTAAGTTATAAATTTATGTAACGTACGGCAACAAAAATTTACTGAAAATCATAAAAAAACTGCCCGAGCTTGTAGGATAGTAAAATTTTGTAGAAATTTGTACTTGGCGAAATTAGAAATTTCAAACTTCAAAGCTGTTTTCCACTATTTTTAAAATAGTAATGATTGTTGTCATTTTATTTTTGACAATTAAATTTTCCTGTAGAGGCAATCAGAATAATCAAATATTCTCACAATATTATATTTTGCAATAGAAGTGTCTCAATTTTTGTCCCAGAGGAAATATTGATTTCAAAGTTCCATTACTAATGGATTGCGCCAAGATTGTAATGCTAGCAGAAACAAATTTTAAATTTTACTAGTATGATCATTGTGCGTCCCTCTGGCACCAGAAATGTTCAAAATTTGCTGTTTTTGTAGAAACTCGAACTGTCTTGTGTTTCAGTATCATTTCCATGGCCAAATGTCTTCTTACCAATCAGTGCAGAAGATTGTTTCTCTAGATCTCTCTTTAGGTGGATTCACACAAGTGAGTCAAGGGTTTAGTCAGTTTCAAAAGTTTAAAGTATTTTTCGTCTTATCATCATCATTATTATTTCAACTTCAACCTGAAAGTACCAAATTTCAATAAAGAAATGCTCGTTGCAAATTAGAAAGTATGACTAGAATAAATATTGCAGATCATAGCAGCTTAAACCTAGCAACATTCAGTCAAATGGTCCTTCAAAGTTATTTTAAATCGTTTCATGATCAAATTATGTGCAACAGTGCAATCACAAATGTTATAAGTTTGAGGGGTTTTTCCAAAAAAATGTCTTGAAATTTTGAAACTATTGACAGACGTATGCGTTAATATCATAAAAAAAGCACTAAGCTTGAGTATGAAAATCCACATTAAAGTTGAACCTATGATCTGTATTCCAGGATTTTTTCTACTCAGTACTTTTCAATTGAAAGGAAGTCTTGATTCATATGTGATAGAGTGAGGGGAAAAGGAGCTAATGGTAATAGCTCACAATTTTCACCACAGAAAGTTGACTCAAGTTGACTAAAGTCTAGATTATTTGTTATCTGTTTTCCATCTTTAATACCCTCTAGAACCTTTAGTTAATACTTAAAGTCATAAGTTGATCACAAAGAATGTAATAAACTTCTCAAACGAACAGTGTTTAAATTTTGCGACAGCCCAAGCCCTAGTTCGGTCAAACTGATTGGCGTCAGCTGTTTTTTTCAACTTGAAGTTAAAGTTATGAATTATGATAGTTCTCTTCAGTAAAATTTACTCTAAAGATTTTTTTTAAGTTCATTGTGAAGTTCGGAAGATTTAAAGGTAGTTCTTTCCTCAATATTTATTTGTTCAATACTAAAACTGTCATATATCAGGCAAATAGTCTCAAAATTTTTACCTCTTTACTCTGAATTTGTGATTCCTTGTTCTGAACTTATAAATACTGGCAAAGTGTAAAGTTAAGATTTTGGGAGTTATAGTAAATGATGCTAAATTGACTCCTCTTACGGTAGTGTAGTTATCGTCCTTTATTGAAGTTTCACATAAAGTCCTCCTATTCCATCAGATATGTAAAAAAACAAGACCATGGAAAAATTTCTCTGATTATCAAGATGGAGATACAAGGCATAAGAGGTAGAATATCATCGTACCTCTGTTAAAAATGAGAAGACTTTTTTTCCCCCATTTCCCCTGAAGATAGATCAGCAAATTAACTTGAATTCCTTTTAATTATTACCATTTTGATCTCTCCGAAATCAATCCTGTTTTCTTAGCTGAAATTTTAATTAGAATAAGTAACTCTAAAAATCAATTCTTGATTAATTTACTTCAAAATCATTGTTTTTAATCTAATTCGTCTACAATCATTATTTAAAAATTGTCTTGAATAACAAAATCACAGACTCAAGGTTTTCATCAATAACCCTCTCTCTCTCTCTCATCGTAGTAAAATACAGTTTTGCATGTTATTTCCTCAGAGAAGACTCAGTTTGTGTTAGTCTTAAAAATTGCATCTGTGATTTAATAAAAAATGTTGTATTTGTTAAGTTAAAATGTATCGGAAAATGTTCTGATCATTAACATTGCACGGTATTATACAAAGTAATTTACTTGCATAAACCGCATTCACTAAAAATCTGCATATGGATGCAGTGATTCATAGGATACTTATGTTTTAATTTTACAATTTTTCTCGCTCCTTTTTTTAATCATTCGTATTTATTTTCATGAAATCTTCAGATGAAGTCTAGTTTTATTTTTTGAATAAGTTGTTGAAGCATGTTATCGTAATAAAAGTATTTTTCATTGACTATTTTTTTTTTATTTGGCTGCCTTACAAACCTTTTAAATGCTAATTCTACCTTTTCAAGAAGGTCACATGCCCATCGCTCATTTCACTTTGGTTATGGTCGAAACTTGACCGTCAAAATCTAGTCTGTGTCATTTTTTTGTTTTTTGTGCATTTGTTTTAAGGCTCAATGGGATTTTGAATTTTTTAAAATTACATTAATCTCCTCATCCAACAATATTTTATGAGAGTGTTTGTAAACATCACAGCCATTTCTTGAAGCCATAGGGCGGACAGGGCCATTATCTGATATCCAACCTTTTTCTATTCACATTCTAATGAAAATGTAGAATTTTAGACTATTAAAACTACCGATAATTTCTTTGATCCATCGGTGAAAATGTACATGGGGCCTCATCGAAGGAGCTTAATTTTTAATGTAAATAGAATCTACTAGGAAAAATCTTCCTTTTCTTTTTATTGCATTGACTTCCCATGCTTTAAAAATAAAGGTAACAAATGTGTTGGCGCAGGACTTTTTTTTGCTTTAGAAGCTTTATAGTGGGTGCTATTTCATAGTGGTTTAAACTTGTTTGATTTATGTACATGTCACACAAAAAGAATGAAATCATGGTGTGCAAACAATATGAGGAAATACTTGTTCTCAGTTTTTAAAAATAGAGAACTTGCTCGCATAAAATTGAGAAACGTCATCTCCTTGGGTGAATTTGTCAAAAAAGAGAAAAACATTTTTAAAAACAAAATTTTTATTACAAATCTTCATTTAAAAAAAGAATAAAAAGCGTCAGTTATGCAAACAAATCCGTTTGATGTACAGTACCAATAATGTGTCACAACATAAGTAATTACCGATTGGTAGGTATAAAATATTTAGAAATAACTAAGGGATAAAACTATCAAAAAACCAAGTCTTACGAACAACAAAAACTTACGATAAAAAAACAAGATCCACTTACGAGATACTAGTAAAAAACAACAGGCACGATTAGAATGCATTATGATGCATTTTTATTACGAGTAAAAGTAAAATGATCTTACCGTAAAACTATTTTTAACAAGAGCTGTAACAGGTATATTGCACATGACGGATACATACATGTCAACCATTATTTACACAAATGTCAGTTTTTAAAACTATGAGAGGAAAAAGTATCATAGTGAGAACACAAAATGAGAGGAGGGATATAGGGAAGGAGATAAATGGAAAAAAGAAAAGAAAAAGGTGGCACTTACAGAGTTTGAGATGAAAAAAATATCATTTTCTGTCAAAATTATGATAAAACAAAGAAACATTCCATTAGAATTACACAGACAAAAGAATAATACCTGTGAAAATGACTGAAAAAAAATTGACCATAAGCTATGTGCCACCTATTCAAAACGAAGCTATTGGAAGAGAACAGGAGAAGCAATTCGATGGCGAAACTGAAAAATGCATACCTCAGTTGCAGTGTTTCAAAATCTCTGCTCCTCCCTTTGAAAAGGAGACCAAACCAACATTATAGTTTAAAATTTTCACAGAATATTCTTCTTGCAGAGAATAAAAATCAGGGAAGTTTTCAAGAAACAATATCGAGAAGTCTTCCGTGTAGAGGATTAGGTAAGATAGGAAGTTTTACAATGCAGCAAACCAAGTTTCTGCAGTTTCACCATCAAATTGCAATTATTCGGTTCGCAGACTGAAAGGGTTGAGAAGAGAGGAGTAACTAAAATCTTAGACTAAGATCAAGTTATGAAGAAACCTCTATTTATCGATAAAGGAAAAAAGTTCAACCTTCAAGGAGCCTATCGATTCTTTTCCCTCTACAAAAGATACTTCTTACGGGTGATGACAGTAGGGAGTCCTAAGTAGTGAAGCCAAGTTTCAGGTTTCCATTTTGATACCTCTAATCAACTATCGAAGTGATACATAAAGGAGCTGAAACCTCAAGACAGCATAAAAATCTACTGATGGCAAGGATCCAGAGTTACGAAGATCTGACGAAAAAAGTTCTTCTTTCCTACGATAAGCCAGAATGGAATCAAAATGTGCAATTGTGCACTCACTCGCTGAAACCTAATGAGGATAGACTGACATTGTCATGCTACCAAAAGAGAAACAAATAACGAGGAATTGGAATGTGTACGAACCTTCCGCTTGCCCAACACTCTATTTAAAACAGCTAGAGTCTCTCTCCCCGATTTTTCCTCCGCAACCATAAGAATAGTAAGTTCACGGCAATAGGCCACAGTATTAAAAATGTGAGACTTGGAGTGGAGATTCTGAGTGGCCAATCTTTTGCACGAGGGCCTCTTCCCTGAAATCAAAAGAAGACACTTAATCAACTGCCTCATGGAAGGAAAGTGCATCTTTAAAAATAAGATGGGGTCCATTTCTTTTACAGAGCCCGTCTTGAGTGATGTACGATAGAATGAACTGTACTTGAAGCTTAGTTACAAAAATTTTGAAGACAAATTCTTAGCCTTGAATGTAATTTACAATTTAAGAGTTCAGTAAGGGATCGTTAATGACCTTAAATGGCAGCTTTGGCCATTCAGAAGCCTATAAGAGGTATAGATGAGTATATTTTTGTTTGCATTTGGCTTGTCTAGGGAGCCTCAATTTTTTCATTGCAAGGTAGATCTTTTTAAACATAAAGTTTCATTTAAATTTTCCACTTCTGCTGTTTGTCTCCTATCGTTTCTGGACAGCCTCCATACGTTTCTTTTTTCTAAATCCTTTTACTCTGTTGTTGAGCTGTTGCGAGGTCTCTCCTCGGACTGAATAGCTTTCCGCCAGCCTCCTATCTTTTACTTTCTTTTCTTTTCGGCCTTTTATCTACGGTTCTCTTGTCATAATTTTGTACTTCTTCAATATCTTGCTGATTTTCCTGTGCTGACTTGTACCACAGCCCCTCAAGGCTTTCACAGCAAATGAACAATTTATTTATTGATTAAAGGAATGAACAGCCATTAAAACAGGTCTACTTCAAGCTGCGAGAGCTCTGCTGTTTTCCCCCCTAAGAACAGAATAGGTCTAAATTGTTGCACTGGTGGATGTTTAAGTGTAGACTGTATGAGCGTAAGACTTTCACCAAAAAATGATGACATTTTACGTCTATTCTTTGTTTAGACTACTTTCTAAAAAGTAAATCTTGTAGAACAAAATAAAACTAATAAAAGAAAATTTTGATGAATTACTGCTACCTAACTAATGATATCTTCCCTGAAAAAAAGCATGGAAGAAAGATTAGAAATCATTAGAGACATGGTCAGGCCTAAATCAGGCCTGTTTTGACAGAAGAAGACGAATTTACTTACCCTTTGATTGGCCGACGACTCTAAATGCGTGACTTTAGTTTGTAAATTGTTCAGATCTCTTTGTAGACTTATTAGAGTATTTCGGATGATTTGATAATCAGAATCATTATCCGTGGAACGAACGTAGGGAACAGTTTGTGATGCATTCACAGAATTTCCAGAGAGCACTGTACCTACACAGAGTAACAGAGAGCATTTTTATTAGAGAAGATTTTTAGGGGGAAAAACTTTTCTCTGATTGCTCAAAATGTAAACATTTTAATTTAATCTTGTTAGAAGGGCCAAACAGTCAGCTTGCCTCAATCGATGAGGTTTATTTTACTGAAATAAATTAACCTTTGACGGAAAATTCAATAGGTAAATGTTTGAATCATGAGGATAATTTCTGCTCTTAAAAATTTGTATTAGTAAAATCTAGATCAGCTTTCCTGTTGCCTTATTGTTTCTTTACTCATTAAGAATGCATGCTTAGTATTGGGAATCTCAAGAAATTTTTTCGTAATCCTAAAGGAAACTCGCCAAAAATTTTGAAAAATAATTAACGACCATTCTTGGGTAAATGAGTAAATGTTGCAAGCAATCTTGCAAAGCAATTACGCTGCTCTGGTTTTGATCCCTTCAAATATTTTCTGCCGTAAAAGTGGATTTGAAGAGAGAAACCACAAAGGAGTACCACAGAGGGAAAAAATAAAATCATTTTTCCTACTTTTTGTCCTTTAATGTCCTGTTCTACTTAATAGGGATAATTAACTTAATTTAAATTGATAGCTACTACTATCAGTAAAGAGTGGATGATAGTTGCTATGATTGATAGGAAAAATATATAAATTATTTTGATGTAAATTGAGGTAATTATGATTACAACTAGCATGATTTTTTTAAAAGAGATCTTGATGAGACTCATTTCAGAAGATCCTTTTCCAAGTTAGAGCCAAAGTTACGAGCCAAATTACCTTTTCTGGAATTAAGAGTGGCACAATTCAATGACTCAGTGCCAGACTGCTGTGGTTGGTAACGCTGCGATACATCATTTTTATTTGTGTTGTTGTCAATGTTGTTTGCTCGTTTAGATTCCGGTCTTTTCCGTTTTGAACTTTCTTTTCCATAACTGTTCTCAATATTTATCTACAATTAAAAGAAAACATACATCACATTGTCGGATCACTTTTCAGGAATGATATTTTAATTACATATTATTTGTTTCATTGAAGACGGTTGCCGAAGAAGGTCCTTGATTGGGTTCCTCGTGGGAGAGGGCGCAGAGGATGCCCAATGAGAGGTTGGAGGGAGGAGATTGAAGCAGAAATGTTAAGGTGCTCAATGCCCCAAGGTTTATGGTTCAACAGAGAACAGTGGAGGTTAGGTGTCGTAGAGTGCGAGGGAGCGCTATAAAGCAACCTATACGTATGTATGGATTGTTTAACCATTAGACTCATGATCAGCAATCATTGGACGAAATTTTTCTATCAAGTAAATTCTAAGAAATATGTTAATTTTAGAATGGGTTTTGCCAGCTCGCGCACAGGCATCCTCAACCCCTGCTATGAAATCTATGCGCAAATGAGTCTAACAGAACGTAGGTAATATACGTTTTTTGAACTATTATTTGTGTGGGTCTCCGAAAATTTCATTGAGCTTCATATCGCTGATCTCTCACTGAGTATATTCAGCATGAAGCAATGTTGAGACATACTCAATTCCTCTTCAACATTTTATGAAATGAATTATGCGCTTGATGATGCACTTAATGATGCGATGAAAAAATCATTTCACTGTCTCATTGCAATATACTTACAAAAAATGCCGATCAAAAAGCCAATTTTCATGCACAGTTTCCAGAAAATCTTCCGAAGACATTAAAAATACAAAAACTGACCTGAAAATCGATGTTGAACTTGTCATCCACCAATTTAAAAGGACTTGATTCAGTTTATAAAACTTTCACATTGAATCAATAACAACAAGCAAAAATTACAGGTAAACATTGACAATGAAACTGCAAGAATGCATATATCCATTGCTGTGCTTAAAAACTTCCACTCCTATTTTATTTGATCAAAGGAGACCAAACCTACATCATGGCTTGAAATTTCCACAGAATGTTTTTCACACAGAGAAGAAAAATTAGCAACGTTTTCAAAAAATGACGTTGAGTAGTTTTCTATTAGAAATTAAAGGATAACAAGAAGTCTGTAACAGCGCAACCCGAGATATATGTATCTGCAGTATCACCGTCAATATGAGAAAAAATCACTTACTTCCACAGTATCCATGAATGTTTCATCTTCATCATCGGATTCCGGAGGCAGTGGAGAGACTGATTCACTACTGTAGGGTGACTTGTCCCTCGCATGGTTTACTTTTGGTCGCAACTCTTGCGATCTATCATTTCGTGTAGGTGATGCTTCTCTGGAGCCTGGGGAAGAGAAAAGAAATAATTAATTTAAAATAAGGGTGAAAATAAGTTTCTCTGACTAAAATTAGGCACATCTTCTTCATTACAAGGTAAATATCCAACTTTAAAGAGCCATCCATAAGTGTGATAGTCAGGCAAAATCATTTTTAGGGGGGAAAACTCAAAATGAAATAACTTTAGCACACACAGCTTGCAGAGATTAATTTTTTTTATTGCTTGGTGCAGAAAACACTCTATATTCTAAAACTAACCCTAAATGAGCATTACGAAGTTAGAGAACAAGAAATATGGAATTTGAGAAAAATTAGATAAAGTCTGCCAGCGCTGTTGCCACCTTTGGCGACAATTCATTTCAAACATTTATGATATCAGTATTGATTCAAAATAATGGCTCAATATTTGACCCAATGTTCTTCAAAGTATTAGAGAGCATTTAGCACAAACAGTAAGAAATCAATATTTTTGACCCATCATCGGTTTTTCTACTGCACTGAACATTACTTGAGTTTCCATCTTGAGACACATTTTGCATGACTTCATTAAAAATGTGTAAAATGATAGCCATTTCACGTTTGCACGTGCTCCACAGCTTGTCAGGGGGCTTTGCCTTCTGAATCCCCATCAATCAATCTACAAGCCACAATCCATTTCCTTACACTTCAAGAAAATTTGAGGGAGTTCTAGATAGATAGCTTTAAAGCAACTTATGAACACTCTAAACGTTTGACTAGATCTTGGAGTCAGGGTTGCCACAGATGGAATTTAGAAAATGAAATTCCCTGACATTTCCCTCATTTCTCCGTCACATTTTGGCAAAATCCCGCAACAATTAAAGATATGCCAGAGGCTTAAACAGACATGATTTGAAATCATATGCAGGCAAAATTTGTTGTTCAAATCGTCAAACCCATTCTCGAAAGGAAATAAAGGTGGCTTGACAATTTTTCTCTGACATTTTAAAATTCCCTGACATTCCCTGGTTTTCCCAGTATTCCCTGATTGTGGCAGACTTGTGGAATAAACAAGAATGGGCCAACTGCATGGGTTTCATTATTACATTTACAGAATAGTCTCCTGTATTTCACAAAACCTGATTGAAGGATCATGACAAAAGACTGTTACTTACCCAGAGGCGAACCAGCGAGAGGAGATCCTGGCTGAGAGCGCACTCTTTCTATCACAGGTCCAATAAGCAGTTCCAAATCCTGCGCGGGGACAGACTCATAAAAAGAGTCGAGACTCGAGACAAAATTGGCCACATTGTCAGTGTATGACATGGTTTCAACAATCTGCAAAAAAAAAAATTAGATTAGTGAGTTTCAGAGCTAAGTAGATGATGTTTCTGTTAAAGTGCTTCACTTCAAAAACATTCTGGGTACAGAAATCAACCATAGCACATTTTTCTTTGAAAAAAAAAGGAAAAACTGAAGTAGGACTTCTCAGCCCAACTAGTCATAGGGTTCCTTTAGTAAAAAAATCGAAATGTATGTGACCTGTCTGTGGAAAGGGACCTTATCTGCCAAAAGAATATTTTCCACAACTTTTGTCAAATTCACAGAGGACGAAAATGAGGACATTTTGAGGCAAGTTTGATCCTAAGAGATCAAACTGGATCAAACATTGCAGAAGATATATACTGAAGTTCTAAGACAAAAATTCTTAGGTGGTGGAAAAAAGTGTTTTAAGTTTTTCAAAAAGTGAGAGAAAAATTTCTTCCGGTAGATAGGATCTATTTCCACAAATTGCGTCGCATACATTTATGTACATGAGTTAATTTAACAGAGCACCTGGGCTCCCAGGGCAAATTGCATCTTGCAATTTCAAGTTGAATGCCACCTAACCACTATAATGTTGAGCATCCCCTAAGTTTCCTAGAAAATGTAAAAATTGAAGTTAAGAAACAGAATTTTTAACGAGAAAACAATAAATTTAGCTTTATTAAACTTTAAAAAAGCAAGAAATACGGCTGCGTTTTTGGGTTCTAATTTGGAAAGTTGGAAATAATTCAGAGCGAGCCAAAAATACCTTTTTTAATTCTTCCACGTAGTTTGTCATTGCCTCTTCTTTTGGCATATTCCCCAATTTGGTCCATGCATCCCATTTTGCTTTTTTCACCACTTCCCAAAATGCAGGTTTTGGAGCAGTATTTGGTCCTTCTGTTGCTTGTTTGAAGTATGCATAAAATCTGAGCATAAGATCATGAGATGGCTGATACGATCCTGAAATTTATTTAAAATTGATTAATATAACATTAAAACAGGAACTCAGAAAGGAAAAGAGAGAAAAACATTAACTCCACCGATAAAGAGGCTACCTCCAGACCTTGATACCAATGCTGAAGTATTCAACCAAAGATATCTGAGGTTAATACCCGTGATGATACTTACTCATAAAATTAATTTATCTGAAACTTTCAGAATTTCATACAAAAAAATTCCAGATGAGAGGAAATTACTTGCAATTTACTCTATACGCTATTAACTACAATGAAATGAAGCGGGAGGGGAGGGGGCAAGGGCCAGGAGAGAAGAGTGGTATAGACAGAAACTTGGCCCGTAAAATGTGCGGTGCTGGTACGTAGATCGTTTAAACTGTTTGTTCAACAGGACAGGCAGGGATGGAGAAAATGCTTGAGCGCATGCGCCAGAACTTGCATATGGCAAGAGAAAATGCATGAGCTTGAGAGGAAATTATTATACGGTAAGATTTCTTTTTTCCAGTGAAAACTGAGAAAAACAAGACAAGATAGAGACGATCCTTCAGATTTTTTCCATCGAGACATATTTTTAATGTTAATGAGGAGCAAAGAATTTTAAAGGCTACGATTTAGACAAATCTCAGCTCTGAAGGAATTTCTACATCTCTGAGAACAAATTGGCAGTGAAAGTACCAGACCTCGTATCTCCGTTTGCGACGCTGTAGACTTCCTGTAATACTTTATCTTTTAAATGAAAAACTACTCAACATGATTTCTTGAAAACTTCCCTGTTTTTTCTTTTCTATGCGAAGAAAGCTCTGTGAAAATTTCAAAACATTATACTGATTTGTTGACCTTCAAAAAATAAAATAGGAGCGGAGATTTCTAAAATACCGCAAACAAAATACATGGTCTGGCAGTTTCACCGTTGAAATGCCTTGTTCCATGTGGCAAAAAATATTAAAGGACAACATTTTGGAAAACCATAAGAAATGTGACAGAATCTGTTGGCAAAACTTAAAATAGTTGGTCAGGGAAAGGAGAAAAACAGATTAACAGGTTAGGGATTGGCTCGATCTAGTCTGCGAGCAGATGAGATTAGCCCTTGAGGGCTAGTTTAAAAAAAAATAAACAAGACAATGGACAGTTCACTTGCCAATGCTTGCTACATTGCATTATATGTAATCGGCTTAACGAATGCTTAAAACAAAAACATGTTTATTGAATTCAACTCTCTTTAATATTGCCTTATTTGTGAAGGATTTATTGGAAAAAAGATGTATCCACATAGTGAGAACAAAGCAATGAAAGAATGACCATTCAAACTATATTTTCTACCTCATTATGGTTAAAGGTGCTTTTCACCTTCCTGGAGACACTGAAATTTTTTCTTTAAAGAGGAATTGACCTTGAGTAAATACTAGTATACGTAGAAATAAGAATGAAAGAAATCATAACTTTTAGTAGGAATTTCCTATCAAACTTAGCCCAGAACATCAGATTTTCCTCCTGATCAATAGTTTTGCTCGTATGATCGGACTGAGTTTTACATTCTAAACCAATGGAAATCAAACCAAGTTTGATCTTGCGGATCCTTTCAAACTTACAATTTTCATGTTTCAGTTCTGGTATTTCTAGTGCGAAACAGGTCACCTCAATTAATTATCACACTTAATTGTTTCCAAAATCTCAGACCTTGTCAGTAAACCTATACACAAAGATTATCAGGAACCACGGAAATAGCCAAAGCGCAAAAAAACATTGCTCCGCTTGTGACGTTACAGACTTTTTGTCATTCTGTATTTTTCCTTTGGCAAAAAAGTCGAAGTAACAATTTCTTGAAAACTTCCTTGACTCCACTTCTCTGTTGACAGAATACTCTATGTAAATTTCAAGCTATAAATTTGGCTTATTTTTCTTCCAAAAAATGAAATCAGAGCAGAAATTTTGAAACAGCGCAATGGATATACATGATTTCGTACTTTGGCCATCGGCGGGTAATAATTATAAAACTGGAACACAATTAAGTTGACACAGGTTTAGTTGATGAAGAAAAATTCAAAATATCAGCATAGCCATTAGCATCTTGGAATGACTGGAATATTAGTATTTAATAAACAGGTTATTCCATTCATCATTAAACATTTCCTGTAATACCATTACTGAACGGGCATAACAGGGAGATAAGTAAGCAATCAATCTGTCATATCAGAGAGCCCCGAGAAAAATTGAGGCATCAAAAACTCATTGTAAATGCGCTGGGAATGCATGGCATTCCAGGAAATAAGCAATCAAATTGATTGGGTTATTAAAGTTGCAACTTCACAAGCTTGTGTTCATGGCCAAGCTCGAATTCATGAGTTTTGAGGATGTAAAATTAGTTTCAAGGTTCAATGGGCGTAGGTAGGAGTGGGTGTGAGAGTGACATGAGATATTTACTTATAAAAAACTGCTAACTAATTCATAAGAAAGTGACATTGAGGAATAAGGATCAGCATGAATATTGAATACTGATTATGAATTCACCAGCTCAAAGAGAGGCATAATCAGAGGAAAGGAGTGATTTTAGCGAAGGTTCCGGATTAGAACTTCGATTCTGACGAATTCCGTAAAAATCTAGTTTATCACAAGCTGCGAAAAGGCAACGAACCATGTTTAGGTAAACTTCGAATGACATTCACTGCTGCATGGAACTTTGCTTCAGTGGTCATGATGAGTATTGAAGTATTCGCCGCAAGTCACAAGTTTCACCACTGATAAATTACTGCACACGAGGATCGATCGGAGAACGAAATGAAGAAATCGCGGAAATTACAACGGGAAACACAGCATAATTAATTGTTTTAGAGACTAATAACACTAGAAATCTGCAGCTAATTGAGCCATGATTAGAACGAACTGGAATAAACAAATGTCAGCTGATTCAGCTGATCACCGATAATAATTTGACGACAGGGGGAGGGGGGCATTCGACCTTGATCGCAATTCCAATTTTGGCCACCGCGGTAAATCATAATATTTTGAAATTATGTAATTAAAATCTCCGAAAAAAGTGCCGTAAAAACCGACTACAATACTACACTTTATCATTTCACCACTATTTTCCGTAATAAATTCATTAGAAACTTCGTTCCGAGGAATGGTGATAAGGAAGTGATTGGAAAGACCGCGCTGAATCTATCAGACCTCTATCAGACCAGCCCATGAACAATGTGCCAGGGCATGCCTCCCACCAGGCAAGTCTCTGGACCCGAACGACTAGTACATTCAACCACCGCTGCAGCGCTGCGCATCCGCATGCGCCGAGCGCAACTTTAAAGTCCGATATATAAAAAACCAAACCACGGATCTCGATGAAACTTATGGAATACACTAATCATTACCTNAGCGCGGTATTGGAAAGCAAGTGGCTGATACTCCAATGTTGCACAATCCACTCAATCACTGGAATGTGGCGCTGCTAATCGCAAATTTTTGGAGTGTTTCTGCTTTTGTAAAAATAGATCGCGATGCCCAATCTGGACTATCTGGAGCAATTTCATCATCACTAATTTTTAATCAAAACGTTATTTACAGACGGAATATTTTATCAGTGTGTGAATTAGTGTCTTCTAACAAGAGTAATGTTTGCTTTTTATCCCAATCTTCAACTTCTAACTTTCCCTTTATGAATTTTGAAATTTTATCAAGTCGAAAAGCGTAGAACTTAACCTGTCTGAAATGGATGGATACTTCAACCGAGAAGTCACAGGAACCTACAGAGACATGAAAGATTTGGATGGTCAAGCTCCTAAAACTAATTTGGTCACAGATGACTACGATATCTCAAACAACGTCCTGGGACTTGGAATAAATGGGAAGGTTGTACAGTGTCGGAACAAAAAATCTGGAATCACCTACGCGTTGAAGGTCAGTATTTATCTACCAAGCATATCGGTCAACCATTGATTTTCCGTAGTACAAAGCTTCTTATTTGGTCTATGACCATGTTACTAGGAGAGGAGACTACAACATATCCCTGAATCTTCTTACGTTTACCTAAACTAATGATAATCACTACGGCGCTAAACTTGCTACCTCGCCTTGATACATCTTATTCTTGAATAATACCGGTATCAACTTCATCTCATGGCTTCGCAAAGCTCCTTTATTTCTTTTTAAAAGTTGTGTGCATTTTAGATTTACGACGTAATCAATATTACTAATGTTAGAGCGGAGGCATTGTAGTTGAGACGTAAGTCAAGTTTGTGTTGTTTAGGTCACCACCCATCAGTGGTGCCATCTGACTGCATGTATTAACATGTGAGATCCGGAGGTAATCAGGGATTGACATTTGTCTCAGTATACTACACTGAGTATACGATGCCTCAGTATACGATGCCTCCTCTCTATGATGTGCGATGCACGTACAACATCATGCACACGAAAGTGCATCATTTCAAATACTCGTAGACAGGCAGTCTCTATTTTACTAGTTGATCAACAGGCCATTCTACTGGGCCATCTACAGGCAGTTCCACTGGTCAATCGTCAGGAGAGTGGACTGCTTTATTTACAGATGATTTGGCCGGTCTATTGACCAACGATTCGATGCTCATCTCACTCTTCCAAATACCCCTCTCAGCAGTTGTAAAAATATCTTAATTTTCCGTTCGAGATCTCTGATATTTATGTCCCTTTTTCTCGTGACAGTTCTATACATCAGGTTCTCAACCACTCTCCTTTCTTGACGAGAAAACCTTGTTCTCAGTTCTTATCAAGGTATAGGAAATACCGTAAGTTGAACTTGTATTTTGTCAGCATGTTAAGTCTCGTTTGACACCATGAGCTAAGAGGGCAACCTCCTTTGCCATCGCAAGACCTATCCTCATAGGGTAAAATGTTCTAATCCCCCATTTGCTCGCCTTTCAGATTTTGCGAGATAGTGTAAAAGCACGCAGGGAAGTCGAAATTCATTGGAAAGTTAGTAGTTGTCCACAGATTGTTAGTATCATTGATGTCTATGAGAATACATATGGTGGCAACAGCTGCCTTCTAGTAATTATGGAATGGTAAGTAAAAATTTATTCTGTGTTGAAACGCACTGCAATCAAGGAGCAGTACATGTACAAATTACTGAAGGTCATTTGGTTATCGTGGACCATATCTCGTCACCTTCCAGGCAAAGTATCACAAGCACCATGCAACGTTTAAAAATTTCCGCCGCCATTTTATTTCTTTACTGAGAAATTGTTCGTTGAATCTGTTTGGAAATTTCACTAAATTTTATCGGCAGCACAAAGAAAATTCAGTGAAATTTTCGGACAGCTTCGTTGAACAATTTCTCCGTAAAAAAATAAAACGGCGGCGGAAATTTTTAAACGTCGCATGGCGCTTGTGATACTTTGCCTGGAAGATGGCGATCTAGTGAGATGTCCATGTCCGGCCTGAAATGTGTAGTCTTTTCTTAATTGATCAAAACAGAAAAGAATGTAGTTAAATTGTACAATGGAACATCAGGAAAAGACAAAATAGCAAGAATGTTATACTTAATGCTGTTTAGGGCATTGGAGCAGGCCTTTACTAATCTGAGTAATGAGAGGAAATTGCTGACTATTTTCTCTCTGGAAGTCATTATTCATTGACTGCCAAAAACAGTTGCTCCGCTGTCATCTCAGTAGTTGCAGAGACGAATGTCTTTAGTTAAGTTTTCAGATTTTGACAAATTTTGAGAATTTTCAGTCAGAATTGTACAGATGTACAATTAAAAGAGACAGTTTAAATGGACATTTTTTGTCAGTCAGGGAATTGCAATGTCCAATTTCAGCAGTGACCTGCTGGCCCAGGATCTCTACCCTCTGGTAGGAAAACATTTTGTCTTATCTTTGTAAAATCTCTCTTCGAAGCAGTCCTAACAAAAAATGTGCATAAATATTTTATTATTAGTAAATATCTTCCTAAGTTATTGTGTCGCAAATCTTGCAAGATTTATTTTGAAAAATACCTACTGATGAAAATTCAAAATTTCATGGCTCAATAACTTACCAGTGCTATACTTACTTTTAACCATGAATATTTTCTATCAACATTGCAAGCTGTATCAAATTCTGTGGTGATGAAGGAAGATTTTACAAATTGAGGTGGTCACTCACTTATATTAAGGAGCTCTATCTTAGGAATGCGGCGTCTGAGTACAGATATTTGAACCACTTTGGTTGACACACACTCCAATAAAAAAAAAATATTGCTTTGCTCTAAAAGTAAGAATAAAAAAATAGCCTAATTATTAGTGGTAAACTTATTTAATTTAATTCTTTCCAACAGCACAAGTGTCAAAGTGATACCAAGAAGCATGCTTCTTACTATGCATTTTTTTTTATCCAGGAATTTTTTTATTTCATTTAGAATTTTTTTCAGATGAGGTCGGAACATATTAATCCTCCCAAGTGAAGTTACGCTAATTAATTTTGCCCCTTACAAGCCGTTTTAAATTATTTACATATTTCTCTGTTTTTAGCATGGAAGGAGGAGAACTATTTCAAAGGATTCAAGACAGAGTTGATGGAGCCTTCACTGAAAGAGGTAAGGAATAGGCTTGGAATTTTTACCTATCCATTGAATTTCCTTCTACAGATTATGGAGACCCTTGAAATTTTAGGAGTCTTTAAATCAAGCACCGGAATAAATTCCTCTCTGTCATTCTTCCTTTGACCAGGACTTTAAGTCCTATTTGTCCGCTATAGACTCGTAACAAAAGTAAACAAAATAGACTTTGGGTGGGTGTTTGAAAACTAAACGAAAAATTTGAAAGTTTAAAACATGTTAAGTATTTAGTCATTCTCTAGAGATAAGAGCTACCATGATGCCTGTCTTGTAGGCGATCATCAACCAAAAGACATCAAATTTGTCAGACAAATTCAAAAGAAGATTCTTCCATGAAAACATATTTTGTTCATAGGTATACTGAGACAGCGCAAGCAAGATACGTTTCTTCATACGGGAGATGATAAAACATGGGCTGAATGAAATTAAAAACATTAATTATTTACAAATGTGGTCTTTCTTACTATTACCTTCATCATTTCTACGACATTCTCAAACTTGCATGCATACAAGTTGATTTCAATTAAATATATCCACGGGAATGTGTATTAGGTTTTTGGAAGCAGATATTACGAGGGAAACAAACAATATCTTACAATGACCTCAAAAAAACTATCATTAATTATCTTTTACTTAATCAATGAATTAATGAAGCCAGTAAGAGAACGATGTGTTCTATGTTGCTCTGTAACTTCTCTCAATATCATTTCCATGCTAGTCATCAGAAACTGTCTTTTTACTAATTTATTTCTCTCAATTTTCAGAAGCTGCGCAAGTTATGCGAGAAATTTGTATGGCTGTGAAGTATCTTCATGATAAGAATATTGCACATCGTGATTTAAAACCAGAAAATTTATTATATTCCAAGAAAGGTAAAGCTTCCGCCATGTTACTGTGCTCCATTATCGGTTGTCCACTCCACTTTTTGCTGATAAATTAGTCCTAGAATTTCTTAAAGAATTAATTACTAACGCCCCTTGCAATCATAGGTTTTTTTACCAGCTATCAAAAAGTTGGAGCACCATTTTGTTAGGTTTTTGGTGGTCTAGAAAACCTGGAATGTCAGGAAATTCTTGGGAAAGATCAAAGAATTCCATGATTAAAGCATCGTTTTAGCAACTTCAGCCAGTGCCATTTGAGAGAGCACAAACAATTTCAGAGTACATTTTTCCGTTATTTTAATCTTTAGAAGTGGAGATTATATTCATTGTTTAGCAATAGTTAGCGAAATCAAAAGAAAAATCGAAGTGAAGGTTTATATTGAAGGTCAGTAATAGTCAATTTTTAGAGAGTATTTTCTGCAGGCATAGAAAATTATGAGAATTTTCTCAAAATTTGTACCATGAATATTCAGCTCTCGTTCTTTAACCTCACGAGGAAAAAATTTTTTTACAGAACTCAAGTAAAGTTGTTTGTTTAACTTCTTAAAAATGCCTTACACTTATTATCATAGCTTAATCATCAGTAATTTCTGATTGGTTGTTATTTGTTTTCTTTTACAGATGAAACAGGCGTCTTAAAACTAACAGATTTTGGATTTGCAAAAGAAATTACATCTGCTCGGGCTTCTTTACAAACACCTTGCTATACACCTTACTATGTTGGTAAGTAGATATTCATATTTGTTCAAAGTTAAATATTTCTAAATTGAAGCACCATTAATAGAGGACAAATTCCAAAGAACAAGTGAAGCTGAGTTAAATGGACGTATTTCTTTCAGACAGATTTATGTGCAGGTGAGAAATATGGGGTGTGCTCGTTAGCTCTCTGGCCGTAAGAGTGAATGAGAATAATAAAGCGCCAGTGACGTCAGCGGTAATGATGGAGCCGGGGTAGGGGGGGGATCGTCGTCGGGCGCTTTTACTCATGAGCCCTGTCCACAACGCTCTCGTGCCATGCCCGCGGCTCATGAACCCCGCATTCAATTGGCACATAGTTCTGTTTGCTGAATTTAAAATCCCGCTTTTCCAATTCTTCAAAAGGAATCACGCCCACTTTTACATTGTTTCTTAAGCAGCTTTCAAGAGCACACCCCATATTTCTCACCTGCACATAGTTCTGTTTGATAGAAATACGTCCAAATAATGAGTGGGTGAGTAGTGGTTTTCGCCATTTGTGGCTGTGAAGAGCAGCTGAAGCAGATGGAAGGAGCAGATGTGACATCATGGCAGACATTTCTACGACAGACAATGCTCCGAACTGTTTCTACTCTTCTTCGCTTTCCTTGCTACCATCAGTTTAGATAGCTTGATCGGTTTTGCAAATTTTCGCTCTGAATTTGTATCAATTGCAGTGAAATTTCAATAAGTTATTTTATTGATCAGGCGGACTTTGTCTCTGGCCCTGTCAATTTCCCCATTTGAACAATGTTATCAACTCGGGATAAGTTTGTATCTGTTGTAGGCAATTGGCAATTGCCAGCGGTTAGTATGCAGCTTATGTGTTGTTTGGACAAATTTCCAAAATGGGCACCGTCAAAACGCTCATTTTGTTAGTAAAGGCCTTCTAAAGAAGGTTCTCCGCTCTAAACCTCTCTACTTTTCGTGATACTCAATGCTTTATCATACAGTTAGTTTCAAGACCAATCCACACAGGTCAGTCATTCCCGAGGACGAGTTTTGGTACTCTACTGCGCAGTGACGTAGTATTGAGTGCCTGCAATGTATTTCTTATGGGAGCACCCATTGTGTCGTAGCATTGAGAGTTAGGGCCGGGCGGGGGAGTGGATTTCAAAAAAGCTGCGCAATGACTGACCTGTGTGGATTGGTCTTGGTTAGTTTAGTTGTCTATATGACCTAAACCCAACTGAGGTTACTGATTTCACCACACGCTCAGTGTGCGAGTGTGCCAGTAGTCATCATGCATGTATCAGAGGAAAAATATCTATTTTATTTAGGGAAAAATCATTAGTACTCTCCTCTTTTTTCTATTTTTCTAAATTTTATTCTTTCATATATACCCCTCGTGGTGTGCAAATCAACAATTGCCAATTGCCTGCAACATATCTTTTATTGTCACTTATTTTTCGGTCTGGTCATGAAGTTTTTTCCTGTTGAGTCTGACAAAAGTGCAGAGTCGCTGACAATGTTTAGTCAAAGATGGGACAGATGCTGGAGTGGAAAATCAAGGTGAGAGAGAAAGCAAAGAGGCATTCTGAAGGAAAGATTTGTTCCAATGATATCCATGCCACCTTATCTTCCCTTAGAACTCCAGAAATAATCAGTTATAATTTGCTTTCCCCTTAGTTTTCGAAATGACTTTTTTGTCATACCTCTAATCTGAAAATTTTCTCTCACACTCAATGTCTATAAACTGATACATTTGATCATTCAGTCTTAGTGATATATTCTTAAAAAGAAGGATGCAGGATTCGTATCAGTTTTTGGAAAGGATTTATTAACAGCAAGTTTTCATTATTTTCCCTCTTCCAGCTCCTGAAGTGCTCGGGCCACAGAAATATGATAAAAGCTGTGATATATGGTCTCTTGGAGTTATCATGTACATTTTGTAAGTATTCTCTTGTCTGACTCAAAGTTTTTGTCATTTTTTCCGTTGCACCCAAAGAACAGATGACTTGAATTGAATATTGATGTTGCATTTCCCTCAGAAAATACACTAAAATATTTTTTGCACTGTTAGTTTGATGTAAGAAGGAAACAGTCTAATTTAAATGAAGAGTTTAAACTTTCTTAATCATAACATTCAAGTATCTTGTGTAGCATCATAATAGCAGTATAATAAGCATCATTCAGTGTGCTACAGTATTTGTACACTCATTCTCTGGAGCTGCAATGCGCCACCAGACAAGTATGAAGTAAAGCTTTACGGCGTAAGGACGTTTCATCTCCTCTCTTCGCAATTTTACGAGAAAAACGAATCATAACATGGGAAGCCTGAAAATCAACTAATAAAATACAAAAATACAAAGGCAATAATACAAATGATATCAGTTGTATAATCTAACCTCCATTTGATCGGTGCTAAAATACTTGTTTATACCTTGGTCAGGAGTTGCTTTCCGCCTTTCTGATGTGTGATTCACTTCTATGTAAGAATTTGAAGCGAAAACCTAGGGCGCTTTATTCTATTTCAAACCTAGTCCAATGGCCCATTATATTCATCTATATTTTATTTTCGTGTGCAACTTGCTTTCATTGTCATTAATGTTTATTTTTACCCCTCCAAAAACAGATTGTGTGGATTCCCACCGTTTTACAGCAATCATGGTCAAGCGATCTCTCCCGGAATGAAACGGCGAATACGAACTGGACAGTTTGATTTCCCGGATCCAGAGTGGAGTAAAGTCTCTGATGATGCCAAAACTCTAATTCAGAGTATGTTGTGCGTGGAGCCAGCCCACCGCCTTGAGATTAATCAAGTCATGCGACATAAGTGGATCGCAGTATGTATTTATTTTTTAATTTCAGACATATATTTCGTAGAGTTTAGGAGGAAATGTTTCGTCATTAAAAAAGAAAATTTCAGCGCAATTTTACAGATGAGGATTCAAAACTATGAGAAGCTGCTGCGCTGCCCTGACCTGAAAAATTATCAGATCTACTGGAGCACTAAGTTTTGGTGTTTGATGTGGATGAAAATACGTTACTCCTTGAGAAATTCAAGAAACTTTATCTTCTCCATGCTTTTCGAAGGATGTTTGTGTTCCAAAAAGAGTTAACTCAGAAATTTAACTTTTGGGATTTTGGGGCTCAAAGATCTATACATATAACACATTGCCTCAACCCTATCCTGGAATTCATAAAAAATGCTCACATTAGAAAACCAGCTGATGAACCTTGAGAAATGCAATTTTTCTAGAATGAATGACTTTAATCTGTACAGAACTAATCTTCACAGTTTTTTTCACCTCCAATGGTACGTAAGTTTAACATTCATTCCAAATTTTCTATAGCAATAACAGGAAAAGAAGTACACAGTTCATAAATGAAACCAAACAAAATTTATCATCTTTGCATAGGCTTATGTTCAGCTTTTAATCTGATTTCTTTTATTTTTCCAGCAATATACAGAGGTCCCGCAGACACCCTTGTTCACAGGGCAGATGTTAAAAGAGGGAGAAGACATCTGGCCGGAGGTTCAAGAAGAAATGACGCGGTCATTAGCAACAATGCGCGTGGATTACGATCAAATTCAGATCAAATCTTTGACTGCATCAAATAACTCTTTGCTCAACAAACGACGGAAGAAATTAGGGGAAACAATCCCTGAAACCTCCACAGAAATGTAACTATTATGCTAGGTAATCCCTCAGCCTTTATTTATCAGTTTGCCTTGTTTTACGGGTCTTACAATCACTCTATGTAAAGCTGCTGTTTTGAGATGTTTGTGATCACATCGAGTTTTCACTTCATCATGATCAACTTTTAGCAAGCAAAGACAAAAGTAAGTCCAAAAAATTGACCATAAAGAGGAAGTGTAAATCATTGCTCGAAAAAATGAGCCGATTTTAATATCTGTATCACCGTGGAAAAGAACAAAATTAAACTATCCAGGAATGTTTTTCGTTCCATTCTCTTCATTAAGAAGTATAAAAGTCATTCGGTTTCTTACTCTTGAAAATTTGGATGTAATGGAGCCCGGAGACTCGGATCTATTTTTCCATCTCAAGAAAAAAAAAAAAAAATAATGTTTGGTTGTGCTGTACAAAAGACTCATTTAATTGGTGACAGATTTTTTAGGAATGATAAGGTGCTCTACAATTTTTCATTTTCAATCGTCATTCAAGCACTGTCTGGAAAGTTCCCAAATAAATTTCCCCACCTCAGGCATGAGAAATAGTTTCAATGAACTGAACCTTTTGCAACTTATTCTGAAGAGAGAGTTTTCTGTCAAATCTCAAAATCCAATTTTTCAACCCTCTTCAACAAAAATGGCTTAACTGAAAATTTTTCTGCTGTGGATTGAGGTATTAGTGAACAATCACATTTTACGAATTCTCCAGCAATTTTCAGGAAAAACTACTCGTCCTTCGTCATGTATTCATTGCTTGAAGAACATTGTATTACTGCATAGACATACATTAAAATATTAAACCGTACAATCCGTATGTGCAATGTAAAAACCAAGGCTTCATGACTAAACATACATGCAATAATGCTATCAGTATTCCTCTTCATCCAATATTGCCAAAGATTATTTCACGATAACAATATTTGTCAGTGCTTTGACTTAGGAACTTTTTAGACAATCCCATTTTGCCACAAAACATTTTAAATGTTCCTTTCCTCCTTTAAAATGTGAAAAAGCTTAGCAATCATAATTCTACAAACATTTTATAAAAATGTATGAGTAAGTAGAAAATAATCGGTCGGAACTTAGGAATTGTTGGAATCAAAATTAAGTGGCTCAACCTTTTCCTCGGGAAAAGTGAAAGCAACTTTTTAATGTTATAGGAACTTTCAGGTATTTTTCAACTATCACACTGTCTTCTCTTTCCTCTTTCTATGCTCAAATGTTCAGAGGGAGTTAGAATTCTTGTGTGGACTCTAAGTTTGAGCAGTAAACCTCTTTAAGCATTAATAAATAGTGACCACATAGTTAAGCACCTTACTTTTGAAGGGACTTTAGTTTTACATCAGTTAATACATTTTTCGTTACTTGCGGACGATTATTCTATTTGATCACCTACAGACAACATTTTAAATTGCTAACCGAAAAATTCAAATTATCTTAGAAATCTACCCTTTTATTCTATTTTTAATCTTACTCTTTGATCAGTAAGTACACTATCATTCTATAAGAATTCTTATCTCCTAGATATTTATTTTTTCAAATTTTCTAAAAATTGAGTTTTTTCTTTTTCTTTTTTTCTATAAACGCAAAGAAAGAGACATGATGGCCTTCTCACTCTGGGAATATGTCTTATTCTTTGATAGTTTTATTCAAAATGATATTCTTGTGCCAAACAATTTTGGTGTTCAACCAGATTGACTTAACTTTTTTTATGTGTGTAAGCTCTGAAATTTTATCAAATCCTCCATCTCCCTTTCTATCCTTTGATGACAGGGCAACAAATACAGTAGTCTGAATTTTATTGCAAAAACAGATTGCGTCTTACACCTTGCAGGTTTTACAGGAAAGTGTTGAAAACTCATCAAAACTGGACTTTTTATGAGTTTTTGCTCTACTTAGAGTAGGTTTCCATCCTTCAATAATTACTAAGCAACAAATTCAGAAGTCTCAATTTCATCCTGAAACCAAAAAGCCTCTTACACTCTGCAGACACTAAAAACTGGAAAGAGTCGCTGAAAATATATCACAGCTGATCTCTACCGGAGTTTTTTCTCTTTGATAGTTTGTTTGGAGTAACTCTTCCTCATTTTAAACCAGAACTGCAGATTGAAAAATTCCTGTACCCTTTTCATTATTAAGTCAATTTTTGGTCTTTGTATCCCTTCCTTTCGTAATTTAAAACTGATTCATGAGGTTGCTAAATTCTTTGAATGTGTACTTTATCAGTCAACTTTAACACTTTAATTTACTTGAATTTACTGATTAGCTCAATCTTTGTTTATTTTTAAATTCACTTTGTTCCTAAATCTTCCGCATCCTACAACACTGGTAGGACCAGTCAAAAATGTTCTCAATTTATCTTGTCAATTATCAATAGAGTTTCCCAAAAATACATAGCTTTCATTTTATAACTGTCATCCACGAATTATTATGTATCTCTTATTCTTAAAATTCATCACACATGTGTTTATTATTCCTATTTCAGTTTTATTTTAGCCATTAAATTTATCTAATCATATCGGAAAGTTGTATTATCCTCTCAACGGCTGAAGTAAAAAAAAAATGTGTGCATTTGATAGCAACAAATCTGCACTCATACACTATTTTTTTATTATAATGCCCACCAACGGCTTTTCTTGATTTTTTCTGTGAGTTCTATTCACCATTCAAAAACATTCCCAGAAATTTTCACGGAGAAATTTTGGTTGATTTTCTTGAAAAAAAACGAAGAAAAATAGAAATTATGAAATGTTACAATGGAGATAAGCATTTTTTTTACTTCAGCCATCTATATCTTGTGTTTGCACAATTATTTTGCATTCTTTAGCAGGACTGATGAAAGCATTCATTCTGGATTTTTTTTTTTTTAGTCGTGTTTGTATTTTAGTCATATATTCGTAAGACATTACGAAAGTTTCTCCTTTTTGTTTTGTCCAACTTGTACTTTTGCACCCATAATGCACTTATTGGTCTCTCTGACCCTCCTTTTTACAAAAAATATGATTGTACGGTAAACCATCAGTGGCGTTTGTCTCTAAAAGGAATTCAATCAAAATTAATTGTTCTTAAAGATTGTTAGTAGAATAAGTTGAAAATCTATTTTTTATGTGTAATCATTTCAATGTCTGGAATGAAGAAATTATTTTTAGCTCTACTAAAATCTGCAACTTTATATTTTTAAAAGTCAGGTCAATAATCTCTTGGATCCATGAAACATTTTGTCGTGTTCCTCAGCTGTCTCGTAATTTGATTACCACTGATATTGATCGTACCCAACAATTTAAAACTTTTATTTCTTGAATTTAAATTATCTGTTAAATTATAAAACTCCACCGAGAAGTTGGAAGTTTTAATGACTGAATCATTACTAATTCAGCCTCAATACATTGTCTTCGTTGCCTAATTTACAATTTTACTTGTCTGACCAATTCACCATGCACCTTGTCATTGACCATTGCATTTCCTGGCCAGCAGGCTTTTTAAAGTTTTCAAAGAATTCAATTTAAGGAAGAAAACATCTCCGTCACGCTTTATTCATTAATAACCGCTCTAAGCACTCAATCAGATGAATTCCTTGTTGTCAGTATTTAAATATGTTTAAATTCTGACTCTGACTTTTGTTTAATCAGATGTTTTAGTTTGAGTCATTAAAATACTCTACTGTAAGTTGTATAGTTTTGATCATCGTTGAATAGACTTTTTTAGTTTCGCTCCTCTAAAAACACTCTGGTAGCAACGAGAGATTTTACATATTTTTTTTTTATTTGGTTTTAAGTATTTTAACTTCTTATCAGAGGTTTGCAAATGTACCGCAGCGAATTGCTGCAACCAATTTCATGCAAATATTTAGTGAGATAAAAATGTGTCTTTAAGGGTATGTGCTTTTGTGGTCTTTCTGCCATAATCAGTTGATATTTCAGGTGAAATAATGTTCTTTAAAGTTTTACTCTTTAGACGCAAATTCTTAGTAGTACCCATGGAATAGATTATTTTTAGTGCAATAATGTTTCTAGGTAGCAAATGTATTGCGCATGTATTAGTTGTTATTGGAACATTTTTATATTTTTACAAATTTTTTATGATCAATAGAATCAGTCTTGATGTTAGCTGTTTCAATTAAACAAATTTATGTACCTGGGTTGGGTTTGTATCTTGCAGGCTATATTTAACAACTCGGTAAATTGGGTTGTGTTCAGCAGAAGAGAACTAGGGCAATTACAGTGTTTCCATAATTATTCAACTTCCCCTTTGCCTTTAAAAATACTAAATGTAAAAACAGTAATTTTACATAATGGTTTTCCTCAAAAATTGACACTTTTTAGTAGAAAAACAAAAACGATTTGCTACTCTAGACTTTTTTTCCCCCTTAAAAATGAAGATGTACAATTTTTACACCAATGGAATTTCGTTAGTTCCCTTCAGCTGAATGCTCCCAAATCATTATTATGTAATCAGTATTGGCAGTTAAGTCTAGGGCTGCTCAACTGTTCAACGCTAGCTTGGTCGCCGAGTTTCTCCCTTCAAGAACATTTTTAAATGGTTGTCGCAAAAATTTAAGTTCACCAATAGATATTGTATTAAATCAATCAAAAGTTTGAGAAAACAGTATTATAAGTGGTCAGTATTAATTCCCTCCACTTTTTTCACCTCTTGCTTCTGTCATAATAATTTTTTAAACCAGCCATGATTCTCAGGTTTTCAAAAAAAATTATAATTCTATCAGCAGTTAGATATCCACGCAACTGTTAAAAATGTTGGCTGAACCTTCAAAGAAGGCTTCTCAAGAAAAGAATCATTTATTTTGAGCGACAAGTTGTAAAATTTGTATAAAGACGAATTTGAACGTCAATTCAGATTTTGATAATGCTCTTTGCATCACTATTCTGACAAATGATAGTGTCAGTGCTCAAGTTATTTATTTTGAGATATGGTTTCAAAATTTGTAAACAGAACAAAAGTCAATACTTAAATTACATAGTCTGCACCTATGTTTTGTGATTTTTAAATGTGACACTATGACATCATGTCTATTTTTTATCAATAAAGGTCCTCTCTTTTATGTATTATTCTTGATCTTATTATTATCTCCAACCTTTCTTAAATTGTATTTTAAGGGGGTTCAATGGCTGAAGATTTCGACTTGAAACAAGTTCATATTATATATTCTATTAATTTTTTTGCATGTATTTTTGCTGCTATCTACAGTTCTCAATATTTTAATAGGTAAATTTCCTCAGCAAACTTTGCTGAATAAAAGCAGAATTTTTTGTAGAGCAATGAAATACTGTATTTGATACCATTTTTGACATTTGAATGGGATACAACGTTTTTCTTTGCAAAAACACTGATTTTGCCTTAATCTCACGCAGTTTTCAAGGGCAAGGCATAACTGATCGATTATCAATATTTCCCCATTTAAACTGTGGTAAAGAATCGATTATTAAGGTGTTCGTTGCGAACACCCCGTTTATTGATCTTTTTCCATAGGTTTAAATGTCAGATCAGTCAATATATCACAAAGCACTCCACACCACTGGCAGTTTTTATTATATTTCCTCTCTCATCTATTTTTTATTTCTCTCCGGCACAGAAACTAAATACGATTTAACGCCGCTTGGCTGACATAAGGGCGTAACTATAATTTAAGATGAGCCCAGAAAAGTATTGAGTAATAAGAACGACAATGTTCATCGCGCTGTGTAGTTACACCCTATGTGTCAGGAGGGCAACGATACTCAAAATAGTTGTCACCTGTGATGTTTTTGTGTGTGAGAAACAGCAGTAACTTAAATCAATGGATCGTTAAGTGTTAAAAGATCAGGTAAAAGAAAATGGAAGTATTTTCTTTGTAAGATAATTTATTTTTCTTGGTTGATCTCTTGAAAAAAATTAATGAAATATTTTTATTTACACAGGTAGCAGGAAACTAGTGTATTAATAGTGAAAGTACTAAACCATCGATCTCAATAATTGTGGGGCTTAGAGAACAAGTAGCACAAGTGCAGTTTTTGTTATTTCAAGAAATGTGTGTTTGAAGTTTCAAAATTACATGGATCTGTATGGCGGAAAGAAAGCTCAAACTGAGTTTATCTGACTTTTTGATGCTCAAAAATCGGATTTTTTCTCAGAATATGCATTACGACTAGTTTTACTTGAAACCATTAATATCTCATTTTTTTCAAAAACATCACTTATGTGCCTTGTTTTTCAAGCCTTTCAATTGTGATTCTTACACATTTATGCGTTTTTTTCATTTTTTAAGAGAGTGCTACTTCACTTTTTTGCCGCGTTATTTTAAGAGAATATTGTTGAAAGAATGAAGAATCAACAAACAAAATTTTGTGCAAAAGTGATTATCGGATTTGTTTATTTTAAGAAAAGAAGAGAGAGAAAAAATGCCCAAAAACTTTTTTAGAATAGATTGTATACTACATCAGAAACAGAACATAAAAAAGTTGTGAGACCATGAAAAAACCTCAAAAGCCATTATTATTCGCCTGCTGCACCGGTCTCCAAAAGGTGACCGAACAAAGGTGCAAATATCATGTAAATAAGGACGAAAGCTTACTCTTAGTGGGTGGCGGCACACATCGTCGCTCTTCGAATCGATTTGCGCGAGAGCGGGACACATAAGTTCTTTTAGCTATTGGTCAGTAGTTATTCCTGAGAGAAAAAAAATGATTATTTTTTGGATACTTTCGATATTTGCCACCGATGTTCATCCCTTTCTTAGATCCTCCGCGTCCTTGTCCCCCTCCCACCCTCTATGAGTCCCGCGCGCCATTTCATAAATTCGCGGGCTGATGAATGGTGACCAACAGCTGATTCGTGATGTGGTGACGTGGATGACGTCATCGCCCCAATGTTGACATTTGACAGTTGTCAAAATTTTCGAAAATGACTCCTCCGTAGCTGGATTCTGGTGTCGTGCTTCAAATAAGTTTCATTTATGGTGCGGGAAGAGTTAGATTCTGTTTTTTCGTTACACGGCGGCTCCGACAGCCGTCAACAGACATTCGCTAGCAATCATGAACATGGAACCTGGCGGTATTCCGCCCAACAATTCGCACCAACACCTCATGAACAGTGATGATGAGAGTGTGGATATCATCGTTCCTAATATGAGTGGATTGGAAAGGGAAGAGAAAAACGATTGTGACAGTAGACCCGAAAAACGTACAACTCTAGATCAATGGACTACAGTCATCATTTTATGTTTTGTAAATCTTATCAACTATATGGATCGGTACACGATCGCAGGTATGGCACTTGCATCATTTACCCATGAGGATCTCCGAGGGGGGTGTGTTCTCCGTGACCCCTTGTCTTATACACCAAATAGACCTGTTAATAACCCTCCTTCGGCTTTAATCCATCCTGATTATTGCTGTGCACAGGATGAGTTTTTTCTATCTTAAATCTCTCGCCTCGGCCTTGGTTCCCCATGAATATTCTTATCAGTTTCGCAACTGACATATTTCCACATTTGCTGATTATATCATGTCAACTGATTCTGCAACACTACACACCGACACTGTTTTTTTCATCATTGATCCTGTGTACGTTCCAGGAAAATTCTCCTTTCACAAATGACATGGCAGGATTTATTTTTCTTAAGGTCAGGCAGATTTCCAGAGCCTACAAACTCATTACCTAATAGCTAGAGGCATCTAATTTTTTATAATGAGATTTTCTGAGCTCACAATGCAGTCAAAAATTGTCAATAGTATTATTGTATAACTTTCATAAGATCTTCTGTACGCAAAAGTAGGATTTTCTGATCGATAAAAATTTCATGAGTTTATGGTGATGACCTTTAAATTTCAATTTCAATGGTAGTTTTGATTTTCTATCGAAACAATATTTGATATGACTAAATGTACAATCTGCTCAATGTAAAGAGGAAATGATGGGAAAATGACTCAATGAAATGTACCTTTTCAGCCAGGTAGGTACTACAAATGTTTTCAGTTGTCATATTTAATCGTTTTTTTCTGTCTGTTTCAGGAATATTGACTGATGTAAAGGATCATTATAAAATAGGAGATGGAGAAAGTGGACTGTTACAAACAGCTTTCGTTCTTAGTTACATGATATTTGCGCCTTTGTTCGGTTACCTTGGAGACCGGTACAGCAGGCGAATAATAATGGCTTTTGGGGTTTTTTTATGGTCTCTCACAACTTTTTTATGTTCTGTTTCTGATGTAAGTATATTATCTACTTTAAAAAAAAAATTTTAGCGCTTTTTCTCTTTTTTCTCATATTGAATAAGTCAATAAATCACAGAAAGTTGTCAAAAGAAATTACTTTACCATCAAGATGGCTGGCAAGTGAAGAAATTCATGTTTTTAACTTAATTTCTGTATCCTGTTGTTGTCTTCCATTCTCGGTGAGCTTACAAGATTCCCTCTGCTTTTTGCTCCATTGTATTAAAAAGAGGAAAGTCTTGTATTTAAATGATTTATCCTTTACTGTAACCATAAAGATGTCAACTGAGTTTTTTGTTTTTCATTTGAACTCCAAAAATCTTTGGAAGTGTTTAAATCTCTTGAAAAATTATACAGTTTAATATATCTTGGCTTTTACTATGTATTACAATATTAAATAGCTCACACACTATATTGATAGTGAAACTCCCAAATCATGTATCTCGTTTGCGGTGTTTAAAAAATCTCTGCTCCTATTTTATTTTTTCAAAGAGAACTGATCTGCATTATTCCTTGAAGTTTTTCCAGTATTTGTCTCGCACTTAGAAAACAAAATGGCACAAGTTTTTTAAGTATCGACATTGAGAATTTTATCTGATTAATTTTTATTGTATGACAGGAAGTCCGCAACATTGCAAACTGAGACATGTGGTTTTGGAGCTTCATTGTCAATACCTGTCCCGTGGCTAGCACGGACACTATGTCAGGGAAAATGTCAGGGAAAATTTGTTAAATCACCTTCATTTGCTTTCTAGAATGGGTTTGAGATTTTGAACAAGAAATTTTGCCCGAAAACTTTTTTCAATTATGCCTTCTTAACCATCTGTCACATCTTCAATTGTCAGGGAAATCAGGGAATTTCATTTTCTAAATTCTGTGGCCACCCCGGTATTATATATTTACTACATAATGGAGCAACAGATTATTTGTAGAATCTAATCATAAAAATTTTTACATCACATTAATTTATTACTTCTTGTTTTTCAGAATTATTATATTTTCCTCATGTTCCGTACTTTTGTTGGAATCGGAGAAGCAAGTTACTCTACTATTGCACCTACTATAATTAGTGACTTATTTGTGAAAGATATGAGGTCTGGAATGCTAGCTCTATTTTATTTCGCCATTCCTGTCGGGAGGTTTGTATATAAAATTTCCATCTCTCTTTTTCTGTTCTTTCGTTGCATGACCACCACCATCTCAAAGACTTTAGCGACAAAAGGATTTCTAGTTTTCAAATTTATAAGCCATTAAACCAACAAAAGTAGAAGAGGTTTTCAGGTTATCTTCTCTGTTGAATTGACAATGTATCAAAACAATCGCACATTTTTCCTGGGTGCAACAGCCAGTGCTGTAATCCCTCACTATTTACAGGCTCAAGTTCTGAGCTTATGGTCCCCATGAAGAATGAAAACTATCTCATTTTGCTGCTACGAATCAATGGAAAATTTGATTTAATAATTGATACTTTTTAACAAACAAATCTATGGATATGTGGTACAGTAGCCGCTCGATAATTCAAAGTTGGAGGGACCAGGGATTTTCTTCAAAATAACGAGTTTTCGAATTGGCGAGATTTCAAACTATGGAGAGCGGCTGTGATAAAATTCAAAAGGAAGAGAGTTTCAAATTAGCTCTATAATTCGAAGTGGTGGATATGAACGCTCTATAATTCGATTCGGATAATCAGAGGCTTTAAGCGTAAATTCCTCAGCTCTCCGTCCGTCAGGCATTGACATATGTATGTACAGCAAAACAACCACCTCGAAACCTCAAATTATAGAGCGCCCAGCACAGATATTTCGAATTACAGAGCTTTTCACAAGGCGTTTTCCCACCGAAAATTTTGAATTACCGAGGGGTTAAGAATACACTTAATTTTTCGAATTGACGCAATTTCCCCAAGGGATCAGCATCGTCGTTGAATTATCGAGCGGCTACTGTATGTCAATGCTGAAACTACTGAAATGCATATCTCGGTTTATGGCATTTTAGACTTCCTGTCATACTTCATTTTTTACATGAAAAACTGCCAAGCATCATTTTGTTTTAAAACTTTGGCGATTTTTCTTCTCCACTTTGAGAATATAAGCGATTCAAGCCTTGATATTGGTTTGGTCACCTCCTAAAAACTAAAAGAGGAGTGAAGATTTTGAAACATGGCAACGGAGATGTGTACTTTTAGTTTCAGTGTGATGTGCAATTTTTCGAGGTTTCCATATTTTTCAATTTTTGCATTTTTCCCGCTGATTTTCATCCATTTTTTCTAAAGTAAAAACACATCACAAAATAAAGCGTACCTTTTTAACCAATGCACCTCTAGAAAAGTGAGCAGGTATGTAGATAGCAGTAGGTGTTTTGTTGTTGGTTTAGTAAAAAGAAGTTGCAAATGGTGGTCTAATGGCCACTTCTCTCTGATTGTATCCTGCAAGCTAATGCTGAGAAAGTTACACAAAACTGTAGAACTTTGAAGAAAACATCACATGTGACTATTTTTGTTTTGACTGATTTGATTTATTTCTCTTCCTTTGTTTCTCAGTGGTTTAGGATATATTGTCGGATCTGAAACAGCAAAATTAATGGGTAGTTGGCAGTGGGGATTGCGAGTGACCCCAGTCTTGGGTCTTGCCGCTGTAATTTTAATACTCTTTTTCATGGTCGATCCCGCTCGAGGGGAAAGCGAGGGCAAATCGCACCTTTCTCCCACTTCTTGGACCCAGGACATATCTGCTCTAGTGCATAAGTAAGATTGAATTTTTTGGTTTTTTTTTCTAATTAATTTTACGTTTTAAGGGTGCAAAATCTACTGAAAATTTGGCCTCCTTGGACATCCATGTATATGTGGAAAGAAGAAAAAAACCCTCAAGCTCTTCACTTTCATCAAAAAGATTCAAGAATATGTAAGCGTTCTCTTTAGACTTGCTCAGGGCTAAATTGCTTTCACATAGTAAGGTTTTGATTATTAAGTTAAAGAAAATCACAAAACTAAAAAGTACCTGAACTTAAAAACCAAAGCAACTCATTAAAATCTGTTTAAATATACCTATTATGCTCTAAAAATTCTGTGAAATCTGCTGTTTTTAACGGAAACCTAGATTTATTTTTTGGTCTTAATCTGTGCATTATTCTTGAAAACTGTATAATATCTCCTTTTTATTGGGTTGCAGTTATAGTTTCATGTTGTCAACAGCCGGTTTCACTTGTGTTGCGTTCGTAGCTGGAGCGCTAGCATGGTGGGGACCGAACTTCGTGTTTCTAGGCCTCAAATTGCAACCTGGTATGGAGAATATAGAACTGAATGAGTAAGTTATTTTCCTCAGCTTTCATCAGAATCCTGCTTCTTATTCTTCATACTTTGGTCGGATAATTAAATGGAACACTTCTCTACCTCATGGTTTTTTAAAAGAAGAAATAATAAGTAAGCAGATCAAAGATAGAAATCCGATGATTTAACATATTTTTGGCCCTCTTGATTTCCCTCATTTCTCTTTTCGCCTGCCATTCATTTTATCTTTAGTCTTGATTACCTTGTATCATGTCAAACCTCTCGTCATGTTTTCATGAGTAAACTACTCATTAATGCATGCAGCCATCTCTCAGCTTAACATTCAATCTCTCCGAATATTAATTTCTCATACTTTGCATTTCGTTCTTCTATCCTGGAAGTTTAATAATTGGCTTGTTTGACAGCTGCCGGAAAAATGACTCTGTCGTTTGTACCGAACTGGTTATGCTTCTTTGACCAGTTTACTCTTAGGAAAGAAAATCTTTTTTTTTTTTCAGTGGAATTATGCAGTCGTTTTGTCTAGAAGCCATGCCCCTGTGTCAATAACAGGGGATCTGCCCCTGCCCCACCCACTTTGTAATCCAACTTGGATTATACTTTAGAGTCAAAGAGCTTATCTAGAGATACATTTCTGCTTGTAACAAAAACAGGGAACATCTGACTTTATTTTGCAATTAGGAAGTGCAATTTCTGGCTCATCTATTAAAACAATTATGTGCATGGGAAAACTAATGGCTTATGCGTTGTTTCTGAACTGAGCCAGATATTGTAGTTCCAAATTGCAAAATGTAGTTCAATCGGCCTTGTGGATCTTAGGGTAAAACTGTGGAAAACGATGAATATTAGGAAAAAAGCAATGATTATGATGGGAAACTTTCATCCAAATGCTTGTTTGCACACCTATCCAAATGAACCTCTGCAAAAATTTGGAAGGAAATAATGTTCTGTTCGCTGAAGGCCACCATTTCAGGTATTTAACATTTGTTAGCAATTTTCAGCAGAGTTTGAATGTAGAATTACAACAAGCCCCGTCCTCAGGTGACTAAATTTAGGTCCAACCCATCCTTATAATACGCAGGTTATCTCTCAATAGTTCCAATCTAGTTTTATCCATATCGATGGCCAAAGTGGGAAATCACGTATCTCCGTTGCGATGTTCATCTGACTTCCTTTCGTACTTTATTCTTTCTTATTATTTATTATTTTAAATATTATTAATTCTAATTATTTTAATTATTTTATTATTTATTTATTTATTTTATTTATAATTTCTCTTTATTATTTTTTCTTTGCAAAATTAATTAACGCAATTTCTTAAAAACGTCCTTGCTCTTTCTTCTCTTTTAGCAGAATATTGTGTGTAAATTTCAAACTATGAAGTGACTTGTTTCTCTTTAAATAAGAAATAGGAGTGGAAATTTTGAAACACCATAACATGTTTTGTTCGTGGTTTTCCACTTTGGCCATCGATGTACCACTAAATGATTTTGATCTGTGATCTGTCTGCTTTGGTCAGCAGAGGATACCCCTACAAAAAAGTGTGGAAACTATCTATTTAATCAAAAGACCCAAACGTTTTCTCCAATTTCAAGACTGCTGTGTTTTATTTTTTCAGTGTCACCTACAAGTTTGGCATCATTACTATGATAGCTGGACTGTTAGGCGTCCCTCTTGGATCATACATAGCTCAAAGACTGAAACCATACTACCCGCGAATAGACCCTTACATCTGTGCCATCGGACTACTTATGAGCGCACCGTTACTATTTTTTGCATCAGTTTGTGCCAAAAGCAACATCACACTTTGTTATATCTTCATTTTCTTTGGCCAACTGTTTCTTAATTTGAATTGGTCCATTGTGGCGGATATTTTGTTGGTAAGAAAAATTTTGATTTTTCAACGGGTAGGCTGCTTTCAGAAGCTTCATTGGCGAAAGTAATGGACTGCTGAATAGTGTTAAAAATTGAGCACCACATTGCATGTTCCGTTATCAAAATTTCACCTGGAACATGGTGACAAAAATTTCCAAAGTCAACTCGTATGTGAGAACTCAGCATTCTCTGTGTTTGTCAAATGGATCTTTTCACGACCAAAGTCCTCTTAAGACAAATTACTTTCTCATAGACTGCAAAGTTAGTCTAATTAAATTAATTTTGGGATGTTTTGCAATAAACTACTGCTTTCCTAGTCCTACTTTTTTTTATCAAGTTGAAAAGTACTTTGCTCCAAAAGAGAGAAGAAATTATGTGAAACCGAACCTTGTTGTTTGCGAAACATTAAGTAATAAGTTTTCAATCGCTTATTAAACTTGAAGTCACTTTTTGAATATGAAATCATGTTAATTGATTCTTATATAAACCATAAATGCTAAGTTCTCTCTCATAAATTGATTTTGGATATTTTTACTTTGTTAGCCATGTCCAAAATTTCTTTAAATGAGGAAATTTGTCTCGCAGAACTTAAACTTTTGCCATGTGCAGTTGTCCAATGTGTAAGATTTTCTTAACAAAAGAAATGATAAGTAGCCTTTAAATTTGTTCTTTATTTGATTTCTGAGAGTTAAAAAATGTTTTTCAAATTTTAAAAAAATTAAATTCTTAAATCAAGCATTAAACTAAACCTAAACATGAATTAATTTCTCCGCAACTGTCGTTTCATGACTTCAGTAGTTTTGTGTTGACCAGACAAAACAGCAATTTATTAGTGGTTGATGGATTGTATCTGTCACGAAAATTGATTTCAAAATGAGAGTCTAAATTTTATCTTTTTAACCTCCCTGTGTTTAATTTCTTTTTATTAGTTCGTCGGTACACATAAAGCAAACTTTTCATACTTGTTTCTCTCATTGCAGCCTTGTTTCTATCCTATTTTATACATAAAAATGAAAACTGCAATTTTTTCTGAGGTATCAGCCATAGATTTTCATGTATAAACGATGCCCAAAATCAAACTTTTGACATAAAAATAACCATATGTAAACATTAGTTTAACATTGACTTAACCTCAAATCGAGATCAATGTGCCTCCATCAAAAATTTAATTTGAGGATTTTTATTTAAAATGAAATGGAACAGGTGACTCATCAAACTTTGATTTTTTCTAGTACGTAGTTGCTCCAACCAGACGATCAACAGCTGAAGCTCTCCAAATTCTCATTTCTCATGCGTTCGGTGATGCCGGAAGCCCGTACTTAATTGGATTGGTAGGATTGTCTTTTTATTCTTTAAATTTTTTTCTATTGATTTAAACACCACTTTACTTCCAGAAAATGACTCTTTTATCACATAATCTTGAAGTTTTGATTTGTCTCTTTTTTTGAAATTGATGGATCAAAATATAGTAGCATCTGAGAAAAAAAGCAGAATAGAGGAACCTTAAAGTCTGTTCTACTATATTCTTACCATACTCTTCATATATCCAAAGTAACGAAGGCAAAAAATGCAACGGTCCTTTTTCCTGCAACATCATTTGTCTTTTTTGGATTTGTATCTCATTCCTGGTATGGTGTTAATTAAGATCCATCAAGTTTCTCATGTCTAAAAAATCGCAAACAAAACCTCGCATGTCTAAAATGATAAAAATTCAATTTTTGAAAATTTTCAGTCCTCCTTCTATCAATCTAAGCCACAAGCGAATTGTTCCTTAATTAAAATAGACAAACCTTAAAATGTTTACATCAATGTCCTTGCCAAATTGTCAACTTTTCTGCATCCAGCATCTAAATTCGATTCAATCAATAGCCAGTGAAACTCGTGTATCTCATTTTCACGTATCTTACATTATTTCAGGGTCTCATAATTACCACTCCCATTATATTCAGGGGGAATATTTCCAGGCTTTTGTAAAATATTTCCAAAAAGTATCCTTGAAAAAGCAACGAGATGTTGAAGGATATTTTTTGTAAAGTATTTCCAAAAAATATCGTTGAAAGAGCAAACAGAAGTTGAACAAATTTTCTTAAAATATCAATGATCAGCCAGCCTTCAAAAAAATATAGTGTGATAAAAAATCCACAATGTCACAAACTGAGGTATGTGATTTTATAGTCTCACCATCAATGTTGTTTCGTTTTTCTGATTTGTTTTTGCTCAATGCATTTTACAGCTTTCAGAGTTTTTTCAAAAAACACTTGCCAGTTCTCCAGCACTCTTTGGACCATTACTTGTCCATATCTCTTCGAGCCTGACACTCTCCGAAAAAGGGACAAGTGATGAGGTGCTGTTTCACAGCTTACAATACGCTCTTTTCACCACAAGTTTTGTCGAAGTTCTTGGTGGACTTTTCTTCTTGCTCACTGGACTATACATCACAGCAGACAAGAAGAACGCAGACAAAGAGCTGAAAGGTGAGTGATTTATTTTTATGTACTAATTTACCCGCTTTTTATCTAGAATAATTGAGTCATTTTTCTGTAAAAGGGCGTATGAAGCTTGCAATGCTGCTAAGCTTGTGCAACATAGTTTTCTAGTTGTAAGTGATAGTTCTGCCATGAATATTTCTCTGAATTTGCCCTGAGTTTTTCCTTATTATTGTCAAGAAGTAAGTTGACCGTCAAAGAATTTTCTCCACTGCAAACACTTTAAAAAATTTCACAATCTTAGCAGCATTGCAGTTCTAATATGTTCTTTTACATAAAAAGTCCTCAATTTCCAGCTATTCCATCAGATTTTATCAGTAATTTAGAGTAAAAAAGGAATTTTAGAGAATCCTTGTTTTAAACATTTGCCTGAGAGTCTCTCTGAGAAGGGGAGGGGAGGGGGTTCTCGCTGTGCTCCTCCTCCCCATGGCGAATGCTACAGCTTGCCTCGTCACTAAACTCACCTTACGCCGCTGCACTGAGGAGGAATGGAGTGATGTGATTGGTCAGTTTTGTCAGTTGTCCTGTTTTTCGTGCCTATTTTGGGTGGAATCAATGAGAAGCTACAGTCACCTTTTGAGTTGCCAATACCTAGTTGTTAAATCCACCCAACATGGGTACATCAAAGAGGACATCTGAAAAAGTCAAACAATCCTACGGCTCCATTCCTCCTCAATCTTGTCTTTCCAGTTGACAGACACAAAATCTCAACGATCATACTACTGTTGGGTTTCAATATCAAGCAACTCATATGGGAAAAAGTAGGGTTCATTTGGTCGGTTGTCTAATGTCTAAAATTCAATTCTGTTGCATGGCTTCATTTTACTGCCTCTCCTGATAAAAGGAAATGCATTTATGGACAGTAAGCATGAAATAAAACATTACAGACACTCTTGTAACTGCACCGAGTAATCCAAGCTCCCTTAATATTTTTATATTGTTTCTCACACCTTCATTTTAAATTGGCCAATTTTCACTGCCTCTAAATGAAGAGAAAAAGGATGAAATATTCGTAGAAATCCAACATGAGCTCATGTAAAGTTGGAGTTGTTACTTTTAGAATTCTTACACTCATAAGATTCCACTTGAACACAATCTGACCCATTGTGCCTGTGCATGAATTTGAATATGCTTCATTTTTAAAGAAACACGCATTCTTAAGATGGATCAGTAGCTTTAGAGCAATGCAGTCTGAGTCTCATTTCTGAGCATCCTGTATTCCGATATATTTTAGAAAGTATCAGGGGCTTTTCCCATTGCTATTAATTGTTTTCATCGTATGTAATCGCTCCAACTCAAGCATGCTTGGTCCCTCAATCCATGAGTTAGTTCTGCTGCACTCTCTGCACGATGAGCTTGTTCAGTAATTTTCAATGGGTCAGTTGCGCTGGTCACAGAATTGTGTTTTGTTGTTTGATTCTTCTAGATTAGCTAAAAATAATGAGATCTGTCCTAACCGCAACATATTTAGCAACAATATTAACAGAGATATTGCCCTTTGAAAAGTCTGGTTTTTGACGTCATCCACTGCAGTAGTGACAATTTGGGTTTCTTCCACCTCGCTTTTATCGGTTGGTATGACGCACGTGAGCACTGGTTATTCAACGGGAAACCCGGATGAAAGCAAGATTGAAGAAACTAAGGGTGTCACTATGGCGGTGGATGACATTAAAAACCCGATTTTTCAAAGGGTGATATCTCGGTCAATATTGAACATAGAAAATTGCGGTTTGGACACGTCTTATTATTTTTAGCCTATCTACAAAAATCAAGCATCAAAACACAATTCTGTGACCAGCGCAACTGATCCATTCATCCATTTTTGAGAGGTAGAGAGTGGACATCGTTCACAGGGATTTTGTCCGATTTTTTTGAACAATACAGAAAGAAATTCGAAGTTGCGTCTTTATAGCTCCCATTAAAACGCATATCGTCGTAAAAGGTAAGTGGCATCTGAGGAGATCTCTCACGCAGCGGTCTAACTTTCGACCGCACGTTCTTTCTGGTGCCATCTATGATCCATTGATTGATGACACAAAGTTGACAAAAACATCGGAATCTTTCAATCTTCATGGAAACCATCGTCAGGTACTTTATTAACTTAAAGAAATTGATGATACTTATGAAAATTGAAAGATTTCGATTTTTTTAGTTTCTTTTTTAATAAATTAGTATAAAACAAATATGGACTATTGATCACACCAGAGGGAACGCACGACCGTGGCTCGGGAAATCTCCTTGAACGTCATTTTGACTCTCTTGGTGATGTGCGTTCTAGTGGGAGCTCAAAGTACACAATTTTATGGGTTGATGTTGCTCCAAAAATAGGAGAGAATTCCTTTTCCGTGCTTTTTCTAATTTTCAAGAATGCAAGAATTATAAATTACTGAACAAGCTCATTCTCCTCATGAACAAAAGATTTTATCTTTTCTTATCAGTCTGTTGAAGCTTTTAATTCCCTTAAATAGCTTGACTGCTTCTGCTGCTTTTATATATCTCTTATTTAGGCTTTTTCAAAAAATGTGTAGCTTTGTCTTGTACTTTTTTTGTATTGTTTATCTGCTCTAATCTCTGCTTGCAAGCGCATGGCATTAATTCCTTTTTTCTCTTCGGTTTTCCAGGTGAAGATAATCCTAGCATTTATCTTAATTCAATTTTTCAGGTGAAGACAACCCTGTAGCCCCCACTCACATTTACGCAGATGACCTTCAGGTCACTGGAACTGACAACCCCCATGCATAGCAATTCAAGCGAGTATTATTATTTCTTTATCGAAAGGTGTTCCTATTACGACATTTAGACAAAATTCCACGGTTTTTTTACAGGTATTTTGTAAATTTATACTGTAAGTAATATTTTTCTATATGTAGGTATTATTTAAAGTGTTTGGTACTGAGATTATTTAATACGTTTTGTACTATACTTAGGTTGTTTAATTGTTTTTTTTCTTCTTTGTAGAGTATTATAACAATGTTTTCTTAAAAATCTGTTTGATCTTTTGTAACTATGTTTGTGTTTTTCTATCAAAAATAAAGGCGAAAGGATACTTTTTCATTGTTAAATATCTGCCTTTAGTGTTGAATCAATTCTGCTAATTCCTCTTTAATTGTCTGGAGTCATTTAGGATTTGAAAGAGTGGGATTTAGGTATTTTTCTGTTAGTTGTGTAATTAAAGGTTGAAACTCATAGATGATGCAATTCATTGGAGGTTTGGTTGATTCCAAATTAAGTTACAGATTTTAATTGTAATTGGCATAAGGATGCTGAGTAAGCAGAGTGGAAAAATATAGGGAAAGAAAGCTTTTCTCACACAAAGTTAGTAGATTCACCTCAAATTTGATGGGATCCCTCTCATCTGACTCTTATCAGGGAGAGCTCTGGAGAAAAGGCCTCTACAACATGAACGAGTTTCTATCTCGAAACTGCCTTACCTGGACAAGGAGCTGAGCAGCAATGGTTTCAGCCACTTTGCTACGTGTCCAGGTAAGTAGCTACGGGCTACTGCTGAAAGAAGCAAGTACACTCGTACAATTTCAGGCCCTCTTTCCTGAACTGTCCTTAATTGAATCGACGTATGCGAAAACGTCTGTTGTCCAATACAGGGTTTCATAATTGCGGTGGGTTTCTTTTGTCCCACAACATAGTGATGAATAGGATCGATCTCTTTTGTAAACGTTTAATTACACTTAGGGGATTATTTATAAAATTGTTCTACATTCGTAACGTCTTAAACCATCTTGTGTTGTTAAGTTACAACACAATTGTCCACTCAAATTTTAAAACACTGTTTTGGACATTAGACGTTTTCCTATACGTCGATTCAATTGCACTCTATTAAAGATGGGTAACTTGATAATTTTGTTCTCTCTTTCCTTCTAATGGTTTAATTTACAGGCACAGACCATGTAGGTATTTTCTCTTCAATTGCAAGAAAATTGAAAAACAATTTAGGATTTTTTACAAAATATACTCTGAGAAACATTGAAAAAACAATCATAAAATATTAATGAAAATAATAAGTATGAAATAACAATACATAAACTACGCAGTGTAGTTTTAGCATAAAAAGTAAAATTCTTAACTAATTGGAAAACATCAAGAGAAGTTGTAGCCTAATGTGATTTGAAAGAAACAGCTCATTAACGGTTTTTGGTTGCTCCTTGCAAAAGTTTTACTCCAGTTTATCATACTATACAGTGAAAAGGATACCATATGAGGTATGATAACAATCACATTTACCAAATGATTTTGTGACCTGATTGGAATATTCGTGTCTATTTTTTGTCAATCCATAAGGCTTTCTAAAGAAAGAGTGTCCTCTTCCGTTTAAAGTACTGAAATTCAGCTTGATATGAATAAAAAATGTGGCTGATCAGACGGTTTCAGGGCATTTTGTCACCCATTTTTAGTCCGCGCTCCTGTTTTTTCCAGTAGCTTACGCCTACACATAAACTAAACAACAGTGACTCGGTCCAAGCGTTATATTTTAGTCCGCGTGCAAAATTATATTGACAGTATTAAAATGAGAAAATCGAGAGAGGAGGAGGTGTTGTTATGGTAACTCATTTTTTCAAAGAAATGTTACTTTCTTCTTTTGATTCATCTTTTCAAATTGTCGTTGGTGAATATTTGGTTTTATTTCTATCCTTAGAATTTTCGACTTAAAATATTCCTTTTTTTTTTTTTTTTTTTGAATGAAATAATGAAAATATTACTTCATTTGAGCACATTTACATTTTTAAATCGTTGGAAACCTTTCTCAAGCGATGGCATTGATCTTAATATCAATGAGCCACATTGGTGTTGAAAGTAACTATACAAATATGAATAAAAGAGGGAAAAAATCAAGAGGCTTGCAATCTTTGGTTTTAATCCATTTGTTCATCAATCTTTCAGAGTCAAATATGTCCAATTTTGAGCGTTTACTTGTGCGTACACAACGCTGCAGCACAGTAAAAGCACAAGATATAAAAGAAAAAATTAAAGTGCTTTGGAAATAATTTAATTTAACACAGAACCACCTTACTATTTACAAAACACATGTTATATTTTCCTTTAATACATTTTTTCCCCCACCATTTTAAATGAGAATAATCCATGCAGAGTGTGCAAACATTTCAATATCATGTGAGTTGGAAAACATGTAAAAATAATAGAACCTAACACAGAGCGGAGCGGCGTGCTACCAGCGCGGAACGCGCCTTGGCGCCTACAAACCTAACAGGGATACTTCACGCATTGCGCAATGTCGCCTACAAACCCAACAGGGATACTTCACGCATTGCGCAATGCGTGAAGTATCCCTGTCAGGTTTGTAGGCGCTAATAGGCTGCTGGCCGGCCGCCCGCCGCGCCTCAGCTTGCCGCGGCCGGCGCCCCAAGCAATTATTTCACACCAATGCACAGTATCATACGAAATTGAGGGCGCTCCAACATATTAAAAATGATAGGCATTCTTTAAGAGTACGGAGCTCCCCTCTCAAAATAAATCAAGATACTGCGGCACGAAAAGAGAGCGGTAGCTCAAAGAATCCACTAAGTCCTAGCACCCGTATTTAATAACGTTTAGCATAATTTTTGAATTTCATTAGAGAAAAATGTGACTCGATTTAGGCAGAAACATTCTTGAGAATGCCGCCAAAAAGATTCTATTTTGAATCAAGAATAAAATAGCTGAATGAAAGCGGGTTTCTGCTGATGTAAATGACGTTTCTTTTTATATGAGCATCTTTTCTTCTTTAAACGAGCATTATTTTCTTTACTAATTCATAATAAAAGCTTCTCGGCGGTAAATTTGAGCATACTTCCGCTTAAATCAAATCAATGTTTCCTCTGATGAAGTCTAAAAATCATACTAAAAGTTGTTGAATACAGATGTTAGGACTTAGGTACTAAGTTTTTCGACTACCGCTCTCTTTTTGTCATCGTCACTCGATTTAATTTACGAGGGAACTTCGTGCTTTTGAAAGATACATCAATGATACGTTGGGGTGCCTTCAATCTCGTATGATACTGTGCAACACCTCTTAGGCGAAATAGTGGCTCGAAGCGCCGGCGCCGCACAGTGGGGCCCTCTGTGGACAAAAATAAAGACTTCACAACTAAAAATCTGATTTTTTTTTTTTTTTTTTTTAGTATATCATCTTAAAGATATGTTTGACTCACAATGGTGGTTCATTAAGTTCATTTTGAAATTTTTCGCTCAAAACTACTTCAAATTTGGGTAGAAAGTGGACGCAAAACGCGTCGAGGATCACTGGTCCATAAAAAATACATGGAGAAAAGACATCAACTTAAAATGAAGATTTCTCACTTGAAACGCAAAATGCTCTAGGTGGTTGACATTATCATAATCCTCAGATATCCTACTTCAATTCTACTTTTTTTACAAAATACAGAAGATTCGAAATCGCCTTCAATTGAAGCGTGATACCTCACGCGTTCCGAGTTTAAGGCCGCGAAAGCCAGGATTGTATTTCGCAAAAAGATAATTATACCAGAATAATTAAAAATTAAGAACCAGGAATAATTTAACTAAATAGTAAAAGGAACTCAAATCTACGATTGAATGCAAAACAATTTGAAAAATCTCGTCATGAAAATACAGAAGAGGATTGTATTTCGCAAATCGATAGTTTTTGCAGAATAATTGAAAACTTAGCAGTAGGAGTAATTTAACTAAATAGTAAAAGGAACTCGAATCAACAATATAATGCAAACCAATTTGGAAAGTCTCGTCATGTAAATACAAAAGATTCGAAAACGCCTTCAATTGAAGCGTGATACCTCCCGCGTTCCGGGGAGTTCAAATAGTTGTATCCCTGCGCCTTAGCAAGGCGATAGAAGTTTATTATTGAAGCAGCGTCCCCGCTTGGTTTTTTGGCTTTCCTGTGCCGCTACTGCAGTTTCGACCGTTCAGGCCGTAGTTTAAGGGCGCTAAAGTCAGGATAGTATTTAATTAAACATTAAGAAGTAGGACTAATTTAAGTAATTAATAAGAGGAACTCAAATCTACAATTGAATGCAAAACAATTTGGAAAATCTCGTCATGTAAATACAGAAGAATCGAAAACGCCTTCAATTGAAGCGAGATACCGCACGCGTTCCGGAGAGTTCAAATAGTTGTATCCCTGCGCCTTAGAGCAAGGCGATGGAAGCTTAATATTGAAGGAGCGTCCCCGCGTTGTTTTTCGGTTTTCCTGTCCCGCTACTGCAGTTTCGACCGTTCAGGCCGTAGTTTAAGGGCGCTAAAGCTAGGATTGTATTTTTCAAAAAATTAAATTTGCATAAAAATTAAGATTTAAGAAGCAGAAATAATTTAACTAAATAAAAAACGCAACTGAAATCAACAATAAAATGCAAAGAAATAACATAGTTTAAGGGCGCTTAAGCCAGCGTTGTATTTCGCAAATGGATAGTGTTTTCAGAATGATTAAAAATTACGGAGCAGGAGTAATTTAAATAAATAATAAAAGGAACTCAAATCTACAATTGAATGCAAAACAATTTGGAAAATCTCGTCATGTAAATACAGAAGAATCGAAAACGCCTTCAATTGAAGCGTGATACCTCCCGCGTTCCGGGGAGTTCAAATAGTTGTATCCCTGCGCCTTAGCAAGGCGATAGAAGTTTATTATTGAAGCAGCGTCCCCGCTTGGTTTTTTGGCTTTCCTGTGCCGCTACTGCAGTTTCGACCGTTCAGGCCGTATTTTAAGGGCGCTAAAGCCGGGATAGTATTTCGCAAAAAGATAATTGTTGCAGAATAATTAAACATTAAGAAGTAGGACTAATTTAAGTAATTAATAAAAGGAACTCAAATCTACAATTGAATGCAAAACAATTTGGAAAATCTCGTCATGTAAATACAGAAGATTCGAAAACGCCTTCAATTGAAGCGTGATACCGCACGCGTTCCGGAGAGTTCAAATAGTTGTATCCCTGCGCCTTAGAGCAAGGCGATGGAAGCTTAATATTGAAGTAACATCCTCCGCGAGGTTTTTCGGTTTTTTTGTGCCGCTACTGTAGTTTTGACCGTTAAGGCCTTAGTTTAAGGACGCTAAAGCCA